TTATAAATAAAAAAGTTACAGGGGTGCGCCTATTCTCAGATACACCCGGTATATTAAACAATACTTATGAATAAGGTTTTATAAGTAGCTTCATAACTAATTAGCGACCAAATAGCGGATGTATCTTGATGAATTTGTCAGTTTTTCTTCCAAAAATTACTTTAATTTAATTTTTGTAGCTTTTCTTTAATTTTTGTAAACCTGTTTTACTGACATTTTAAGTTAAAATAACTACATTATTACTTATAAAAATACCAAATATCAGAAATGGTTTAATACGTTATTTTTACTAGGTACATAGTAATAGTAACATAATAAAAAGAAATTATATACCACATATTTACGTAAAAATAACCTTTAAATTACTACATCCATGTTATCTCCATCTATACATTGTAAAACATTTATATATTTTGTTTCAATAATTTATATTTCACCTAGGTAATAAAGTTTACTATAATACGGTAAAATTAATAAATGTAACTTATATTAAAAAACTAATTATATTTAGCATTAAAAGTTAAACGCAAGGTTTTGATAAAAATATAATACATCCTAAAAAAGCTATGCCCCCTAAATATTATAGTGTTTAAAATAAATATATGACTTATGTACAAAATAAATAAATTTAAAAAACTAAAAAACGTAATTGTATAAAGCCTTCAAAAATCATTTAATTTGAATAACTTCGTAATAATTGGGAGATTATATATTACTTTTTCTAAAATATTTGCAAAAAAATTATTTTATAAAATTGTATTAGATATTATATGACATCTGATAAATAAAATATGACATCTGTAAAATGGTTAACCTCACTTTTTACCAATTTTAAATATTATTATAGTCGCCTTCTCCCAATTCAAATCCCGATTGGTTCAAATCACAGTGAATACTGAAATCGGCCAATCACTGATGCCTAACAACGTGAATATTGAGTTTATTATTCCCGTTGTTATGCAGGGAATTTTTAATGTAATAATAGTACATTATCTAACAGGCGGAGAAAGCGCTTAGGTAAACTATTTAATTGTTTTATACACAAAAGTAATTATATATAAATGTAATTTATATAATGATAAAAATAGAACACATTTTAAGTCTATTTTAAAATTTAACCTACACATGGCACGTAACATAAATAGACACATAATAATAATTATTGAAATGATTACTTTATTAAAAAATCAATATTCTATTTATAAAGTAGCACCTACGTAAATGTCACATGTAGGTAAACCCGTGGGTAAACCTTAAATTTATTTATCTAACAGTAATTTTAAAACCTAGAAAATTAATTAATTTAGTTTGGACGAATAAATAAACGAGTTAATTAAATTCGTGTTTTGTTTTTATTTATTCGATAATAAATTTGTTTATAATATTATTTAGGTTTCCTTATTTTAGTCAAAGAATTCAAAATTGTTGCTAACAATTTTATTTATTTGATTTATTATTATCATTTTGATCACTTTATGAGTTTGCATTGTAATTATAGCAATATTCGAGATGACATGCCCTATCATTTTGAATCCTGGTATTTTTGACAGGTTTATAAAATTGGCTGATAGATGCAAAATTAAATGTTTTAAATAAATTAAATATAAAGGCAGTTTTAAATTATCCAGTTTTGTTAAAATTTAGACAGTTTTTAATTACCTGAAACATTTATTTTATGTGCAGTTTTTACTACCTTTTCGGTTTTAAATAATTAAATATAATAATTACTAATAAATAATTTAAATATTTCAAAAACCTGTAAAAACAGTAGTTATAACACTACAAGGTATAAAGGAGTTCTTAATCTTACATTTCATTTATTAATAGAAAGGTTTTGAAATATTAATAGTTAAATCCCTTTAATAACTATAGTTAATAATTAATATATTAAATTTGCCTTTTAAATATTGTATTTACTAACTGTTATCTTATTTGGTTTTCTATTAGCATTTTATTACAATAATTATTATTTTTCCATCAGCTAATGGTTAATCTATAAAAGTAAGTATTATGACTGTGTGACTTGTGTAATACAACTTTCTGTAAATAACACCAATAAATGATTTGATTTGATATATTAGCATAATCATATTATGATTATGGAATATTTTGCTTTATAACTATTAAGCTTTATTGTTACTATACTAAAATATTTATTTCTTTCTATAAGCTAATGGTAAAATGCCAGTTCTCTAATAATTAGGTTTTATCCATTAACTGTAGGGAATAGGGGTAGATCATGGGGGTAGGTAACATTTGAACCGTTCGTTTGAAAAACGACATAGGTAATTAACTTTTTTAACAAAATTCTTTTTTTTACCACAAAACGCTCCTATAGAAGCTACAGAAGCTGAAAGTGAATTTCGTACAAAAGTGCCTTATTTCGTTTTTGAAACGAGCAATTTATTTATACTAGACAAGATAGTTTTTAGAAAGATATTTATTTTAAAAATACAATATAAAAATAAATATCATTAAATATACTGAGTCATAAGTATTATTTAATGTTATATACATGACTATTCCACTCATTACTTTTTTGACCAATCAGATTTCAGAAAACGAGTGGTTTTTTCAGTTTTGCAGTCAAGGTGAAAAAATCACTCGTTTATACGAGTTGCATAGCAACCAATTGGTTGCTATGATAAAAATAATTGTCACTGTTGACGTTTTTAATTTTAAAATTAAAATGTTAAAAAATATGCGTTTTGGTCCAAAAAATCATACAGAAATTGAATCAGCAGTTAAAAATATTCGTGAAATAGTCTTGCCGAATACCACTCGTGTTAAAATTTTACCTGAAAAAATTTTTGATTTTTATTTACTCAAGATTTTTCCTTGGAAATTTTGCTCGTGGCATTAACTTCAAACCACTCGCCTAGCGGCTCGTGGTCTTAAAAATTAATGCCACTTGCGAAATTTCCAAGAAAAAAACATTCGTATAAAAATCAAAAATTTTATCGGTAAAATTTTACCACTAGTGGTATTATATACGAGAAACTACTTAATTTTTAACCGCAATTAATTATTTTTTACTTTCAAAGTCTAAAACCTATCCTCCGTGACTGTTACTCTTTCTAGGTTAACCTATATGTTTTCAAATATCTGTTCACTAAGTAAATTAAACACATCCAAAGCAATCGAATCAAATATAAAATATTATTAAAAATTAAAAGAAATTATTTTTATAACCAATTATGTAGGTGTTACAAAAATTGATTCTATCCTCCGTGAATCTGTTTTTGCTTTAAATTTTATGCAACGGATGGCGCTTTAATCATTTTAAATAAGCAAAAACCTCTGTTTACGACATTATAGATGCATGTGATTCCTGAAGGTCAGTTAGAATTCATATGCAGATGAGAGTGTTGCTGTTTTATAATTTAAAAGTTTAAGTTCATTAATTTGCTATTACAAACCTATCCACCGTAAAGTGTAATATCTTAGTAAGTAGATTTTTTGTATAAATATTGTATGTACGTACAATTGTATTTTTTAAAAATATTAAGGTGTCAAATACCTTATTTTAAATATACAAAGGGATGTTTTATAAAAAAACATACGAAATCCTAACCTCCGTGAAGCTATCTTCCGTGAAGCTCTAATATTCAAAATGTATGATTTCTTAAAATTATTGCATTAGTGCAGAACCACTTATGTTTTGTTATTACTAGACCTGGTCGCTTTCCTTAAACCCCATTCTAGACTAAAACAAAACAAAATTAACAAAACTAGGTATTTTGCAATATTTTTATTTTACACCATGTTTCTTCTTCTTGAATATCACCAAAACTATTCAAGAACCAAAAACTTCAAAACCAGTTTTTGGTTTACGATACAAAACATAGCAACGTGGTATTTTCACTAGTAATACCACTAGAGGTCAAATTATTTCCGGAAATTTTTTCGAGCTCATGAATATTTTGAAAATTATCCCGAGTCGAAGACGAGGGATAATTTTCTAAAAATATTCATGAGGGAGAAAAAATTTCCGGATTTAATTTGACCTCGTGGTATTCGGTAAGAAAATTCCACACCAAATTGTGTTTAAATAATTAAAATTTATTTTTTGATTTAACTTGACCTCGACTTGATTATTTAGTTACCATGGCAACTAAGTCAACCCCAACCTAAAAGTTATTTCAGTTTTGAAGCTGTCAAGCGGCACGACGTAAAAAAATGTAAAATTGTCTGCTGTAATGATCAATCATCGTGCAATGACTTATTTACCCGCATTATTAGAGGATTGTGGCTCCTACTTGAAAGAAAATTTGTTTTGAATTTTTCACGAATATATTCAAATATATTTGCATCTTAACTATTCAAAACTCAAAGTGCTAAACGGAAAAAAGGTGAATAGAATAGTGTCTAAATATTATATATATTTCATTAGACATAGACATTTAATTTATTTCAAGTCCTGCATTTTCGCCATTAAGAAGAAAGGAGGTGTCCAACGAATATAGAAAACATCTAAACTTTGTAATGGAAATGTATCAAAATTATCATGTAAACAAAATATTCTGTCATTATAAACGTCAAAAAAATTTCCAGTATAATTCGCTGTTGGGTACCCAGGAGGAAAAAATTTCCACTAAAATTCAACCGTTGCCATGGTGATCTATCAAAAATACACGTTTTGATTGGTTAAAAATTACAGGTGTGGAATTTTCACCAAATAATTTTACAACAATGTATAAGTAATAGTTACAAAAATGGCGAATGCGCCGGAATACAAATTGCCTACCTACTTAACTCGAAGCAAATTAAGCGCATGTAATGTATAAATAAATACTAAATGGAAATAAAAATCAGACCTACTTACAAGCCTTCTAATCTTTAATCCTAATTAAAAGAATTCTTACAAGAATCGGAAATAAAAATTAATCCAATTCTCAACCAAACCATATAACTACCGAACAAGATTAGTACAACAAGTTCTACCAACTTAAAAACAACGTTTTTCGTTGCTTCGAACGCTGTTCTTCCGACTGAGAGGGATGTTCAACCTCTACCAAAGCTTGCAAAAGAAGCAAGAGGAAGAAAAGGAGTCGAGCGTGATCGGCCACGAGAGATTCTACCAGGAGCGGTCGCGATCGACGGTGAAGAAAAAGAGGAAAATATATCGACGAGCCAACAGTGCAGCTGAGTTTTCCCCGGCCACGATTGCAGCTGCGAAAAGAGCCGCGTTTAGATGGAGAAGCGTCAGTCAGGAAAATAAACGGGAAGACGGCAAAGCTAGTCCGCAAAAGGAGTCTTTGGCCAAGATATTATTTTCGAGACGGTAAAAACTTTCTGAAATAAATATTTAAGCGCATAAGTTAAAAAGACATTTTTGGCATGGAAATTTCAATGAGTTGCCAACACATGATTTAAAAAAGAGAGGTTTTTTTTACTTGGATAGCATCTATTTTCAGACTTTCTAAGAAACTTTTTTTTTGTGAAATTCTTTTTATTTATGATATAACTAAGAATTTAGAGAAAAGAAGAAATTAGTTTTTTTTAAATTTGATTTTTGTTAAGAATATTGTGCCCTATTTTAATTATCCACTTAAAACTTTCGATTTTATTTATATATTGACAAAACGTTTGAATTTTATTAAAGATTATTTAATTTTCATAAAAATAAATTTTTTTAAAAACATTTTAAAAATTTCAAACATTTCAGGGAAGAAATGCTTCTAAGATAGTCAATATTTTTTAATAATTTAAGACTTTCATTGCCATTAAAAGATCATCCAGAGCCTTTTGTAATTTTTTTTTTGAAGGTTTAATAGTTATTTATGTCATTAGGTTAAAAGGTAAGGATTTTTGTGCTAAGCTCAATTGGCCTCAAAAAGGCACTTCTTGGCCGAATGGCATACAACATTTTATCTTTATATAGGTCAATTTAATTCAACATCAAAGCGGCCTAACCTCACTTTTTTAGAATCTCATTTATTTATTAGCTAAAGATTACATTAAATGTACAATAATTATTATTGCTTTTAGAAGCAGTAATAGTTTGACAATACCTAGCTACATGATTTAAGTAGAATTGGAATTTTGCTATTACATTGAATTCAATTAATTGTTTAATAAATAGGTAGGTATCTAATTTCAATTTGTTTGGATTTTTATTTAAAAATAGGTAGTTTGGAATATTTAAGCTGTGTTTAACATTTAATTTCACTGAAAACTTAAAACAAATTAAAACTTAAAGATAATTTAAATCGTAGAAAAAGAATCGTGCGTTTTCTTGGTTGCCTAACCTCACTTTTTGTTTTATTATTCATATTTAATTTTTTTAAATGGTTAGGTAGAGTTGTTTTTTTTACTTGGATAGCATCTAAATCACGGTGCTGTTCTGAGAAGTGATTTTCAGACTTTCTAAGAAACTTTTTTTTTTAATTCTATTTATTTATGATATAACCAAGAATTTAAGAGCAAATTTTTTTTTTATTTGATTTTTATTAAGAATATTGTAACCTATTTTAATTATCCACTTAAAACATTCGATTTTATTTATATATTGACAAAACATTTGAATTTTATTAAAGATTATTTAATTTTCATAAAATTAAAATGTTTTAAAAATTTTAAACATTTCAGGGAAGAAATGCTTCTAGGATAGTCAATATTTTTTAATAATTTAAGACCATCCAGAGCCTTTTGTAAAATTTTTTTGAAGGTTTAAAAATATTTTATTGTTTAAAAATAAAAAAACTTAATAAAACTTATATATCAGGTATATGGCAAGTTAAATGTCAAATAAATATGTACATCCAAGTTAAAATTTCATGGCTACCTTAAAATAAACTTTTAATTGTAGTATAATAAAAGTTTAAGAGTTATATAATATCCTTAACCACATATTGTAAGAAAATAGTCAATAATATAAAAAATTATAATTTATTTTTATGAAAATTAAATAATCTTTAATAAAATTCAAAAGTTCTGTCAATATAAAAATAAAATCGAAAGTTTTAAGTGGATAATTAAAATAGGGCACAGCGCCTAATAATATTAACTAAACAAGGAAAAATAAGCTAAAGTGAAAAATAAAACTTTAAGGGATTTTTTTTCAGGTCGCCATAATGAGTTTTTTAAGATGGCAACCATTACTTATCTAAACACTTATATAATATTTTTTTTTTTTAATTTTCTAAAATATAATTAGGAAACTTTAGTTATTAAAAAATGATTAAAACTAAATGATTTTTAAAAGATTTTATAAAATTTTGTAGGTTTTAAGTTTTGTTGAATTTATACCCAAGAAATAATTTTTCTTAAAACCGTAAAATATTTAGAGGACATATAATTTTTAAGATGTATCGTGCTTATTTTTATCAATAAAAAAATTGCGTTCGAGTTTTAATGCAAAATAATATTAGTTTTGACAATTTAAGTTATATTTTATAATTTTTCTCCAGGGTGGCCTTTTTTACTTTGTAAGTACCATTTTGTAAAATATAAATTAGAAGAACAAAGAAATTACGATTTGTCAATGTTTTAGAAAGATAGAGCAAACAGTTAGTAATTATAGCGTTATTTTTACGTACATTTGTGGTATTTATATTGTTTTTATTACATTATTATGTATGTAAAATAACGAAATAAATTATTTCCCAAATTTGGTAATTTTTTGTATCTATACATTTATAAAACCGTTGTGACCAATCAATATTTTCATTACAGTTGTACCAAAGGAATGAAACCACATGATCTATTTTTATATTGGTTCTATAAAATAATAACGAGTTCTTTAATTAAACTTTTCGTTAAATTAAAGAAATTATGTAATCAATCAGAAAACCTCCAAAAGACATTGTAAAATGTACAATTAAAAACTCGTCAAACTTTTGCGTGCTTTACCTAAATAAAATAATATTTAAAAAATAATTATTGGAGTTAAGCACAATGGCATGTTGCTTATCCGGGAAATAAATTTAAAAAATATACGCAAAAAATTCATTTTTGCATATTAAAAAACACAAAAGTTTATATTTTAAAAACTTAAAAAAAAAATTAATATAAGGGCGTTTTACGTATTTTCGTGTTTTAGAAGAGATTTTGAAGTAAATTTATTGAAAAAACCAATTCAATTTTTTATTAACTAACTTGTATTGTAATTAGTTATTTATAAACAATTAATATTAATATAATATTAATATTAATTAAAATACATAATGCTTGGCACTTCTTTATGTATTGTTAAAATTTAAATGACACCACTGGTTCATCCTCAGAATCAAAATTTGATCCATAAACATCCTTAACAGGTGAGGCCCCCATTAAAAAAATATGACTTTTTTCTGTTAAATACTTTAAAATATTTGTAGAACGCCTAAGAGATAGATACCTACTTCACTGAACGCTCAACTAAAAGTTTTTACATTTAGTAGTGAATATTTGTTTTAAATTATATGGTAACAAAGAAATATAAAATAAAAAACTTAAATTTATTTGGACACTTGTTATAATAATAATAATAATAATAATAATAATAATAATAATAATAATAATAATAATAATAATAATAATAATAATAATAATAATAATAATAATAATAATAATAATAATAATAATAATAATGTAACTTTATTGTTAAATAATTGTAAAAAAAAACGATACCTTTCTTAACCTAGAATCGCCCATAATCCAAAATATCTTTTATTTACGTAAATTTAGGCTTTTCCCCAGCTTTTTTAAGGTACAGTAATTGACTATTTTGGACATTTATTTTTAGATCATCAACAGTTCAAAAACACGAATACAGTGCTCTAAAAACTGACGGTGGATCTACAGAAACATGTAAATATGAAGTACAAATACGAAATGGAGCTTTTATGACATGTAAGCAATATCTTGCAAATAATGAGAGATATGAACTAAAGACCCAGCTTGGAGATATTGGAACCAGGCCGGACAAACACTGGTAAGTCATTATTGTGTTAAAAAATTATAAATTCACCACGTTTTAAGGTAACCAATTCGAGCGGTTTTGGTCCTAAGTAGGCACCCTGTAGCACACCATACGAGGTGTGTTTAGAAAATATCGGGATAGCCTTTAGTTCGTTCAGCGATGCGCTTTTAATGTCATCTATGCTTGCAAAACGACGGCCCTTTAAGGTTCTGTTTATTTTTGGGAATGGCAAAAAGTCAGACAAAGGCATGTCTGGCGAATATGGAGGCTGTGGCATCATTACAGTATTGTTTTTGGCCAAAAATGTTGTTCAAAATTTAACAATTTTAGAACAAATTTTGCTGCCACGCGTTTCATAACCAAAACATTTGAAAAAATTTCATGGGATAAGCCAATCGATATACCAACATCACCAGCGACTTCTCTGATGGTTTATAACCATTTATTCCACTTTTTCCATGTTTTTATCGGTTGTTAATGTGCTTGTGCGTTCGGGGCGTTCGTCATCTTCAACGTCTTCACGGCCATCTTGCAAACTCTTATACCACTTGTAAACTCTTGTTTTACTTATAGCAGACTCACTATAGGCCTTTGTTAACATTTCACAAAATTTATTTCATTTTTTAAGCAAAATTGGATACAAATTCTTTGATCCATTTCTTTTAACGAACGAAAAATCGCCGAGCTCATAAAACACGTCTAACCTTAGCGGCTGCCACAGACAAAGTAAACAATGAAAACAGCTAAAGTTTTTATCATACTTCGGGGGCATGTACCAACATAATAAAGAAAATTTTATGACAACCGGACCCTCCGAACCCGCGAAATTTAACAATTCAAGATATTTTCTGAACACACCTCGTACATACTCTATAAATTTTAGAAAAATACGTTAAATTGTTAAATATTACTCCAGTATAACCTGTTTTATCGATTATACTAAAAATAACCAAAGCAAATACCTATAGGTAATTTATTATTAATTTAAAATCGTTTTCACCCATAACTCACTTTTGGTCGGTTTTCAACACATTTATAATAATAGGTGTAATATTTATACCATTTTGTGCTAAAGATCATGTCGTGTGGCACTTAAATTGGTATTTTCGTGGCTTTCGGCTGGTCACGCAAAAAATTCTTGTTGTTTGCAACTAATTCAAAATATCTACACGCAATGGGGGTTGATACATTTATTAAAATACTATTAATAAACTAACTGTGGTAATAAAGTATTTTGAACGGTGTAATTTAGTACGGTAAGGTGCACAAAAGTGCGCATTGTCTCAATTTAATTTAAAACATTTGTCAATCGTAAGTTTACTTTCATAGGTTTATAGTCCAAGACAACACCCTAACCGCTGAAAGACTGCTAAGTTTGGTGCCATTGCCATCCGATTGCCCCCTTAATCCGTCCCAGCAGACCCGCGAGACCCTTCTGGAGCTGTTCAGGGGTCTGCAACACCCGTACATCCATCCAGTGCTAGATATTGAATTCTGGGAAGCCGGAGCCGCCCTAGTAAGCCCCTTAAACCCCAGCGGAAGTTTAAGGGATGTTATCTACGGTGCCAATTTTTCGCACGATTGTCAGGAGAAGTATGCTGATAGAGGCGCAGGATTGGCCCTTAGAACGGTACGATAGTACTTTGTGGTAAACTATATTTTTTTTCATTTGAAAGAGCAGTAACAAACCAAAATCCTTTTTTATTGTAGCTAACAAATACAGCTTAAATGACTAACAAACTATTTTTCATAAACTTCCCAAGTAGAACGACTAGTTAAACTAACGTTAAATTTACATTATGCATGGTTAATTTATTTAAGTAAAATTGTACTATAACGTTAAATTAACCTTAAATTTTGGAATTCAATCATGGTAAAATAAACGTTAGGTATATTATTTAAATTTAACTTCTTGGTTAATGTACCTTTTGGTTAAAAATAAGTTAATATTTGGTAGTTTTTGGTTTATTTTACCCTTTTTTAACTACTTTTTAACTCTTAAGTCAACTTAAACCATAAATAACCTCTGAATAATAATACTCATATGTATGTATGTATATAGTTCTAAGGTTAAAATTAAAAATTAATAATATAACGTTATCTAACTTCTAAAATAATCTACTTTTTAACTCACAAGTAATACTACTAACTAGTCAAATATTTTGTATATTGTTAGTCAATTTAAACTCTTGAAATAACCTTAATTTATCTATCTAGGTAAATTTAGGTTATTTAAAGAGTTTGACTGTAAATAAACCAAATATTTAACTAGACAGTAATATTACCAATGGGTTTATTTTATTAGTTAAATTATAAAAAAAATAACGTTTTAATCAGAGCTGGGAGTATCTTGAAAAAAAGATACTTGAAAGTAACTAAAATACGTATGATACTTAAAGTACCTATGATACTTTATCTTAGATAGTTTTTATATTGGACAGAAAGTATCTTTAACTAAGTTACTTTGGAAAAGTATTTTGTAACTTGTGTCTAAAAAGGTTTTTAAGTTACTCGGTAATTCAACTAACTTAGATACTTTAAAGTAAATAAGATACTTTTTAAAGTACCTTAGATACTTTTCAGTGTACTTAGATACTTTATTAAATAAAATTGGGGGAATTCCAGAATGATTCAAAGTAATTACCTAACCTACAACTTGTTGAATTTTCATAATTTTATAGTTTTTATTCATACTTACAAGTTACTTAGTTACTCAGAAGTATCTTAATTACTTAAAAGTATCTTAGTTAAACAAAAGTATCTTAAATACTTTCATATAGTATCTTGTAACTAAGGATACTTTTAACTCAAAGTATCTAGTTACCAGAGGTAAATAAGTTATTTTTTTTAAAGTATCTTAGAAAAGTAACTAGATACTTTTCAGAGGTATCTTTCCCAGCTCTGCTTTTAATTTACCTTAAGGTTATAGCAACCGTTTGGTAAATTTAAAGAGTTAGTTTTTAGTTTATATTAACCTTTAAAAAATGTTAATGGTTCTCTCTAAAAATGAATTAGTCAAAAATGACTAATTTAATAATTATTAGTGGCTGCTTTTTCACTTGGACCATGGTTAACCAATTCTTATGTAAAATTGTCCCCTGAATCAGAAAATGTCGTCAAAAGTTAAAAAAGTTGAACAGTTTTTGAGATATAGTAAATTTTTCATTTAATATGGAATTGACTATATCTCAAAAACTGCTCCACTTTTATGTTTTGACGGTATTTTCGGATTCAGGGGACAATTTTATATAAGAATTGGCTGTTAAATTTTAGGATACCATGGTTTTCCATGGTTAACCATGGTACAAATGAAAAAGCAGCCACTAATTATTAAATTAGTAATTTTTGACAAATTCATTTTTAGAGAGTAAAATACAATTAATTGGTTAAAAAACAATTTAAAAAAAACGTTATTTTACTTAAATTTTGGTTAATTTCCTTAGAATGCTAGTTATTTAACCAATTGTGCTATTTGGGTTAGTTTTGACTTCTACGACTGTTCTTTTAAATGAGTGATGAATGTGTAGGTAAACTAGATTTGTTCCTCTATAAATTTAAGTTAAACTTTGACTAAGCTTAAGTCTTGGGGGAAAAGCCAATGTAATCAATATCTGTTTCAATTACCCACCGCAAACTTAACAAAAATTCCTTAGGGAAAACCGGGATGGATACAAATTAATACGGCAATAAATACATTTTCCAACAGAAGCAATTATTTTGTGAAAGGAAATTTATACGTGAGGTACTTAAAAAAGTACTACCAGATTTTGCATGGATGAATAAGAAAAAATAGTAAAATTTGTTATTCAGTAAAAAATACAGCATCTTGAAAATATTGCAAAAATGAGTTTTAAAGCCTAAAATAGTTATTAGAGTCTTTTGTGCTGAGATCAACAAAGTTTGAATGCTGACCCGTAGCGAAGGCCTACAATTGAGCGAAGCACAGAAATACACTTCTCAATTGCATGGCATACAACATTTTATCTTTTATGTATATATACTATACTATAGTATACTATTAAACTCTGTATTTTAAAGTTTTTAATGTTCGTAGTGTGAATAAAAACACGCACTGTTTTATTAACAAACTAAACGATTTATTTTGTAACTTAATTACACTTAAAACACTAAGAAACTATAAAACTAACTAAACACTACTGTGCAAAAGTCTATTTATTTGCACGTATATTTATTTCGTCGCGAGTACCAAAGCTTGACTTACTGCTCCATGCTGCGCTGTTCCTTATATATTCAGTGCCTACGTGATACCAGTCACGCAAGCGCCTTCCCGAATATTCCAGCGACCTCCGGACCGCTCTTGATCGCTCGAGCGCTGACTCACCGGCGATGAGTCATCATTCCTAGATTCAGAAAGGTACTCGATACAGTATAAAACGAAACATTGCTAAATTAAAAATTCGTACCTTATTTTTACCGACTTTTGGCTAGCTTTTTTGGTGTCCGGCGTAAGCCCAATATATTGTTGATGAAAAAATGTGAATAATATTTCTAGTAATTTTTTTTTTTAATTTTAAGGTCCAATGTCTTGGAAGACAAATTCTCGAAGCCCTCCTATTTCTACAAAACCGTCAGTTCCCTCCAATATACCATCTACATACTGGAAACGTAATAATACAAAATGGCGTCGCGCGATTGGCAGGCCTGGAAAATTTACTTTTTGGTCTTACACCTAAACCCCCCGTTGCTCCAGACACTCTAGGTATGTTTCCCTAATCTCTTAAAATGAATTAGTCAAAAATAACTAATTAAAAGTCATAGCGAAAAAACATTCACTAATAATTAGTCGAATTCAACTGAATGAAATAGTCAAATTGGTAGATTTAAATTTAAAAAAGTTTTGACCCAGCTGGGGATTGAACTCAGGTCTGTTGCTTGTCAAGCTTGTCAAGCTGTTGTCATAACCAATGTGGCTATCAGTCACGTTTATAAAAATCAATTTTATTTGTCAATAAATATTGTTCATATTTTAAAGTTGAATATATTATTTGTGCTGATGTTTTGAGCTAAACTTTTTGCATCTTTGTTTGTTTTTATGGGCCATTTAACCATGGAGCGCATATGCTTTATTTTATTAGTAAAAAATTCTGGTACCAATTCAAATAGGCTATTTCCACAAAACCTTACCCCTTGACAAAAAATCAGATGTGTTATTAAACAAAATAACAACTATATCTGAATTCAAATAGTTTAATTGCGACGTAATTTATAACCTTAAAATATTCGTACATTGTGATGCTAAGAAGCTAACATTAAGAATAAATACGGAAGAGTTTCAATACTCGATAAAATGTTCAAATGTCGAACCCGTTACATTTTGTGAAAATTTTAGAAAATAAAGTATGCAATTTTTGTGCATTTAAAATACGTGCTTGTTTAAGGTTACTATTCAAGTTTTACACAAAAAATTATTACTATATGCTTTCATCCAAAATTTTACAGTATCAACTTTAGAAGCCAACTTGGTCGCCTTTGCCGATTTTCTAAGGTCGCACCCGTTACGCTATTCATGACGTTATAAAAGGTTTTATATAGAAGTTTTTATTGACATTTTGTTTGAGTTAAATACCTAATTTTTTATACTATTTTTTTATATTATCGTATCTTGATATATGTATAATATACATTTTATATGAACAAACACTTTATTATCATGAAAAAACGCAGTTTTAGTGTCGCACCCGTTACAATGGAAATACCCAATAGTAGAATTTTGACTATTTCATTTTAAGAGAGTAGTATTTTGTTAATGGGACACCTTTTATAAAAAAAATCATATTTTAGCATTTGGTTACATCCTTTTCGAAATGTCTGCGGGCTACCCGCTAGCGACTCCCCCCAGCCCCGCCCATCTGGAACTAGAACTGGAAAGAGCGCCCCAAGTGGCGGACGCCTTGAGCCTAATTTTTCACAAGTCCCGGCCGGCGACCTTGGAGGACTTGGTGCGGTGCGATTTGTTTAGAGGCGTGGAACTTCGCGAACTTCGCGGCGCCAGCATCCTGCAGTTTAGCACTCCGCAGGAGGTTCTGGAGCTGCTGGACCAGGTTAGGAACCCTGTGCCACCCTCGCCCATGCGACGGTAAGAGCAGATTTTTCTTAGTGCATGTTTATTGTTTTAAGTGTTTTTGTTTGTTTAAATAGTCGAACATATCGTTAAAGCCTTGGTATGCATAATTTTTTGGTAAGAACCTTTATTTTTATTACCTATATATAAAAATCTGCTATATATAAAAACACGGTTTTCTATAAAATGCATAAACTTAACTTTGGCTGTATTTCGTGCTCGAGAGAATTAAATTTTCCTTGTTGGAAAGCAGGCAATTTTAAATTGTATGGGATCAATATGTCTTGCAGCTCGAAAAATAATGTAATAAAGTCGTGGTTGAAAATAATTTATATGTTCTGGGGTTTCATGTTTTCTTTTGTTTTAAGGGGAGTAAGGTAAATATTTCTGTATAAGAAAACAAGTGATTTTATGTAAAGGTTTTTGAAATTTGTAGATTTTATGATTTTGGTATTTTGAGCTCCGTTTAATTTTTTATTCAGAAATTAATCTGATGTGTTAACCCTACAGTGATATTTTCAATTGGATAAAAAATATCACACAAGAATTTTTATTTTGCGAATTAATAATATCATGATATCATAGCATATTTTAAAATTAGATTTAATTTTTATGCCAAACTGATATTTTTAATTTAGTAAATTTAAAATATCTGCTTCTTGTATTTGTATTTTTTAGTTACACGCATATTTTTAATTCGTTAAATTAAAAATATCATAGGAGAAATTTTTAAATGAATTATGACTGATTGAGAGTTTGGATACCCCTGTTATTCAAAACGCCACAAAACCCGACCCACCAAGAACTAACGTGCACGTGCAGCACATACTTCCACAGGAAGTATGTGACGTGCAGTGATTGTGCCGCCATCTAGCGACAGAATTAGTTTGGAATACCAGGGGTGTCCAAACTTTCAATCTGAATTAGAAATAACACATTCAATTAAAAATATCTGCTTATTTTAAAAAATTAAAATTAAAATGATTTAAAAACTTCTCCTATGATATTTTTAATTTAGCGAATTAAAAATATGTGTTATAAGAAACAGATATTTTAAATTCACGAAATTAAAAACATCAGTTTGGCATAAAAAATAAATTAAATTTTTAAATATCCACTGATATTTTTTATTTGCAAAATAAAAATTCTTATATAATATTTTTTATCTTATTGTAAATATCACTTTAGTGTTAAAACAAAAGAATAATTCCTGAATAAAAATAAAACGGCGCCCCATAGATAGTCTAGAAAAGTTTGTAAAGGTCTAAAAGTGACAAAAAATAATTTCATTAATGAAGTGTGCTTTTCATCAGATTTTAGGGTTTTTCTAATCACATTTATTAATAAAACAATGCTGAATTTTAAAGACTATTAGACCAGTATACACCCCATAGAGTGTTTAAAAAAAGCGATATCGTTTTTTTCGATGTAACACAAAAATTCTTTCGATTATACCGAAATAAAAATTTAGCAAAAATCACAACTCTTTATTTCAGGTTCCTCAACAAGTTTAATTAAATATTTTCCATTGAAATAACAAAGGAAAATGTTTTTTTTATTATTTCATCCTGTAATCAGTGTTGCCAACATGAAATGAAGTAGTTCTACCAAAAGCCTAAATAAAATCCACCAGAATCCACCAGAAATTAGATAGTGTCAAAAAATAGGGAAAAGCGGGAGGGGGGTTATAAATTTTGATAAACTATAATAGCACAATTTATTTAAAAAAGAAACAACACAAAATAAAATAAATATAACTTCTATAAATAATAATAAATATTACTATATATTTAAAAATAATCAGATTAAGTCAAAAGCACCCATGTTTAAACTTTATAGGGACATTAGTTTTTGTAATTAATATTCTTACACTTTTGACAATTAAATTTAAAAAAATCGTTATATTGAAAAACAACTAATTTATACTAAATCTACTAGAAAATCCACCATGGTGGATTTTTTTATTTTTTCCCACCAGACGGCTATGTTTATCCACCAGATCTAGTAGAAAATCTACTGAGTTGGCAACACTGCCTGTAATCTATCTGTACCTGCCTATATACGGGGTTGAATCTACAGAGTAACGAAGTTTTTAAATCATATTTAAAAAGACATAGGGGATACATATTGCCTAATAATAAAGTGGTAGTTTCTTAATATTGTTGTATGTTGCTATAATGATCATGACAACAAACAACAATATTAGTGTCAAAATGAATTGACCAAATACAGGGACAAATAATAGTATATTAAAGAAGTAATGTCATAAGACGTTTTTGCTATTTTATATATTTTGCAAAAATTCTATAAAAAAATTAATTTTATATAGTCACGGCCAAATCTTAAATTTAATTTAGATAGTTGGTATCACAGTCATTGGTTTTACAGTTAATGTCAAAATCGATTCGCCATGCCGTCCTTAATTTATTTATTTACAATAAGCGGCTGTTAATGTTAAAGAAGAAAAAAAGGATTTTCTTTGGTGTTATACAAAATTTATTACCAGAAAAGTCTCGTAAGTAGTAGAAAAATCATAAAAATATTATAACCAATATGCAAAATATTATGCGGTTTAAAGTAGAGCCAACCTATGAAATCAAAATTTTGGGTGGGATAAAGTATCTCATAACAGCACCGAAAGCGGTGTTATAATAAAGTCATTATGAACGCAAAATAGATAAAACCATATAATAAATGTATAAAGAAAACTAAACAATGAGGTTGGGAAAGGTAATTTTTTAATTGCATATTTGGAATCTACAAACGCTCTCAGAATGAAGGAAGAACTTTTTTTTACAATTTTTGGGATACCTGGGGGTCTGTGTCTGACATTGTCTATAAACTTTTTACATATTTATAAATGACTCTTGGCGTTGCATGTTACATCGAAAAAAATGATTTCGCTTTTTTAAACACCCTAATACAGCTACAACAATTTTAAGGAAATATTTAGAGCAAGATTTATTTTAGAAAAGATGTAGTCATTATAGTAGAAGACAGGAGGCTAGAGGACATACTAGAAGAAGACAACGAAGATAGTGATACAAGTAGTGGCGATAGCGGTAGATAGTAAAACTAGAAATTGTAAATAGAAAACATTTTCAAATTTTGAAAATTTTTTCAATGTAAGTAGTAAAAACGTAATTTTAATGTGCGCTGTGTTGATTAAAGCTTTAAGCGGTTTAAAAAAAATAATGTGTGGCCAAAATTTTGGACCAACTCTGATTTATTTTGTATGATAAGTATTTTCCTATGTAACTGATAAGTTATTAATAATAATGTTCTAACGTTTTAATAATAAATAAAGGCTCAATAGTAACTTTACGGGTTTGCAATATGTCAATCTATGATTAAATACAGGGTGTCTCAAAATTTACCTTTATCTATACACCCTGTCTATAGAAAATTGCCTATAAAATGAATGTATAAACTTATATAAAGGCAATAATAATAACTGTAAATATAAGGTAATAAACTTTTTATTAATACTTTTAGTTTTAAAGTTCATAATAATACTAAAATGCTTTAGGAAAAAAATAATACCTACCAAGCACAATCCAATAAAAAATACAAAAATATTCCGGCGCATTCGCCATTTTTGTAATATAAAATGGCGAATGCGCCTTATATAAAACAATTTAAATTCTACAGTCTCCTAAAAATGGCGCACTAACACCATATATGGTATGCATACCTTGTACATGTGCATTAAGTTGTCCGTATTTCCCAAGTTGTATCATCTAAATTATTTGTCGTCTAAATCTAATAACAATTTTAAAAAAATCCTGCCTAAATGAATTTTAATGACAAGAAACTCGTAATTACACTAGTTTACAAAATCGATTTGGTCAAGCAAGCCCTTAAATTGAAGGTATTTGAGCCCTCTGATATCGGATAAGTATTTTAACGCTAGCGATTTTAATAACTTAAAAATTCGTCTTTATGGTAAAAGTTGAGGTCGAAAATTTACATATCGACCTGGGAAAGGTTTAAACCAAACAGATAACTCCAGTTTGAATTTTTTTTCGTGAAGCTAACATTTTTACAAAAAATCATGCCAATGTTGATAAAAATACATGGAAAAATGGTGAAGTTATGAATTTTTTAGTGGAAGATTTTGTCATTAAAATGTCATTTAGGAAGGCTTGAACGACATTGTTTTTAGACTGTACAAAAATAATTTAGATAATACCATTGACAATGATGATACCCAAGTATAAAAAATCAACTTGGAAAATATGGTGTTAGTACGTCATCATCTGAACACCCTATATAAAAACAATTTTTTGGCATCTGGATGTGCCATATAAAATTTTAATTATCCGATAATAAATCAAAACCAATATTTATTTCGTTAACGAAAAAATAACAGTGATAACTTTGAATAAGGTTTTTCTAAAAATAAGCAAAGAACTGTTGGAAATGCTATTTTAAGAACTCCCAATAAATCTATCTTAATATTGTTCATTAAAATACGTTTTAGTATTAGCCAGCTCTAATAAGTTAGTTTTTGTAATAATTAGTTATTTTTACTACGTAATATGAGTAGAACGCTTTAGAATTGTAAAATATACAGAAAATATTATTATTCTGTTAATTTTTGTTGTATTGTAGAAAATGTAATACAAAATTGTAATTAGTTTGAATGTATATTTTTGGCGTTTTTTGTACGATGATAATTTTATAAAAATTCTAAAAAATATTGACTCCATAATCCCTACACAAAAAACGTCCAAACATATACATTGTACTTTAGGGTGTGCGTCATTTCCCCCTTTTTTCTACTTGGCCATGATCTAAATCCTAAAATAATTATAAAACAAAAAAAATCATTTTAAAATTATGTTTAGATCATGGCCAAGTAGAAAAAGCCAATTTCGGAAATAACGGACACCCTAATGTACATAAATTATTATCCCTGCAAAAGGTACATTCCAAACGTTTTGTTTAAAACATGGCAATAATTGTAACATATCTAGGGCCGTCCTCGTATGAGTCAAGTCAATTGTAAACAATTTAATCTTTCTTTTTATAGCAATAGCTTCGTAAATGTTTTTTGGACGAAAACTTTTCGAAAGAAAAATCAAAAAAAGAAATACCTTTTTATACAAACGCATGGATTTAAAACATACGTAACCAAGCTAAAAAAAGACAATCGGCATAACAGAATCAAAAACAATACTTAAGATTCATTTGGGCAAGTTTTAAACCCAGAAAATAGTAAAAAAAATAATAATACTAAATTATATAATTTTCTATAGCTTTTTATTGACCCGTGTAATTATGTAAATTGAAGCAATACTTATAACCAAAGATCTCTTTAAATAGTAAGCACATTTTTGTTTTTAATTGTATTTTATTTAAACTTGCAAGTTTTAATACAAATAAAATTATTCTTAACTGTTTTCCTAGTAGTTTAGCTTATAAAAATTGTTTTTAGGAAATAAAACTTCATTTTTATATAGTGTTTTATTTCTTACACATAAAATAATGTCAATAAATTATTATAAATTAATATAATACTTTAATACTGCCGCCCTAATAAGGAAAATTACAAGAATTATGGTTGAATTATTGATGTAGGATTTTGTTAAATCTACGATATGTTTGTTTTTGTTTATATTTTCAAACAAAAACTGGTCTGATAGAACAAAAACACTGCGATCCCAGTGGTGGCTTTAAAAATAAAATAACTCCTAGAATTTTGCGAATTGGAAAAAAGGTAAAAGAAATTTATACGCAGTCCAAAACTCAAATTATTATACACCGCCGTACAATAATGAAAATACATTGAATTCACATAGGAAGAGTGTTTTAATCTAATAAGTATTTAGCTTTAAATCAGTGTAGCCTACACTGTGTAGGTAACTGTTGACTTAAAATGAAGACATTATCTACTACATACCAACTTTCTTTAAAAGAACGGCAGAATAAATTGTCGATTTTTATTCTAGCTGCCATCTTCTAGGAAGAAATTTTGTTGAACGTGTCCCCCATAAGGTTTTCGGTCCCCTTTTTGTCAAACCGCTTTTTTTAATACCCAAATACCAATCTGGATAAGCCACTGATCTATACGATGTATACGACCCAGCGAAAGATTCCTCAAAAATGGTGCCAAATTTATTTTTATCAGCCTACAAATAAAATTAAAATAGAAAGCCGTTTATTTGAGATTTGTTATAAAAGTGACCCCTAAATGGTTCCTTGCGGCACACCCGTTCTACTTACTTCCCCATATAGCTTTCCATTCTTGTTAAAGCATACAAATAAGTTTGTTGATACACCTTGTATTCTAACATGTCCTACTTCATCGCCTTGTAAGATTTGCAAATTAACTAGAATTTTATATTTAATAATTAAATTTTTGATTTTAATGTTGGTACTTACCGTCTGGGTCAAAATCATCTTTGGTGCCTAAAATGGTACCGTCATTTCTTATGGTTAAATTGTATCCTGTTTCTGAGTACAATTTATATTTGTTACCGAAAGGATTATTCATAATAAAAACTAAAAAATAATTATTTTACGAGGTGTAGACTGATTTTTTTTCTTAGTGTTAGGTGTTGCGAGCATTCAGTACAAATTTGAAACATTTTTTCATATTTGTAATGAAAATGAAAATGAAAATTTTGTTCGATTTTTCTTCTATATACGATTCTGCAATAATTTTTCTATAAAAATATCACTTTTTTTGGCAATAATTATCCCATTAAATTAAATCTAATTTTTTTAAGTAACCACGATATTTTAACTAATATTTAAGTTTTCTTTGGGTTAAGTTTGATACATTATTTCATTCGGTTTAGCATTATTTAATCAATTTAGTTCGAAGATGATTTTGATTTATGGAGGCAGGAATCTTGATGATGCTGTTAATATCTACGCTCAGCGTTTTCCGGATAAAATTCGATCACGAACTTCATTTCAGCGTACAGTCGAGCAGTTTACTACAAACGGGAGTGTTCAACCGAAAAAAAAATTCGTCGAGCAACAGTTACAAGTGGAAATAATGAAATTAATGTATTAGCAGCAACGGCCGCTAATCCTCATGCAAGCACACGAGAATTATCCAGAAATGCGAATTAATAAGTGCATTGAAGTCGAAGTCGAAGAATTAAAATTTAAAAAATAAAACCAAATTCCCCCAAGTTCCAAATTAAATGACTCACTCTGTATAGTGCACACTCAACTTAAATGTTGACGTTTTAAGAAAAAAATCAAACGATCTAATTTTAACGTATTGGTTTTGAAACAAAACTATTTTACTATTGATTAAATACTTTATTTTTTGTATAATACAAAAATATTTATAAATCTAATCTTTTGTACTATGTAGATATAATAGATAATACTTAAAGGTAGTAAAATGCATTTTAACATCTAAAAAGTTAAACATAATACTTAAAATTCCTTGCATCGTAATTTTTTATTCAAACCTTTTTCTTCTAGGCAAAAAACTGATTGCTTTCTGCCCGTACTTAGTTTTTCTGCCAGATTTGAAGTTGCCATTCTTTTTTATTCCGATATACCAGTTCCTTCTTTCATATCTTTTGGATTTATATGTGGTATAAGAACCTTGGAATTCTTCTATAAATATAATTTTCTGACTACTTGGATCGCGCTTAAAATAAAATTAAATAAACACCTAATCAATATTTTTTTTTAATATTAAATTCGTACTTCACCATATAGTTTCCCTCTATGGTTCATAGCAACAAATAAATTTGTCAACATTCCTTGAATTTTAACCAAACCCGGTCCACCGCCAGGCATTAGCTCCATAAATGCTAGAAATGTGTTAAAAACATCTTAAACGATAAAAATAAAAAAATCATATGTGATGAAAAACAGATTATAGCTGAAAAGCGCTGTGGTCGTCAAGTTAGTAATTGCTACCTGCTTTTAGACCCTTTCACTTTTTTCCGTTAAAGAGATTTCTCATTACATACATTTTTTACTTACTGTGAAGGTCATTGTCGTCCTTTGTGCCTTTTACGGTACCATCCGGATAAATGGCCAGGTTGTGTTTTGTTTTCGAAAACAATTGCATCCGATATGACGCCCAGGGCGTCTGCGATTTCCCGCGCGTCGTCCTGCTACTAGATGCCGCTGATGTTGAGTAGAAAGGGTGGTTTTCCGTGTCGACGCCACACCTTTAACATTTTTATACGTCTGGGTAAAAATTCTTTATATTTTCTTACAACATTCGTGGTTTTTGTATTTATAGCGAATCGCTGGTAATATGTTGAAAACCCATAAATTTTACTTATTTATAAAACGTGCTAGTTTCGTGTAAACTAAGTTAATAATTTCAATATTTACGACGCTATAAACATTTGCTAAAAATTGAAATGGCTTATAATCATATTACAAGTATTTTCATAAAGAATACGGCCAAATGTAATTATACAATGTTATTAACATATTTCAGATTATTTTCTAGTCACTTAAAATTCTTAAAATAGACCAATATTATTAGAACAACATTTTAAAAAGTTCAAAGGGAGGTATGTAAAAAAGTTCTTACCATGCAATTTCTCTTTTTTTCCTGTCCACATTATCTGGTTCATCTGAATCACTAGTATAAGCACTAATATTATCACTAGATTCACTAGTAGAACTCGAACTCTCCCCTGTTTTCATTGTTTACTTAAAATTCTACGATTTTTTGCACTTAATATGCCCTTTTTAATATAAAATACCAAAAACATATATCTGGCTCCAATACGCCTCAATTAACAGTATGAATAACCGACTTGTCTGAATGAACTAAAGATTTTAATTTTGTTTTGCCCCAGATATAAATAGATTATAGCGTAAAATGTATTTCATTTAATTAACAGAGCTAGTTTGATATAAGAATTTTGAATTTATTCGTAAAACTTACCAATTTATTTAAAAAACCAATTCTATACTGAAATATTTTATAGAGATATTTTAAATGATATAATTTAAATATTAATAAAAGCGACATTGCCACATTTCATATTACTAAAATAAAATGTTAACCTACCCGAACCAAATATTAAATAAAAACTATATTTGTCTATACATTAATTATAAAAAAATAATAAAAACCTTTCATCAACCATTTATTAGTTTATAGGCAGTATTCGTATCACAAAAAATAAATTTGGCAACATGTATAAATGACAGATTAAAACTAACCTAAAAATAAATTGTTTGGTACATAAACGATTTTCATTTAAGTTAACAAAGAAAATGGCAGACGAATTGGAAAATGTAAGTTAAAATAGTAAAAAAATGTAAAATTCTTAATAATACAACATAATTTTTATTGTAGATTCCCTCGATAGCTGTTAAAGAACCTTTGGATTTAGTTAGGTTAAGTTTGGATGAGAGGATCTACGTTAAAATGAGGAACGATAGAGAAATAAGAGGGCGACTTCACGTAATAACTTATTTATTCCTAGTGTACAAAATATAAAATGCTATTTTACAGGCTTACGATCAACACATGAATATGATTTTAAGTGATGCCGAAGAGACTATAACCACTGTAGAAATCGATGAAGAAACCTATGAGGAGGTTTACAGGACCACAAAAAGAAATATTCAAATGTTATTTGTTAGAGGGGATGGGGTGATTTTAGTTTCACCCCCAATGAGAACCTCTTAACTAAACAATTAATTAAAAAAAAAGTATTTTTAAGCATAAATACTAGCTATAATTTAACATTTTCCAATCTTTTAAGTTGTTTTTATCAATAAACCAAGTTAAAATTCATATAAATCGTTTTTTATTTAAAATTAGAAAGTAGAAACCTGTAAAATGGGTAATAACTGTCAGTGGCGTAAAACATAACCTTAAATCTGGATTTTATGAAATAATTTACTTTATTTACATTTGATGCCACAATAGTTATAAACAATTGTTGTTTAACATGTAAAGTGCTTTAATATCAAATGGCGAAAACATATCAAAATGATATAGCGATAAACGAAATTGACCATAAAGAAATCGAATTTTTGGGGGTAGGGAAGGTTTTAATTGTAGTTGTTTATTATTTATTTTTGAACATTTTAGCCCATTGGAGAAGGAGCTTTTGGCGTGGTACACAAAGGTTTCTGGAAGGAAAAATATGTAGCTGTTAAACGATTAACCCGAGATGCAGAAAAAAAAGCCTTTTTAAAGGAGGTTTTACAATTATCAAGGGTAGAACATGATAATATCGTTAAATTATATGGGGCTTCAACGGCCCCCAATAACTTTTTACTAGTCATGGAATATGCAGAAGGTGGTTCTCTGTATAATGTTTTACACTCATCGGCTAAAATAAAATATACACTTAACCATGCAATGAGCTGGGCTTACCAATGTTCTAAGGTAAAAATAAAATGTTTTGTTCCATTTTGTACACAGGTTGTCCCGAAAACGGCGCAGTAAGGGGGTTAATTTAGATAACAAAAAATACCTACAACAAAAATTTCTGACAAGTAGTTTTTAAATTACCTACAAGGATTTCTAGATTTTTTTTTTTTAGAATAATGTTATAATACTATTTTTTTATTTATTTAACTATAAAACATTGCAAAAATAAAGTTGTTTAAATTAGAATTATTTGGCTATATAGGTAATCTAGAAAATAATACAGGTAAACTAGGTATTTGATTTTATACTTTTTATATATAGGGTGTTGAATATCTACATGCAATGAAGCCAAAGCCAATAATACACAGAGATTTAAAACCTCCTAACTTATTACTAGTAATGGGTGGAACTAGGCTTAAAATATGTGATTTTGGTACAGCAGCAGATAAAAACACATACATGACAAATAATAAAGGTTCCCCTGCCTGGATGGCCCCTGAGGTAACAATTATAATAAAATTATTAGACAAAGTCATAATTATGTGCATTCCAGGTTTTCCAATCGGACAAATACACGGAAAAATGCGATATTTTTAGTTGGGGCATCATTTTGTGGGAAGTTTTGTCTAGAGAAAAACCCTTTCAAAATAAAGGTACAGCCCTTGCCATAATGTGGGCTGTGTTTAATGGAAATCGACCTCCGTTAATAAGAAATTGCCCAAAACCTATAGAACAACTTATGGTGGATTGTTGGGACAAATGTTCAGAAAATAGACCAAGCATGCAACAAGTAAGTTTTTATAAACAATTTGCACTTACATTGCAGCTAAAAGCAATTGTAGACAACAAACATTGCACTAATATCACAAAAACACAAAACTTAAGTTAAAAACACAGTTTTAAAGCACTTAAATCAACAATAATTTAAAACGCGAAATGTCAAATTTGAAAAACAACTGTCATGCGCGTTGCCAACCAGCGTTGTGAGCTCATAGTAATTTGCACTATTGTCACGGAAATGGCAACGTCGCAAACAAAAGAACTTCAAAGCCGTCTTATAAGATTGTTTTTTAACAATATGGCCGATTTTATATTTTAAAGCGAAATTATTAAATCTCTATTTGTTTATTTTAGGTTGTTGAGCGTATGGAGAAAATTTGCTGCCTTCTGTGCACGGCGGACGAGCCGATTTTCATGCCGGAAGATTATTACGACGTCGAAGATGAAGACGATGAAGAACAGATCGACGAAGAAGATGGAATTTCTAGTCAATTTAACACGACGGAAGTTAAGAGTTCCGTTGAGTCTGTGAAAACCACCTTACCTCAGCCTAGCGGCGATATTAAACCGTTGGAGATACAGGTGGATCCGGTGAGTGCCAGAAAAATGATTTTAAATTGATTTTTCCCTCGAACGAAGTAATATTTCCGACGAATATTTTGTCAGAATTTAAAGCCAATTTTATATGGTATCTGACAACTCAAGCGGTTTTAACCTCACTTTTCCCCATCTAATATTTATCAACGCTGTGACTAGAGGCACGCTAACGTGCTGCGATTCGAAATGTTAAAGGCACGTTAGTTACGTCATAAACCCAAACCAACCCAAACTCAACAACACAACCCAACCGACCCCGCCCCATTGCCCCCCCCCGCCCCATTGAGCAAAAAACCCAACTAAAATGGGCAAATTTATGTTACGATAAAAATAAAACACTTTTTAACAAAGAAACAACAAATTTATGAAATAAAAAAATAAAAAAATTTCGACAACTTCTTAGTTTTGAACCCGGGACCTCTCGCATGCAAAGCGACCGCCCTACCATATGAGCTATCTAGCTACATGTCAAAATTAAACGCTCGGGGAACAAAAACGGATTATAATTATGACGTAACTAACGTGCCTTTAACATTTTCAATCGCGGTACGTTAGCGTGCCTCTAGTCACTGTGATTTGTCAAACCGTTTTAACCTCACTTTTTTCCATTTTTTATCTTTAAGCTAACTTCAACTAAAAGTACTTTACAGTTTTCACATGAACTAATACCTATTCTGTCAATTCTCGGATGTGCTTATATAACTTGAATTACCACCCACATAACACAAAAATATATTTAAAATTGAATGCATACTTTTGCAAAATTACCTAAATATTTTAAAAATATTAGTCATTATCATTTAAATGCCTTTAAAATGTATTTACAACATTTAGATGTCCCACTTTTTATACCTTTTTATCAATATCATATTGTTAAATAACTTAACAATATTTAGGAAATAATATTTACATAAATATGCGAAATAAATGTTAAAACATATTTACTTGATATTTATGAATGTTTCAGAAATATTTACGCGTAACAGTATAATATTTATAAATATTTTTCCCTGAATGTTCGTACAACATTTCATCAACCTTTCATTTATAAATATTGTTCTCTAAACGGCCTTACAACATTTTTTAACATATACGCTAAAGAAATATCGCTAGTAGCGCCACCACTCGGCTGTTATCATCGTAACAAAAGTACAACTTTTAATAATCAGCTGTCAAACGCTTATGTTACAAACGAGTGTTTTTGAGAATAAAGCCGGAAAATGTTAAAAAATATCGGGAAAAAAACCGCTCGATTTTTTGTGTTGTTTTGTGTATTTCGAGAGGAAATCCTGGGTTGAGTTTTTACCGGTTTTCCAATGTGTTTCCAGTGTTAATCTGAATGAAGAAATAAATTGTACGTATTAGATACAATAAACACATTTTAGTGGTGATTATCGTGAAAAGTGTAAACATTTCAATTCAGTAAAAATCGCCAAACAAATAAGTCGTCTAAATTTAAACAGCATTTAGCATTATTAAAAGCGTTGATTAAGAAAGTCTCCACTCAACGGTAAAATACCATTATATATAATATTATGTTGCCATGAATTCGTAGGTATATTTTGCTGTTTAAAATGCAATTGTCGGCGTTTTTTAGAGAACTTAAATATAAAAATGTTTGATTTTAAGGTTAAGTTTGGGCCAAAATTATTTTTTACTAATTTCTTAAAAATGTCCAAACTTAAATATAAATTATATTAGGTAAAGTTATCATTAGTTAATTCTGCACCAACAAATGTACTTACCGAATTGGATCCTTTGGCAAAACATGAAAATGCAACGATTTAGTTCTTGAATTTTATTTACAATTAAAAACACAAAAATTCACTATGATTCCTTTGATAAAATACACTCACTAACGTAACTATATAAGCATTTATGCGTTGAGTTTCTTAATCAATGATATAAGGAATAATGAATCGAAATCGAGTAATAAAAAAGTTTTTTAATTTTTTCCTTGCAACGTAAAACATAAATAACTTGCGCGATTTAGCTGTGCAATTGAACAAAATTGGTCGAATAAGACTTCTGCCTTCCTCTCTTTTGTGGAAAAACTACCTATTTATTAAAAAATGATGTATAATCTGTGATTTAAAGAATTGTTGAAAATTCTTAAATTCACGCAATGCTATCGAAGTCCACCAGATGGCGCGCGCGTTGCGAAAATCCCATACTTCTTTAGCGTATTGTGTTATGTGGACATAGAATGGGACTGTTAAAGTAGATTTTCTTTGTAAAACCTAATCATTATTAATATAATTATTAAACTTGTTCTAAAGGGGTTGAAAAATATTGTTACTCCTCAGTATTTTTTACCATACTTACCCATGTTTGGCTTACGCGGGTAACGGCCACGGGAATAACTCGTGCTCGTACGGAAAATTTTTATTTTTTTAGATTTCGTATGAAATACATTATTACTGATATATTTATTGTTTTTAGAATGCCTGGGATTTTGAACGAAGCTATGATATGCATACCATGCCTGGTTTTGATAAAGCAGAGTGGAGAAATCGTGAGTAATGTTAAAAAAAACGTTTGAAAAATGTTAACAATGTTTTTTTATAAAATTAAAAATGATGGCCACTATTTAAAGTAAGCGTATTAATTTTCTAGAAGTGACAGCTGAGTCTAGAGTACAAAATAAATTTACTTTGTATTCTCTTAGTATTTAGATGTCGTAGATTATTGTGTTGAAAGGCCGACACACTTTTTTTTAACTGGCACCAAATTGTCTCATCACTAGTTCAAGTGTGTATAGTGCGTTTTATATGACAAAATCGAAAAATAGTTGTACGCGAGTTGCAAAAATTAATCAAATCATCCCTGATTTTTTGACAGATGTCAATTGTCTTGTTCTAAAGGGTTGCCAATTTAATAAAGTTAAAACAATTAATTTGTCTCACTGCTTAAGTTCTATATTTTTAAAGAAAACGAACTATATGCAATACTACGAAAAAACGGTCGTTAAAATTGGTGTCCGTCCATGTAATAGATTCGCATTACTCAGAAATTTAAATTTATTTTGTCTATATAACCAGCCGTAAAGATTTTTTGTGATTAATCAGTTCAAAGCAGATTGCTTGTTTTATTTTTTATAAATACTTTTTATCTTCTAAAATTTATTGTTGTTAATAGTCCTTACTAAAGTGATTGATTAATAACCATTAATCAATTAATTATCAATGATTATGGCCTAGGCACTTAAAAATGATTTAGACCAATCAGGTTAGGTTGTTTATAGCCTAGGCCGTAAAAATTCAATATTTATTTACTTTTTTAGCGTAATAAAACTATTTTTAGCCGTCACAGTCTTATATATATACACAGTGTGACCCATTTGTTTGCGACTTTATTTATTGTGCGATTTTAACCGGATTTGTTTTAAAATGTAGATCTTGATAAACTGTATTTTTGAAGCAAAAACGCCATATGTTTACAAAATACAAGGCATACCATGTCAGTTTTTAGGATTCATATTAGCGATTTTTTTAAACAAAATCTAAGCACGGCACTGAATTCACCACCCCTCAAAACGACCATATACTAAATTTTATTGAAAAATTTTAAGAAAAAAAAACTACAAAAATTTATTTTGTCAAGTTATAGTGTTGCAAACAAGGAAAAGTTCGGTCGAAAAGTTGGAAAAGTTGGAAAAGTTCGGCACCCCCTATGAAAAGTTGGAAAAGTTATTAGGTGGGAGCCAGTGTTTCCACTTCCAATAAATTTTTTTTGGTAGATAATTTGGTCAAATTCGATATAAATCGCTAGGTTTGAATTTTTTTTTAGTAAAAAATGCTTTATCAAAAATGGTGTCTGCTAACAGCATTTTCCAATATATAAAGATTGTTTTATTATAACGTATTTTAAATTTATACACAGTATGAAAAAAATATTATTTTTTTTTAATTATGGAAATTTGCAAGTGAAAATATAAAAGTGGAAAAGAAGAAAGTTTTCTTTTCTTTTTCTTTTTAAATTTTTTCTTGTAAATTTCCATAATTTTTAACAACAATAAATTTAATAATTTTTGCTTCATATTTTTTTGTAATTATTTTTTATTTCGTATGTGTTTTTTTATGGTGTGTATAAATTTCTATTCTTTTTTACTTAAAAAATATGATTTTTTTAATTCGAACCTAGTTTATTTTTGTTGTTATTATGTTGTCTGTTCATTTTTTTTTGTTATTTTGTTACGTATGTATAAATACATAAGAAATAAATTATTTTAATACATTGACAAGCATTATTTATGTTTTATATGTTTACATTACAAAAAATTCAACTTTTCCATCTTTTCCAACTTTTCCGAAAAATAAAACCCAACTTTTCAAAAATTTCAACTTTTCATGAAAAGTGGCAACCCTTGTTATACACGAAAAAACATTGAAATAAAATTAAACTAATAGTTACATGGTACTATTACTATAAGTTTAATTTTATTTCAATGTTATTTCATGGATAACTTGACAGAATAAATTTTTGTACTTATTGTGGATTTTTCTACTTTTTCAATAAAATTTAGTAAAGGGTCGTTTTAAGGGGTGGTGAATCCAGTGCCTTGCTTAGATTTTCTTTAAAAAATCGCTAATATGAATTCTTTAAAATTTACTCAGTGTCATAATGGTGGTATTTAAGGTGCTAATAATGTTTATTTATAATTAAGTTTTAATTCAAATGGCCACAATGATGCCAAATGCCGTTCGTATTGGCAAGCGGCAATGATTTTCAAGCCGAATTTTTCTTTTATCTTTTTTTTTCTCAAAAATGTTGGGCACTGTTTATTTTTTAACGATTATAAGCAGCCTTCAAAATGAGTCACTCAGCCGGAATGATCTAAATAAAATAAATGTAATATGTTGTTAAATTTTAGTTGGCGCGCGATCAAAAATAATTATTTATCTATAAATGAACGATTAATAATGGCTTATTAGTTTTTTTGCTCTAGCTTTGCGGTTTAAAATGAACGATTTTTACCCAAATTGAACATGGTATGGGTCGTTCCAGCGGACAATCCTGGACAAAAAGTAATTACTCTTTTTTTTACAAAATTTTATTTAGTTATGGCAGTTTTTTCACTTTTTTAACGATATACAAGGTGTTATTAAATGTTATTTGTATTTATGTATATAAATATTTATAGAAAACAATCTTCGAATGGTGGTTTAAATATAAAAACAAAGTTATCAAACACAGTGCACAAGTTTTTAAATTCAAATTTTATTATAATTCTAAGAAAAATAAATTTAAATCTAAATGACTGTGTAATGCGAAGTTCTTGGAAAAATGTTTGATTACTCAGACTGTTTACTGCATTTTTAGTTCTCTAAAGCTATAGATATTAATATATTATGTTTGTTTATGAATTCTCAAAAAAGTTTCTTATTTGTCTACAAAATTCTCTAAAGTAGCAATGTACTAAAATTTTCCGTACAGTAAATTAATTTAATAGTAATGAGTCATTTAGTTACTTATTGGTGACCAGTAAAAATATACAGGCCTGGGTGTCCCGAGATTTTTTAAGTAGGTTGAAAAAATTTACTATGACAAGTAGTATTCAAGTAGTTAAGCATTTAAGTTTAAAAAATTGGCAACGGAAAAATAAACTATGCATCTGCAGCGACCTGAATTTAACATTGTTGACGAATGTATTTTCTCACAATTTGTGCACCACTAATTTCTAATTACTTAACTCACGAATTGATTTCTTTCTCACGCCATAAGCTCAGGTGATACACAAATGAGTAAAATGCATGAGAAATCACGGCGTAAACTGAGATAAATCTTAAGTCAGGGATGCTGTGTTAGATGTCTTGGAATGTTAGAAGTTCAATTTAGTACCTTAAAACTATATTAAAGAATGCCAAAACAAGTTTTGTTAAACGAATTTAAGAATGTGTCTACATGCATTTAAGAATATGAAAATAGTGTATTTTGTAACAACTTTGGAAGAAAGTAAGGTTAAACCCATTTGACATACAACAGGCGACTATGATTTTTTTAATAATCCATCCCAATTGGTCCAAATTATTCTCACACTAAAACCTATTATAGAATTATTAATAATATTCTGTAACACCTTATATTACAGAAATACGTAATTCCACATTAAAAAGTGATATTAAAACGGTAATATTTCATAAAAGGAGTAGAAAAAAGCATTTCTGTGTTGACTTTCCATGCACAACAAACGTCAAAAAAGGGTCCGAAAAGTAAAAGCATATGGAAGAAAAAAAACGTTGTTCAGTTCTAAATTAAATCGAGTGATTCAGCGTCAGTCTAAAATCGGACGTCGCGTACACAGAAAATGCGAAATGTTGCAGAGACGAGAAACGAAAATAAAATAGCACGAGCATGTTGACCTCCCTCAATCAAATTTAATGCCTTATAAAAAAATCATTTATATGGGTGAATATATTGAGATGTCCCCCAAGTGAACATGATTATTTTTTTTTTTGGTTATTTCACTGTTAGTCTAGAATGGGGTTTTTGGGAAGCCACCAGGTCTAGTAATAACATAACATAAGTGGTTCTGCACTAATGCAAGAATTTTAAAAAATCATACATTTTGAATATTAGAGCTTCACGGAAGATAGCTTCACGGAGGTTAGGATTTCGTATATCTTTGGAAACCTTAATATTTTAAAAAAATACAATTCTACATACATAAAATATTTATAAAAAAATCTACTTACTGAGATATTACACTTTACGGTGGATAGGTTTTTAAATAGCAATTTAATGAACTTAAACTTTTGAATTATAAAACAGCAACACTCTCATCTGCATATAAATTCTAACTGACCTTCAGGAATCACATGCATCTATAATGTTGTAAACAGAGGTTTTTGCGTATTTAATATGATTAAAGCGCCATCCGTTGCATAAAATTTAAAGCAAAAACAGATTCACGGAGGATAGAATCAATTTTTGTAACACCTACATAAATGGTTACAAAAATTATTTCTTTTAATTTTTAATAATATTTTATATTTGATTCGATTGCTTTGGATGTGTTTAATTTGTTTATGTTTTATTTACAGTCACGGAGGATAGGTTTTAGACTTTTAAAACATTGTAAAAAATAATTAATTGCGGTTAAAAATCTGGAACCTGAGCTATCTACTTAATTATGAAAGATCAAAACCCAATAAAAGTGTATGTCAAACTCATTTGGTTTTATTAAATATCACGGGGTAACACCATCGGGGGATATTTCGTGAGATTCACCCATACAAAAAATTTCTCCTCATCCCCTTTACATTTATCTTTTATTAAAAGACTTTTAAACCAGGACTTTTACACTAATTTCAGAAAGGTTAAAAAAAATCATAAATTGTATATTATAAATATTTTGTTTTTGATCATACGGCCCTAAAGTTTAAAAACCTCTGCTCGCAACTCGCGAGTTATTTTCGTCATATTCGCATTGTATGTGTATGTGTAAAAATACACGGAAAATTATTAAACATGCGCATTACTGAACTCAAATTTTGCATGCTCAGTACGAACGCAATACAACGAGCTCTAGATCGTGCGTGTTTAGCGAATTTCCGTAGGTTTTTTCTCGATAAATCCAAGTGGGCTTCTTCGACCACCTGTGTCACTATCGGTGCTATCAAGATTTATACAACATTCTTTACGTTATATTGTGGATTGACTGTTTGTATGATGTTTGGTTGATTTTTGGGACTGTTTATTTAAAGGGCTCAGTATTAAGAAGATTGTTAATTTTTGGTCGAAAATGTCTGCAGAAATATATGCATCAAGGGAAACACATAGTCGTTGGATTGTGTACAGGGAACATAGGAGTAGCAATGGTAATTTTTTGATGTAAAATTTTTAAAGTAACTTTTTAATGGATATTTAAAAAAATTTAATTTAATGCAATTTTTTTTAACATAACTTTTTAATGGATATTTAAAAAAATTTAATTCAATGCAATTTTAAATTTTAAATGAAACTGTCATAAAATACATCTGACAACCATGTCATTACTTTCACAAGTAAATAACCTTTGTTTTATTCTGTCAAGCTCATGACTTTATTTCGTTTGTTTCCATAGCAACCCATAAAAAGTTTAGATCATGTTTTGTTTTAATTTACTTGTTGCAGTGTTGCCAAATTTTTTTAAACAATTTTAATCTTCCAAAAAATATAAATAATATGCGCCATATTTGGGGCACCCTGTATATTTTTCATTGTGTTTTTTACCTCGGTTTTTTTATTTTTTTTTTAATTTTTCGGATTATCCAAGATTTCTTCTGTTTTTATCTATAATTTTTGTAGGTACCATTATTTCAAACGCCCTGTTTAGATTAATCTAATTATTTATGTTTTTATGATCAACTGTTTTAGTACATTTTATTTTCTAGTGTGTTTTTTATTTTTATCCTCTTTTTGAGAAGTTGTAAAATGTTTCTTGAAATTTTAATCTTACCTTGATTAATTTTGTTCTAGGTGTAATTTACTATTTTTTGGATTTTTAATAATATAATTAAGCATTTTTAATAATATAATTAAGGTGGCCAACTTTCTAAAGGATGCCCCTCCTCCCCCTTCCAAAAAATAAACAAAATTTATTTTATTTAATGTTTATTATTTATAAAAAAGATGTGCTAATAACGTTAATAATAAAAAAATTATCCTGAAGGTACTCCCAAAAATTCAGATTTTTAAATTAATTTTTAACATGAGCCCCGACCACTAAAAATTAAAAAAATAGAACAAATCCTAAAAAAGTGGGAAATACTCATAGTTTAAAAAAAAAAAAAACGAGAATTTTTCTTATTTTTTTACTATTCTATAGGTTCTTCCAAAAATTTAGATTTGTAAATTAATTTTTAACCTCAGTACTTATATAACAAAAATTACAAATGGTTTATAATTTATAATTTATTTATTTAGGATTTTGATTTGTGTGTCCCAAGGTTGAAATATTACAACAATAAAAATAAAATTTAATATTTAAAGCCCTTAAAAAAATGTATCTTCATAGTTATAATAACCCCCTATCGCGTGAAACGTTACTAGAAAATTGTTTTATTAATAAACAATCTTAAAATAAGAAAAAAATTCAATTTAAAAATTTGTTTGGCTAAAATTGTTTTTTATACTTATTTAAATGTATGTATGACGTTACTGTGCTATTTGTAGGACACCCTGTATATTTAAGTAATTTTAAATTGCTTTAAAAATATAATAAAACTAATAAGTTCTTAAGATTCAAACTGTATCTAAACCCTAAAATTAACTTTCATTGTATTATATTGTTTCAAAATTTTGGCATGACATTTTTTTCCTGCTTTTAATTTGCACCAACGGCCTTGAACATTTTATTTGTTGGCACTTCTCAAAAAACAATGACCTTGTATTTCATCTTCCACAAAACGCGTCATATTGTCATATAGGAAGTACCAAGTACCTATCCTATGTATGGATATCTTTTTTGTTTGAAGATCTACAAGGTCGGTTAAATTAGAGAAAAGTTGAAAAAAATTCAGCGGTTCGCAAATAGGAATAACCACAGACCTACAAACAACTTGTTTGTAGGTCTGTGGGAATAACGAAACCTATTACGATTTTTGATTTTATACATTGTATACAGGGTATAAAAAACAGCGGTTCTCAAAATATTTGAACAAAACAACAACAATAACAAGGGATGGGTCTCAAAGATAATATTATCTTTGAGTATCCCTGTATACCTTTATAACTTTAAACCAAACATTTTAAATTTAAAAAAACATAAGAAATTTTTCTTTTGATGTGTTTTATATGAATAATATTTATATTAGAGATGGTTGAATGAGTCAATTTAATACAAAAATAACATAACACTCACTTTTTTATTAATGATTGTACATATATTTTTAAAGGTACATATTTGAATATGGTTGTTAGTAAAATGAACATAAGTTTAATTTATCAACTTAAGGAAGTGCAAATTTCACAATTGCTTAAATACCGTCCAACTATTTTTAGATATGTTTAGGGAAACTAGCACTGAATTAATTATCTAGGATAGTTCTTGTGCAATGCCTTGACAAAAATAGCGTCTCTATTAATATATATAATAATTAATATTTATTAATAGATTTATTGCTCAATCTAGATATTCTCCATTTGTACACGTCATCATACTTTTGACAGCTGTCAGCTTACTGAGTTTTGTATTGGTTTTAGGTTCCTCCAACATACAGGCGCGTATTCAGGAAAGTTCGTCAAGCAGGACCTCAGATGACGATGACATGTTGGTGTTTATGGAATATTTGGAGCCCCATTTAAGGCCGGTTTTACCTGAGGAGGGTAACCCCCAATCAATGTTGCTTTACAAGGAACATAGCAAATTAGCACAAGACTATTTAAAGGTATAAAAACGAAAAAAAAACATGTTTTTTAAATTTTATGCTATAATTTTTGTAGGTACAATCAGAACTAGTCATGATAGGACGAGAAATGCAAGACTTCCAAGACCTAGAAAGACTGGAAGATGAAGAAAACGAAAAAGAACTGCAAAAACTTCAGCAAGAGAAAGAATCACTTTTAGTAGCCCGACAGATGCTCCAAGAAGAAAATCAAATGGGTAGAAACCCGGGTTCCGGAAATTCTAGAGACCCAGAGGGATGGGTTGTTATAAATAACACCCAACCTAGTTAAAATTAAATTAATTTTTATTATTAGTTTTAGTGTTTTTATATTATACATACAAAGTTCTATTTGTTTAGTTTGTAAGAAAAAAATTGTGAGTTTTTTATTGTATATTTTTATTTTTAAGATAACATAAACGTTTTATAAGATATTTACATTGTTTAATATTTTATAGACCCTTAAAATGCTGCTTAAATTAAATTGAATTTTTACATAAAGGTAAAAACAAATGATTTTTGAAACAACATTTATTTAAGAAAACAAGAATTTTGGAAAATTATGTTTTTTTTTAATATACAGGTTGTCCCTAAAATGAAGCACTAACGCCATAAGTCGAAAATCAAAAAAAATAGTTTACAAATCACAGTTCATTTTTTTTATTAGGTTGGTGCTTATGCCAGTTTGACTTTTAGTATTTAAACATGGTACTTCTGCTAAAGAATTTAATTAAATACTTTGACACTGTCAAATTGACAATATTTATTATTGATAATTTACTTGTCAATTGTAAATAAAAAGATAATTATGCCAAAAATAATAGCAACGAATTCGAATGTAAAAGCCCTTTTGAGGGCAAAACTTTATTTTGATGAAATTATGCCAAACGCCACAATGAAAGAAAAAGGACATCGCCTTATGGACATTTTTGGAGTAAAAACGTAACAAATTTGGTTTTATAAACATTACATCACATTATTCACCATTGGACAACATTTACGTTCACAAAAAATTTTAATGTCTTTAATATAAATTCGTTTCAAAGCAAAGATTATTATCCGCTAGGAATACTTTCTCTTCTGGGCCGTAAAGCAAGTTGCTTTAAGCAACCTATATTTAACTACTTTTTTTATATGATTTTACTCATCCAAGCACCACCAAAGCCAAATTAATTGCATTTTTAACTACGAATTTCGACAACTCAACTTGACAACTGCACAATGTAACCTCCAATAATTTATACATAACCACAATTAGATTTATAACTAGCTTTGTTTTAATCAATGCGACCAACTTGACAACTGTTTTTACCAACCAAAACCCTAAAATTGCAAAGTTGCCGCAGTACAGATAAAAAAATGAACTTTAGTGCACAAAATTTATTTTAAAAAAAATTGGCAACGCTGCATGATTCACAGAACCACGGCGTTCTCTAGGGTTAGAGAACGCCGTGACAGAACAAATAAATTGCCTCAAAATAACAAACAAAAAAATAGTTTTAAAAACTTTTTAAATCAAAATCTATTTAATTTTTAACTCAAAATTACACCTTGTATAAATATTATTTTCAAGTAAAAAACAAAGATATAATTATTATATCTTATTGTGACTTTTTAAGGTTTTCTTAAACATTTTATAATTTATTTTAAATTATACGATTTTTAAAATGTTTGTTTTCACACATGAAAAAAAAACAAAAAAGTAAAAAAATGAGAAAAAACACAAAAAGGCAGAAAGTAAAAAGAAGTTAAAAAAATCCCGAAAATCAATAAAGCAAAAAAAAATATTAAAAAGTAGTCCATTTTACTATTCAGCCCATATACTTACTACCTATCTCTATAGCAAGTTTAGTGTGTCAGAATAAGCTGTCTTTAAAATAAATTGTTTAAAAATTAAAAATGTTTTTTATTGGTATTATTAATATGTATACAAAGTGTCCTAAAAACAGTGTAAAAACTTAAAAAACATATTTTTGTTTTTTTAGGACTACTTACCATGGATTAAAAAGTGAAAAAAAAGAGATTTAAATAATAAAACGACATCTTGTATACTGGCTGTTCCGAAAATGACGCACTAACGCTGTAAAAAATTACAATTTGTAAAAATTAGTTCACTATTTTGGGGACTGTATATTTAGAAAGCATATTTACAAAAATCAGTCATCACAAATAACAATTGTTAATATGTATTAAATAGGTAATGTTGAACTGGCTGTTCTTCTAAACATACTACCAAAAAATGATAAACCTGCTGAGCCCCCAGGAATATTTGAAACTACTGTCATCAATAAAGATACGATTTGACCAACTGCAAAGAATACAGTAAAAGGTGTACTTTGAAGGTGTAATGCACAATACAAAGTTGCAAATAATGTCCCACCATAACTTAAAGTCAAAATAATTTTTTCTCTGGTAAACATGTGCTTTAAGTACGCCATAGGACCCCACAGAAAGAAGAAACTAAAATATAAAAATTAATATTTTTCAATTTCAAAAAATTAAATCTCACCTTAACACAAAGAATAAACTTCCCAATGTAAACAACAAAGCAAACTTTCTGGCTTTGAATAATAACAAAGGAATATACATCAAAGATAAACTAAAACATAATATTCCCATACAAATACATATTCCAAAAAGTGTAAAACGTTGAAACCTTGACTAAAAAATCCACTATTATTAAATGCTCTGAAATAAAACCTCATATAAATACAAGACTGGGGCAGCATTCTTTTTTTGTTTCTTGGTACCATGTATCTGTTTCAATAGGTTGTTCCCTTTTCAACCAATTCGGAATTTTTGGTGTTTGTAAAGCTGGTAGAGTTATTTTAAAATTCTTCTTTTGGTCGCTTTGAAGTAACAAATATTCGTCTAAATCTTTCTTTAAATCAGCCATTTTATTATTATTTTTTTAGTAATACTGTTAAATAGAACGAATAAATCGCCCTCAAAAATAAATTTGACAGCTGTCAAACTTTTAGGTTATATTTTGATTTAACAGCGACATCTCTGATTTAAAAGCTTAACTTTAAATATTTGGATATTTTCTCAGAAATCCTTAAAAGAAATTACGCATAAAAATACATTTAATTAAACTATTTAATTATATTTAATATATATTCGCGCAATTTAAAAATATTTGCCCGAAACTCCTCCCGACCTCTCTTAACAAAACGTCAAAGCTCAAGGTCAAGATTTTGTCGTTTGACATAAAACTGTCAAATGTAAAGATGGACGAATTACATCTGTCAGACACTTTTCAAAGATATTTTTCCGATGTTTTTTGCGTTTGTGATGAAGATTTTTCCGGCAAAGCTTCGTACCTTAAAACAGTGGAACTAATTAAGTCGGGAAACGTCCCTGAGGAAGTAATTAATCAGGTAAATGTGTATTTTTTGTTTATTAACGTTTAACCCGGTCAAAGTTGTTTTTAAAATTCAAACTGGATCCCTAAACAATTAATTAGTATCGTTATTTAACGTTGTAAAACATTGTATTTTTATATTTTTGTATTCTATTTAAGATATCAGACTTATGCTGGAATAAACCAACAAGCTATTTAACAAGAAAACAGTTTTTCTCGGCTTTAAAGCTCGTAGCGGCTTATCAAGCGAATATCCCTCTTAAAAGTGATTTAATTACGCAAAAAATGGAGCTGCCTTTGCCAAGATTTACATGGAACAATTTAGAATCAGAAAATGCTGTACATGATTTGATAGAGTTAAGTAGTGAAGTAAGTGACTATACTGAACATGTGGATGCTACAAGTACGGATTCAGAGGCTGAAAGTGATACGTTGAGTTGTGTGAGGACGGAATCTCCTGAAGCTTCAAGTGCTGCCTCCGACAGTCCTACTCCCACAAATAGTGTACAAGATAAAAGTTGGGCCCTTACTGGCAACTGGCATGGGTTAGTTTCTGAAGAACAGAGACAATTGTTGGGTAAGTTAATCTTAAAATGCAATAGTTCATTTTAATTTTGTTACTTTAATATTTAAAATGTTTTTGGAATGTTTTTGTTGCTTGGTGAATTTTGTTGTTTTGGGTAGTTTTAATTTAGGATAAAAATTAAAGTTCATCAAAAATAATTTTTAGGATTTAAATTTAATTTTTAATATTTTGTTTTGTTTTGTTTAGTATTTCATAACAACTTCAGCAGGATATGACACTATCAACGATTTTGTCATAATAGATAAAACTGATAAAAAACTATAAAAACAACAGATTTTTTAAAACTGTCATTTCATTTTGGTTTTAAATTTCCTATATATGGTTAATGAAAGACTGGTTTGGTTAATATTTACATTTTATCATAAACAATAAAAATATTTACCAATACCAAAATTAAAAAATACAGGATAAACATTTTTTTTTGTTTTTAAATAAACAATTACATGTAAATCAGAGAAGACTAATTTAACTTTATTGAATATAATTTGAAATATTTTGTGATTTTTTTTTCTTGATTTTCTTTTTTTAATTTTTATAATTTTATTTTATACGGTGGGGTTTACTCTTAATTCTCTTAATTTTAAATTGAAATAATCAAGAGTAAACCATAAAATATAATATCTCTATTTATTGCCTTTTTATTATTTTACGATGTAAAATTTACATTCTATAAACGATAAACTCCAATATTTTTTTATTATATTACTACAGTACATCTCTTTTTTCAAGGGAATACTCTAATAGTGTATTTTTAATTTTTGAAAATGTTACTCAAGTGGAGTTTGCTGGGTTTGATATATGTAGACCCCTAATATAAAATAAAATATTTACAAAATTTCTTTAATTTTTACGATTTTTAAAAGTATAAAAAATTTTAAAATGACAACATTACCCTGCTTCTTTGAATTTATACGATTTTAATTACATATGTAAGATATATATCTGTTGAGACATTTTGAGTTTTGCTAATTATTTTCAAAATAAAGTTTAGGAGATTGGTCTTAAGATTATTAACTCCTATAACATAACAATAACGTTTATTGAAAGGGAACCAAGCCCCAAAAACTTTTTCTGGTGTTAACAAAATTATTTGCAAAATACCTCATTTTTAATGCTGCTCAAAAAATTAATAATAATATGGAAACCCTTTCAATCCTTTTGAGAAAAGTTCCAAATGATGATTGAGCATTATTAAAAATGAGTTATTTTACAAATAAATTTACCAAGCCCAGAAAAAGTTTTTGTCGAAATAAAATACAGTGGTTTCCATTTTTTTAAATTAAAGACAAATGCACCAAATTAAAAAAATCAAAAATTCTGGTCCACTTAATGTACAAACATGAAAACAACAATGAATAAGTAATTTTCTAATATAGATTAAAACATTTCTCACTTTTTCATGTTTAAAAAGAATAATTTAATATGTACCTATTATTTATATGAATATGAGGCTTTATTTTTTTATCTTTGTCTCTAATAAAAATATCGAAAAATTGTCTAAAATGATTGAAATATGTCATATTTTCATATAAACAAATTTATATTATTTTTTAATCTACCTGTTTATTTTGATATATTTATTTAGAATTGTATAATAATAATAATAAAAAAATATATATATATACAGGGTGAGTCATTTAACTTGAAAATTTGAAATATCTCATATAGGGGGAACAGGGGGTAACTTTAAAATTTCCAATGGAACACCCTATTTTTTATTGCAGATTCGGATCATTCGACTAAAAATAGGTAAATTTTGTCCAAAACATTTTTTCATATTTGTAATAGATATAATGAAAAAAAATCAATTTTGTTCAATTTTTCTTCTGTATACGATTCTTCAATAATTTTTGAATAAAATACTTGGTTTTATTTTTTAAATTTATTTATTTATTTCGTTTTAATATTCTGCTAACACTGCTCTGGGATATTCTTTTTTTTCGATTGAACACTCCCGTTTGTAGTAAACTGCTTGACTGTACGGTGAAATGTAGTACGTGATCGAATTTTTTCCGGAAAACGCTGAGCGTAGATATTAACAGCATCATCAAGATTCCTGCCTGCTTCTCCATAAATCAAAATCATTTCTATTTTTTATTCCACTGTTAAAAAATCCATTATGAATAACTGCTTAACAAAAGGAGGTCTTTTTGTTTGCAAATTAATCTTCGAACTAAATTGATTAATGCTAAACTATGTATAAATAGTTTCTTTATACCTCAATTAGGATTAAATTAATTAATTTACAAAATCATGTTTTTTTTTACCTTAAATGAGGTATTTTTATTAAAAATAGTACAATAATCCTTTCAGGGCTCCCACACCTCCTAAAACTCATAAAATTCCTAAAATTTTACTTAAATCTTGAAAACTCCTAAAATTCTCCTAAAATGGCAATCAATCTCCTAAAACTCCTAAAATCATAAAAATTAAATTTAAATATTCCAACCTGACTTGCGTTTAATTAAGGTAGTGCTAAAAAAATTCTGTTTTAAAAATTAATTTAAAAATATATATTTTTAGGTTCTATTCTATTAAACTCTTTTTAAAATGATATAATATCACAACCAAAATTTTTCTTAAAAAACAACAACGATATTTCGTTAAAAATTTTTAGTCAAAAATATACCGTGTTATACAAACGTGTATATCAAACAAAAGGATTTTTAAATTTCTTTTAAATGACAGCTAAAATAGTAAACAATCTAAAAAATGATTTGCTGTATTTTGCAAACTTCATATTTTGTTATGAGATTTTTAAGTATTAAGATTGAATTGAATTGAATCGGTGAGAATAAGAACAGTACAAGTTCAAAAATTTAATTTTGACAATTTATTTTCTAAAATCAATTTTAAAGTTTAAAATACATTTTTGTGAGAAGATAAAAATTATTTTACAGAATATGAATATTATATTTCATAAAAGAGTCCAACAAAAATGCATTTAGAACTATAAAACTGATTTTTTGAAATATTTTATCAAACATTTTACTTTTGGACTTGTACTATTCCTAATCTTACCGATTTAATTACTGTTAGTTATTAACTAAACGGTTAAAATATTTTTTCTTAAAATATAAATATAACATCATATGATTTTGGCATAGTTTTTAAACCAAATCTATCGACGCTTTTTTTTAAATAAAATTAAAAGTGTGGTGAAATTTATACTTGTATATATATGTACCTCAGATATATTATATAATATATATATATACAAAAGTAGTAATTTTACCTCACTTTTAATTTTATTTAAAAAAAACTCGTCGAGCGATTGGGCTAAAAAACTAGTCAATATAACTTATTTTTACTAAATAAGTATTAACTTTTTTCTTATTTTTGAAGTAGTAGGTATAGAGTTGTTTTTATTTAATTAAAGAAATTCATTTCCATACTTTATTTCTCCTAAAATTTTACAAAAAAACCTCCTAAATTCCTAAATAAAATTTGTAATTTTGCCGTGGGAGCCCTGTCCTTTAATTTAAAGGATTTGATGCTGGCAGGTTTAAAGTGACCATGGTGTCCAATTGATGATTATCACCGAATGAAATAATGTATAAGACTCAAACCAAAGGAAACTTAAATATTAGTTATAAAATCGTGGGTACTTAAAAAATCAGATTTAATTTAATAAGTGATATTTTTATAGAAAAATTATTGCAGAATCGTATAAGAAGGAAAATCGAACAAAATTGATATTTTTTCATTACAGCGCCATCTATTAGAAATATGAAAAAATGTTTTAGACAAAATCTACCTATTTTTACTAAAAATTCGACTAAAAATTTTTTAGTCGAATTATCCGAATCTGCAATAAAACATTTAGTGTTCCATTGGCAATTTTATATGAGAGTATGAGGACCAATTTCCCCCCTCGAATAATTTAATTTTTAATTTAAACATTTTTTCGTAAAATACATACTAACTGAGATATTTTAAAGTTTCAAGTTAAATGTATTTGTCTATTTTTATTTTAAATTGATTTTTTTATAATTTCCACAATGCTCTTAGGCACCGAAGAGGAATCGTCGGACAGGCACAGCAGCGACGAGGACACCGAAGTGACCAGCGAAGTGTTCACGATCACGACCGAACAGCGCGACTACTACACGAAACAGTTTCGGTCGCTTCAACCGGACACGAACGCGTTGCTGGCCGGCCCGGTCGCCCGCTTGTTCTTCGAAAAGTCCCGGTTGCCCGTGCACGAGCTGAGGAAGATCTGGCAGTTGGCGGACGTGACGAAAGATGGCGCCCTCAGCTTGCAGGAGTTCAACACTGCCATGCATCTGGTAAGAATAAGTTATATGTTTTTTTATCAGATATATGTATGTACAGGGTGATCCCCTATAATGTCTGCCCCCTTTAACTTTTTTATTTTAAGTGTCCCAAAAAGTGTGGTTATGTAGGTACTAAAAAATACTTTTTTTCTACGTATAAATAAAATTGGAAAATTGACACCCTATATATTTATTTATTTTTGGATTCCTTGTAAAATTCTAAGCATATTTCATATAACATACCATATACCTAAATTCAACCGTTTCTGAAATATTTAAATTATTTTTAAGATAATAAGTTGAAATAGTTTGTCTTTCTCTGTCTGAATACGCCATTTTTAATTATTTATCAAGACATATTGACATAATGTCACTATAGTAATTTATTTTCAATAAAAATTTTGGTATACTAAGGCTTCTTGATTTCTAACAGTTTATAAAAACATTTAATGATGACATTTCGAATGCGAATATTTCAGAAACGGTTGAATTTAGGTATATGGTTTGTTACATGAATTATGCTCAGAATTTTACAAAGAATCGAAAAATAAATTAATATATAGGATGATCCATTGAAAAAAAAATAAACTTTTTGTTTTTCCCTGTATATTGATCAAATTTTCATATTTTTTTATACATAGAAAAAAATTATTTTTTAGTACCTACATAACCACACTTTTAATTTTTTTGGGAAACTTAAAATAAAAAGGTTAAAGGGGGCGACATTATAAGGGATCACCCTGTACCTACTTAATTTTACATTTTTATGTGAAACTTTTGTATGAACATAAAATGTTTAATGAATTTTTATAACTTTGGTAATAATTAGAGATGGGATTTTAGGTTGCAAAATATATAAAAATAGGTACCTAAATAGGTCAAGTTTTTTCTTGTTTTAGGTGAGAAAATTCTTAAATTACGTACGTACTTTACGAAAATAAGTACTGGAAAGCAACTTGTAGGTGGTAAAATAATTAAATTTATTATTGTATAAAATTGTATTGAACAAGATTTTTATGATTTGAAAAATTTTAAAACTGACGAAAATATCTTGTAAAAATAATATAATAGGTGCCATCATAAATTTTATAATTTTTTAATGCGGCGACACATTTAAAATGTTTTTGTTAATAAGCATACAATTCCGGAAAATAACAAATTCACATTCATTATGGTATAAATGTTTTTAGTTGCAATTATGTCATCTGAATACAACCCCAATATTTCAAAAAAGCATGTTTTTGATGGTAAAATTTAGTTCATTGGTGTTAAAAATAAGAATTTAGGTTAAATGGGTAAAATTACACTAGTTTAGGTAGTAAAATGTAAAAATTAGGTCCATTTCTCTTAAAAATGAAAATTTAGGTAAAATAAAATCAGTCTAAATAAAGTCATTTTCTTCAAATGGATTTTATTCCATTGCACCTAAAGTTATGATTAGCGGGAAAAAAACTGTTTTTTCCGTATTTTTTTCAGGCCTTGGAAAAATTGTCTTTTTGGTAAAAATTGATTTTTTTCTAAAAACGTTAAATGAGGAGCATCCGTGCAAAACCGGATATATCCACTTTAATAAAATGTTGGGAAAATGGCAAAAACTCTCGGTTTCCTGGCCTTTACAGATAAAAAAAAGCGAACTTGAGTTGTGGGCTTTTGTGGTACTTAATTTATAAGACATACTTTCGTTTTCAAAAACTTTATATTAAGGCCAAAATTTCAAAAAATGTTTTGTATATAGCCGGTTTTGCTCAAAAACCGAATAAAATGTGAAAAAAACCTTTATTATTATAAACTAATCGAATAAAGTTAAGCATATTAAGATATTTTGACCAAAACATAAATTTAACGATACAATTTTATACGCCCTGTATACTTTATTTTAATATTTGGTAATAAAAACCATTTTTACGTTTTAGACGTTTAGAATCTTAGACAAAAAAGAACGAAGTCGAAAAAACGCATTTTAGGTATCAGTCGGTATCCAGTTTGATTTCAACTTTGTTCAAAAATATGCTTAACTTTTTTCGATCAGTTTATTAAACAGAACAAATTTTAGTAGTAGTATTGCTAATTATCATTATTATTTATTGGATATAGCCGGGTTTGCTATAAAAACGTGGATTTGGCCAGTTTTGCTCCTAAAGCTACCTTTTAAATGTGATTTTAACATGGATATAGGTAGTCGGATTTAAACAGAATTATCTTGGTTGTCGATAGAAATGAACCCAAAGATGCGAAATCAGAAAAAAAACCAAAAACTGAATGAAATGGATTTAGCCGTTTTTGCACGGATGCTCCTCAAATATACTGCCGGGGGACCACCTTTTGCAAAATGGAGTCCATTGAAAAAATCAATTTACAAAAATTTATTTTTCTCATTTAACAGTTTGAATAAAATGAAAAAAATGCAAAAGTAAATTTTTCTGAAAATTTACCAATTTTTCCGTTTTTTCCGAAAGGCTTAATTTTTCCGGAAATTTCAAAACTCTAGAATCTATACCTACCATAGGAATCTTTTTTTCTTAATTTTCTGCCATTTAACCCAGTAAAATGAGTTTTATTTATGAAAAAATCCCAGGTAAACATTTTTTCGGAATATGTTTTATATGGGCACTAGTAATAATGGACTTTTGAGATATTATTACTAGTGCCTATATAAAAAATATGCAAAATATCAGATTAAAGATGGCGAAAAGCAGTTTTTTTCGATTATCTCGTAAACTGTCAAGTTTAGTTAAATTTTGGTAAAAATTAAATTTGTTCCTCGTGTACTGCTCCATAAAAATGGTCCTATAAAAAGTTTACGTAGGACTAGGAGTTCTTGAGATAATCAAGAAAAACTGAAATTAAAAAAAGTTTCTTGATGTCTAGAAGAAAATAAGTGTCTAAAATTTTTTTCAATGCACCCTTTCATACTTTAAGTTTTGTCATCAATAGCTTAAAAATTGATTATTATTAAAGCTTTTAAAATTTCGGGAAGCCAGCGGAAAAATCCGTTTTTTTCCGAAAAAAAAAAACCTGCAAAAAATTGATAAATTTACAGGAAAATAAATAGACTTTTGCATTTTTTTCATTTTATCCAAAGGGTAGTAAGAAAAAAATGAAAAAGTGAATTTTTCTAAAAACCAAATATCTTTACGATGCATCGTATCAAGAAAAAAGTGAATTTTCGAATATGCTTACATAATTATATTAATAATTTATTTTATTTTAATTCAGTAAGAATCTTCTACCGGGTCACAAAAAAATAAATTCGATGCTGTATTAGCATAGCTATAGTTTTATCGATCGATCGATTTATTAAATTATTATTTTGTAATTTAACTTTTTAAATCATTCATTATTTTGTAAATGGATATTTTCAATGGACTTTCTTTTGCAAAAAGGACCCAACCGACAGTATATTTATTTTTATTTATGTTTAGGTTTATTTTCTTAAATCAATTTAATTTCCATATCATGTAAATATAATATAAAGGGGCTTTACAGTGGCTCTATCCATTTAGGAGTAATTTCTCGCTGTATTTTAATATATCATTTTTTAAATATTTCGAGTTCTACCACCTCTATCATTTTAAAGTGTAAATGTAATTAAATGTGCATTTAATCTTCTTTGATTCAATAAAACATTTATTATTATTATTATTAAGTGCGAATAATTCCAACCCATACAAAAAATGTTAAAAACACATTTCAATAATGTTGTTTTAGGTCGTCCTTAGGAGGTACCACATAGACCTCCCCGACGTCCTACCGCCGTCTCTGATCCCCGGAAACGAGACCCCCCTGTCGGTGAGCCCGGAAACGGAACCGATACTATCGCCGCAAACTAAAGATACCGCCAAAGAGTGGACGAAATTCGTCGACAGCCCGACCAGCTCGGTCTCCTCGCCCGGTCCCAAACCCGTCAACTTCGACTTTCAGAAAGTCACCTTGGACAAGGACCCCAAGCTGGTGCACCCGAAGCCTCTGAGGCTGACGCCCGAGGTGCAAACAGGACAGGCGGAAGACCAAGCCGACGGGATGGACCTGCACAGTCCCAAGAAGTTTTTGGGTAAGCACGATTTTGAGATTTTATCGTAGTAGGTGTCAAAAACATAACCTAATACGCTAAAGAAGTATCGCTAGTAGAACCACCACTCGGTTGTTATCATCCTAACAAAAGTATAACTTTTAATAATCAGCTGTCAAACGCTTAAGTTACAAACAAGTACTGTCTGTCCACTCTAAGTTGGCTGAACTAAGGAATTTTGTTGTTTAGATATTAAAGAATTGTCGTACTGTGTGCTTTTAAAACAGATTTTATATTATAAATAATACTAGTATATAATATGTACTAGTAATATTTATAATATAAAATCTGTTTTAAAAGCACACAGTACGACAATCCTAAATATCTAAACTACAAAATTCCTTAGTTCCGCCAACTTAGAGTGGACAGACAGTATTTTTGAGAATAAAGCCGGAAAATGTTAAAAAATATCGAAAAAAACCGTGGCTCGATTTGTTGTGTTGTTGGGTGTATTTCGAGAGGAAATCCTGGGTTGAGTTTTTACCGGTTTTCCAATGATTTTCTATTTTATTTTATTTTATGATTTGTCCAACGACAATTTATTATAGAAATTTTTTTTCAGGGTAAACTCAATTCGCTTGGCACTTTTTTAGAAAAATCAATTTTTATAAAAACATTAATGATTTTTAATCAATTTTTTGAGAATTTTAATTAGTGAACTCCAAATAATGACTAACAGCTTTTAATGTATTTGTTACATAAAATGTGCAATTCATTAGACTAGTGCACGGTCTTATATACAGGTCTTGCAACTTCGCCCAATTTCAATAGGAAAAGTGACCTCTCTAATGAGACACCCACCAGATGGCGCATCGAGTTGAGGGTGAACCATAGATGTTTAAAGGTCGTTTTTACCTTCTTTATCTTTGGGTTTTACAATCGTTAGATAAGCTCTCTGGTGGATAATTTTCTTAGATAGAAGGTTTCTATGAAAGTTATCCGCCAAATAAGCTAACTTAATCTAACGATTGTAAAACCGGCTCTAAGTCCTTAAAGTCTATGGGATAAAGGTCAAATGAACTACCTACTTATGTTCTGTGAAGAAACATAACCTACATTTTTATAAACAAGCTTGTGTATTTTGTTCACATATAAATATGTGATTTTGTTACAGGGAGTTTTTACTTATTGTTATTGTGATATTCGTTATTGTTATATTATATTGTTCTATTTTTTCTTGTTATATTTGTTCTTGTTATATTTGTTCTTGTTATACATTTGTATTTGTGCTTTTTAATAGACATGAAGTCCTGTGTTGTGCCAAAATGTAACCAGCAAAGCTATCGTTCCGGCATTAAAATTAAGCGGTCCATGTTTAAAGTGCTAACAAATAAGGAGCGGTTAAAAACATGGCAATGTGCAATAAAAAACATATTATTGACACCTTCACATTTTGTATGATTATTATATAATTAAGCACATCGTGTTGGTGAAATATATATTATTTTAAATAAACAATCAACCCATCCCCGCCAAGACAATAAAAAAATCGGTTATTAATAAATTAGCCAGAATATTGGTTGGTTAGTTTGTTGTGTTACTAGAAATTTTGGTTTTCATATTAGCCAAATTGAATTGGATAGTTTACAAATTATCCAGCTATTCCTAAATAATTTCAAGTAAATTAATAATAATAATAATAATAATAATAATACCATCAACATCATGTCGTTACCTGGGAATTTTGATAGACACTAAGTTAAACTTCAAACAACACACAAGCCACACCAAGACATGTATTATAAACAGGGCCAAGCACTTTAGAAGCTTAACTTATAAAGACCAGGGAATAAATATTGCTGTGGCAACCAACATTTATAAACTTATCTGTCGCCCAGTGCTGGAATATGGATCTGTTCTTTTTATAAATTGCAGAAAACCCACCCTAACAAACATAGAGATAGGCGAGCGCACAAGCATAAGGAAAATTACAAAAATCAGACATCCTCAAAATTCCTTATTCAACCCATCCAATGAAGCCCTTTACCATATCACTGGAATACAACCCATACAAGAACGATTGGAATACCTAGCGAAAAAATTTGCCAACAAACCCGAAAACCTTAATGTGATGGAACCTTTGATTCTTAAAACACAACTCGAGACAACACCAAGGAGAAAATACCCAGAGAAATCGTTGTATGACTCACTCAGGGAATTGACAGAAGATTAATGAAGATATTAACAATATATTTAATTATAACATTTTTTTTTTTTTTGTAAAGTACAGAACATAAATTAAAATATAGTATTTGTTATATACAAAATTGTAATTGGGCAGGAAGACGAAAGTCGTTAGCCTTTTGGATTTCCAATAAAGTTTATTATTATTATTATTATTATTAATAATAATACTGTTTATTTCCATATAAAAAATTTACATTTTGTTGGATAATGTCAATTATAAATAGTAGTATATAAATTACAAATAATAGTTTTTACATTTACAATTAATATGATACAGACATGTAATTGTGATAAAAACATATGATAATTATACAAACATATGATAGTGATACAGACATATTATACATTAAAGTCAAAATTGAAGTATTCTTGCACACCGAAAAATGGGTGCTGAGTAAAAAAATATTTTACCTCTTTTTTAAAAAGTTTGAGTGTGAGGTTTTTTGTGGCAGCTGGTAATTTATTGTAGATCTTGAGAGCTCGAAAGTGGGTAGATTTTTCATAGGTGGTTGTATTGTGCATCGGTATACTGATCAAGTGTCCGTATCTAGTTGGTCTAGATCTGTTGTATGCACAGTTTGGAGAAAAGTATTCTTGATGCATTTTTGCAAACATAACTATATTGTACAGGTACAGAGAGTATATGGTCATTATGTTTAGTTTAATGAATATAGGTGCAGTGTGGTCTTGATAGCCCGATCCGTTTAGAACGCGAATAAGTTTTTTTTGTGCTAAAAGGATTCTTTGCATATTGCCAGAGCCCCAGATTACCAGTCCGTAATTTAAATAGCTTTGAACATAGGCGAAGTAGAACATTTTTAATAGGTTTAAGGAAATTTTATCCCTGAGTATTCTGATTGCATAAGTAGCACTACTTAGCTTTTTAGTTATAAAATCTTCATGGAGGGTACACTGTAATGTAGGATCAATATTAACACCAAGAAATTTGGTATTTGTTACTACAGCAATGCTTTCATTTTTTGAATGCACCCAAATGCTTGAATTTTGTTGGGGGTGGTATGGGTTTCTAAATTGGATAATTGCAGTTTTTTTTTGGTTTAGTATTAAATTATTTTCTTGACACCACTCTGACATTAGTTTTAGTACTTTGTTGGCGTTTCGACTTAGTTTGACTAAACTTTCGGCCGACAAAACGACCGATGTATCGTCGGCGAACTGACAAACCTGGGAACCACTTACTTCGTCTAGCTTTGACCAGAGGTCATTACAGAATATTAGAAAAAGCAGCGGCGACAGTACTCCTCCTTGAGGAACGCCGTATTCGCAAGGAACTGTTTTTGATTTTTTCCCGTTTATGTCTACGTATTGGACTCTATTTTTTAGATACGACTCAATCCATTGTTTGGCACAACCGTTTATTCCGTATGCCTCTAGTTTTGCCAACAACCTGCCGTGAGTCACCAGGTCGAAAGCCTTAGTGAGGTCGAAATATATTCCGGCCACGCTAAGTCTGTCATCCAGTGCTTTGGTAATTGACGAGACCGCCTCATAGAGGGCGGTAGTTGTTGTTTTGTTTTTTCTGAAACCGTGTTGAGTCTCGGATAATAGAGAGAATTTTTCGAAATAGTCTATGAGCCTGCACGCCATTGCCTTCTCTAATATTCTTGAAAACACTGACTGGATGCTCACTGGTCGATAGTTCTCTACCTTATCATGCTCACCTTTCTTATGTATGGGTACGCATCTACTAATTTTTAGGGGGGAGGGAAAAACTCCGGATTCAAAAGAGACATTGATTAAGTGTGTTAAGGGTATAGCGATTGTATTTGTGACTTCTAAAAGGATATTCGCTGGAATTCCATCTGGACCCTTGGATGTTTTTTTTGCCAAGATCCTTGGTTGGTTTACAAACTAGCCGCTAATTTAGTTAAAAATACGTTTTCAATTAAAATAGCTGACAGTTTGGCTAGTTTATAAACTACCCAGCTACTTAATAAACTATCCATGTTTACACATTAGCCGTAACATATATATGATATACGTAGGTATGTATTTTATACATTAACATGTTTGGTCTGGGCATGTGACGGCCGAGGACTTTGTGCATAGAGTATAGACTTTGTTGTCCTATTTTGTTAACGTAAATTATCCGAAACATACTCACAAATATTAAATTTTTGAAAATGTAAACAAAACATAGAAAAATAATTTTTAAAGTTAGGTTATGGTTATGCAGTAGTTCCACATTTAACTAAGTAGTAGTTTAATTGACTTTACCCCTTCGATCTTAGCGCCACCTAGCGGCTTGGCACGTTAAGGAAGCCACCTCGAAGCTTAAAGTTGCAAGACCTGTAAATAAGACCGTGGACTAGTGAACTATTGACATATGTCACTTGTCACATGTCACATGTCGAAATCGTGATTGAAAATACCGTTGCGTTATTTTACCGTTTTTTTTTTTAATTTGTCGCAGATTTATTTATAAATTAGATATAAATAATTATATTTGCATTGATTATAGTATATAGTGCAATGAAGCTAATAAAAAACCATGCATGGACTCACTAGTCTAATGAATTGCACATTTTATGTAACAAATACATTAAAAGCTGTTAGTCATTATTTGGAGTTCACTAATTAAAAATCTCAAAAAATTGATTAAAAATCATTAATATTTTTATAAAAATTGATTTTTCTAAAAAAGTGCCAAGCGAATTGAGTTTATCCTGAAAAAAAATTGTCTTGTAAGTAATTTTTTATCAAAATATGAAAAAAAGTCGGATACCTACGTCTGAACCTTTCAATTAAAAGTTATTCAGGGACACCGTGCTTTTGATATATTGTTGAAACGTCTACTTCTTTGCTCCTTGCATTGTTTCAAACACACAACAATTTTTTAGACTCCTCGAATCTAGCCTCGTCAGTGACGCACGGGGTGGCCGCCATGAGCCTGCAGCAGCAGCAGCAGCTGGCTCAGAACAGCGCCATCCAGAGGCCGCAACCAAAAAAAATCAACCTACCCGGTCCGGGGGCCATTCCCCCGCCGCCCAACAGTCTGGGCGCCGCGGACGAGGGTCCGGTCAGCTTGCCGGCCTTTCCGCCGCCCAAGAAGGAGAAACCGCCGCCCCCTCCTCCGCGGCCCTTCAAGACCCACGGGAGGAGTTCTTCGTTGGATCTAAATAGGTATGTTGTTTTTGGTTTTTATTTGTAATCGATTATTTTTATACTTTTGTTGTTTTTAACTAGTGATATAATATACCTAGCAGCAAAAAAATCATAATATAAATTTATTAGCTCATATTTTTTTGAAGTAAGAATGGACAGAAGGAAAAAATTTATTATTATTTAGCGATTTTTTTTGGTTCCAATAAAAAATATGCGACAAATTCTGCACAAAAATAAAAAATACATTAGGATTTTTCTCCACTAAAGATGTATGGTTTTAAATATTTTTTCCAATGATTTACGTTTTTTATACAGGGTGTTTCATACCAGGAGGCGAAAAATGAAATTCTATATTCAAAACGTCATTCTAAATAAAAATCTTTAATACTTTTTTGTTCTATCATTTTTCGTTTTCGAGTTATTCGAGTTCAAAGTTTTGAATTCAAACAATGAAAGGATAACAATATGCAATAATAGGATTCATAATTCTAGCAACCAAAATATACATCCATGGAAACGTATATGTGGTCTTCTGCCTTATTTGTCATACAACCTGTCAGTTTATTGTAAATTTATAAACAAAATGGAATTTACGAATGAAGAATATGCAGACATTGTTTTTATTTACGGGTACGCAAATGGAAATGCTTCTGCAGCTTCCCGAGAATATCTGCGTAGATTTCTAAATAAACGACAACCATCCCGCCGTGTATTTTCAGACGCATATCAAAGACTCCGAAGAAATGGTATTGGAAGCAAGCATACAGGAGGTGCGAACTTCAGACACAATGCTGGTCAAGAAGAGCAAGTAATTGACGCTGTACTTAACGAACCCGGCATTAGTACCAGACGTATTGCTAGTAAGCTGGAAGTTTCTCATAGCTTTGTTTGGAGAACCATACACCGAGAAGTATTGCACCCGTTTCATAAGCAAAATGTTCAGCATTTGCAGCCAAATGATCACGAGCCACGACTTCTGTATTGTCAATGGCTGCTTCGTCAACATGAGCAAAATCCAAATTTTATTTCTTCTATTAATACAATTGTATTCTCAGATGAAGCTACTTTTACCAGAAATGGTATTAATAATACCCATAATGAACATGTATGGTCGTTGGAAAATCCACATGCTACGAGAGTGAGACATTTCCAACAGAGATTTTCAATTAATGTCTGGGGTGGCATTTTCAACGGGCGAATTCTGCCAATTATAGTCCTTCCCAATAGACTAAATGCCGAATCTTATTTAATGTTCTTACAAAATGAACTTAATGAAATGCTGGAAGATGTCCCTGTGGGTTTGCTAAATGGAATGTGGTTTCAACACGATGGGGCACCACCCCATATTGGTAGAAATGTAGTGAATTGGTTGAATAACAACTTCAATGGAAGGTGGATTGGTAGACGTGGCCCATTATTGTGGCCTGCTAGGTCACCGGATTTAAATACGCTTGATTTTTATTTATGGGGACACATGAAACAGCTTGTCTATGCAGTCGAAATTACCACCGAAGAGCAGCTTATGCAAAGAATAATAGATGCGGCGGAGCAAATACAAAATGTACAAGATTTTGGACGAGTTTACAATTCTGTTGTTTTGCGGTGCCAAGATTGTATTAATGCTGAAGGCCATGTTTTTGAAAATGTCCTGTAATATTACAGATAAAAATAAATAGTATAAACTACAAATTGGTCAATTGTCAATCAATAATTCTTGCTGACATATTAGCAATAAACTGACAGGTTGTATTACTTAAATAAGGCAGAAGACCACATAAGGTTATTTTTTTTATCTGGACTAGTGTTTTTTTTATTAAGTTGGTTGTTTATGTAAGTTTGATTAGTATTTTTAGGATTGGTATCTCTGTTTTACATAATTTGACAGTTTTTGTCAAATCATTAAATTTAAACAGAGGAATATCAAACTCCAATGTATTTATGTGATTTAAAAAACGTCTCTGTACAAATAATTATCCTACAGGACAATAACGAAATACTATTTTGGTCAAAAACCTATTAAAAGGTAAATATTTTTTGATTTCTTAACCACAAATATTAATTTAGTTTTATAGCTGCCAATATAATAGAAATATTTGCCAACTAAACCCTTAAGTTTGCAACGTTGCCGCAGTCCAGATAAAAAAAAATGAACTGTATTATAAACTTAAATACTTATACGTTTCCATGGATGTATATTTTAGTTGCTAGAATTATGAATCCTATTATTATATTGTTATCCTTTCATTGTTTGAATTCAAAACTTTGAACTCGAATAACTTGAAAACGAAAAATGATAGAACAAAAAAGTATTAAAGATTTTTATTTAGAATGACGTTTTGAATTTAGAATTTCATTTTTCGCCTCCTGGTATGAAACACCCTGTATTTTAACGTTAATTTTTCGTTTTCATAATTTGATAAATTCATTTTAAAGTAAGTGTTAGTGTTATTTGGTTTTCTAGGATTTTAAGATATTTTAAGATTTCCTGAATGTTTGAAAATTATCTTTTTTTTATTTTATAGCTTTTTTAGATTCCATTATTATCCAAAAAAATAATATTATACTGTATAATTTATACAATATTATACAGTTATACGATAAAATAAGTTTATGTTTTCTGCTCGGTTTTCAATTGTTTACATTTTTATGTTATTTTATTTTCATCTTAAAGACTTATTACCTTTTATGAATGAGCTGAATATACTTTTAAGAGCATTACTTCAACCATGATATATTATGACTTTAACTATATTATAGGGACCCTAACCAAGAAAACAAGGTAGGTATGTTCAGTAGGACAAATTTTGGTTCACCCAGTTACCGCCATCTTAGTTTATTCCCGCCTTTGAATTTAAATAATATTTTAAATTTAAATATTATTCTCTTATAAAATTCATCAAAATTTCTATAAAATTGTTCGATTTTTAGATTGAACTAAGAAATAATATAAAGATTATACGTAAATAAGTCACAATATTAACATTTCAAGAAAATATTATTCATGAAAAACACCTATACGGTTTTTCAATGAAATAAAATATATTGTTTTAAAGTAAATAATATTTACTAAATACCAAATAAAATATATGAAAAAAGTGCAAAGAAAAATTTAATTTTAGTTTTTAGGTTAAATGTTTTAAATAATATCTTGTCTTAAAGCCATTTATAAGTCAATAAAACAAAATATCCTGTTTTAAAGCAAATATAAAGAATGAAATGAATTTACCTATTTATTACAAAATTGTATTTACAAATAATTGCAGTTTAGGTAGTAGATCGCGATTCATCTCTAATTTTTTACACTCGTTAATTTTAGCTGTGTGCTGTAATAGACTTGAAATTTCAAGTTCAAGCTAAAAATCTAGGTGTTTGCAATAATAAGTTTCTGTTATGGGCTGTCTTCAAAAACCATATAATGCTTCCTGGTTTTGTCCTATTTCTTGGACACTGTAAAAAAAAGTCTTTGTTTTTTCAAATTTTATTTTAATTTCTTACAAAGTACTTGATTACTCTTTTGATAAAACTGCTGGTAAGTGTAAAGCAAATATCTTCGAAGTAAATGGAACAAGTACAAGCTACAAAACAAACAAAAATATTAACTTAAAACACATTTTTTATTTATTTATCTGTCACAAATAATTTATACAAAAGACAAGTACCTCTAAAAAACTACTGCTATTTAATTGTTTTTAAAATAAGCCTACTTACTATCCTTTACATCATTTTTTTTCAAGCCAATACGAAGAAAATGTATTGGATTTCCAGGTCTTTTTCTTTTGGCATTGTTTTTCCAGATTTTTACTTGGCAGGTAGACATTTTTACACTTAGAAAACTTTAAAATAGCTTAAAAACAACTCACATCAAAATGTAAATAGTCAATATGGAGGCGACTGGGTGCTCTCACCTCTTCGCCAATCTGATTTAGTGCTGAAAACAAATGCGCAAGAACATACTTGCTTTCTTGTACCATGGAACATCCCATAAATTTTTATAACGTTTTATATATTAAAAATTACATTCTAAAAATATTTTAGATAGTCCATTAAAAAAACAACGTTTAAAATAAAATTTCCATATTTTACTGCGTGTTTTTTATTTTAAAAAAAATATGGAAATACGAAGAAATTGCTACTGTGCCTAATAATTTGGCACTGTACTCACAGGAAACCCTATTTCCAGGTTGAACAAGCCGGGCGCCCCTCCCACCGTGCCGCCGCGCATCTCCCCCAGCATCCCCCCCTCGAAAAAGCTGACCAACCAGCGCTCGGAGGGCGACTCGGCCCGACTCGACGACCCCTCGGCCGCCACGCCCACTCCCTTCGCCGACTTCGATCACTTCGAGAAGTACGAGAACGTGCCGGACGAGGGCGTCTTCCCCGGCGACCTGTACGAGGCCGAGCGGCGCAAGCTGTTCGCGCAGTTCGCCGCCGGCGACGCCGCCGCCGCCGACCGCGCCGCGCCCCGCAGGCACGGCGCCTTCGAGATCTACCGGCCGGCGGCCAGGAGCAAAGAGGCGCACCGCGGCGCCGACGACAAGTCCAAGTGGGACAGGTTCAGGCGCCTGCAGGAGGAGAACACCGTGCTGCTGAGGATATGTCAGGAGTTGAGCCAGGAGTTGGCGGACACGAGGGAGGAGAAGTTGGCGCTGAAAGTGCGGCTGGAAAAACAAAGCAACGGCGGATAGTCGACGTAGGTGAGTAGGTAGGAGATCGCGATTCATCTCAAATTTTTTACACTCGTTAATTTTAGCTGTGTGCTGTAATAGACTTGAAATTTATTAAAATCTTATTCTCTCTTTTACAAAGTTGTTCAAGCTAAAAATCTAGAAGGTGTTTGACATACCAACTTTCAAACTCATCTGCATAATACTGCTTTAAGTTACTTTAATTTTATAAATTATGTTCAGTTTTTAGAAAATTTCCCGATTTTCTAAATTGTTTAATAATTTTGTAATTTTGCTGTTTTTTTGTTTAAATATTAAAATAAAATATAGGTAGGTATTTCAATTAAAAATTGTTAATTTTTCATTATACAAAGGGCCATACCATTAGGGTTTAAAAATTTCCGGAAAAATTAAGCCGGCGGAAAAAAACGGAACCGGAAACTTCCGTTTTTGGGAAATTTTCAGAAAAATTGACTTTTGCATTTTCTTCAAAAGGTAATACCAACAAAATGCAAAAGTTAATTTTTCTAAAAATTTTCATATTTTTACAGATATCTGTACACTGATATTAAGAAAATAGTTAATTTCCGACGCTGATTATAATCATAATAGGTATTATAATAAATCATATATGATTATAATAATTATTCCTTTTATTTTAATTCAGTAAGAATATTCTACCGGGCCGCAAAAAAACATTCTGTGCTGTTTTAACATACAAACTTTAGATTTATTTTGTAATTTAATTTTATAAAACATACATTATTGTTTAATTGGATATTTTAAATGGACTCATTTTTGCAAACCGGGAGTTTATTTTCTTAAATCAATTTAATTTAATTCAATATTTAGTTTTATTTTCCCAAAAAAAAATAATTTTTCCCAAAAAAGACAATGTTTCCAAGTCCTGGGAAAAAAACGGAAAAACAGGTTTTCTCCCAATTTTTCCGGTTTTTTTCGTCACTTTAAAACCCTACATACCAGGCAAAGTAAAGTAAAATTACAAAATATCTTTACCATAGTTTTTTTAAATTATATTATTGCTAACAAATGTTAACTTTTTATTTTTGAAACGTTATTAGAAATTTACGTTAAATATTTTTTCATAAATATTCATCAATAAATAAAATTCATTTTTTAAACCCATATAACTCAAAAACTACAAACTACAAAATAATAGGGGGAGTCGCATACCACGTGATGTTATTTTGAGTGTAAAAAAATAACAAAACACGGAAAAAACCAATTTTTCCGTTTTTTCCCAGTCTCTGCTTTTTTTGTGAATAATTGATTTTTTTTGAAAATATACAAAGCAATCAACAACTTTACATTATTTTAATGTAAAAAAAAATATCCTTAAGGATAATAAATTTATTACAGAAAAAAACAAATAATACTGAACTTTACATTGAATTGAATTGATTTTAGAAAATAAACGTAAACGTTAAATATACGTATTTTTGCGAATCCATTTTCAAAATAAAGAATGATTTATAAAGTAAAATTACAAAATTATAATTTTATAAATCAATGTGTCAAATAAAACGATAGTTATAAGAATACAGCACCGAATTCGTTTTTTTGCGACCCGGTAGAAGACTTACTGAATTATAATAATAGGAATAATTATTGTAATCATGTATTATTTGATTATAATCAGTGGAAAATTTAATTTAATTTCAGTGTAAAGAAGTTTGGAAATTTTTAGAAACATTGACTATTTAAGTATTACCCTTAAAAACGCAAAACTCAATTTTACTGAAAATTTCCTGATTTTTCCGTTTTTTTCGCCGGTTCAATTTTTCCGGAAATTTTAAAACCCTATTTTTGAGTTATAATGTTTTACATAAAAGGGATGAAGATAATTTTATAATAATTCAAAAATTTAAAGGCAAAATTTGTTAATAACAAGAAAGTTTTGATTTTTGACACAAAATGTCAAAATACAACGCAACCATGTCAATTTCAGCTTTAATATTGGATTTGTTACCATGACAACCTTTGGATTATCTAATCTGTACATTATTTTAGACCAATTTTGTACAACATTTGAACAATTTTTATTTTATATTTTTTAGATTTTTTTCATCTTTAATATTTAGTATGATTATACAATTTTTAAGTGAATTTTTTTTATTATTTAATATATTTTGTTTTATAATATACAGGGTTTTTCTTATTGTTTAAAAGACATCTTCTAATTTTCATGACAAACAGGTGCAAAACATATTTTTCACTGTTTTTCATTTTAGACATTCTAGCCTGAATAACTTTGTATGAAAAGTATTGTACATATGGGACATTCCACCAAATACATTTTTTTAGTAATTTTGACAATATATTTTTTAAAACTTTTTTGCATAATGATTTATAAAAATACAATCAATACTGTTTTTTTTATTCTTAGCTTTTTAATGAAAATAATAATTTTTAGAAAATAAGACAAAACATGAAAACATTGACAGATGCATAACCTCAATTATTTGAAAAATTACTTACAATTGCTTTATTTTTTAAATATGTTAAAACAAAAAATAACCCCAACGTAGAAATATCAAATTCTCAGCTTTACCGTTACCGTTTGAATTTTTATAAAACATTAATAACATCTAAAAATGACGAAAATTCCAAAAATCATTACTTTGAAAGTGCTCAATATTAAGAGCTAATCAATTTTATAAAAATCTGCGTGTGTCACCCCAAAAAAATTGTATTTGGTGGTATCACCCAAACATAATATTATATTATAATTATTAACCTATTACAACACACTGCACCATTATGTTTCTTAATTAATAAAGCAATATATGAGATGAATCGCGCGTATTTTTGCAATTACCCAGTGATTTATTTGATAAAAAATTGCTTAAATATTTTAATGCACAAGTCAGTAGCTGTAATTTTCCCTAAAAATCTTTATAATGTTTTCGCTGATATTTACAAAAAAACCTATTGTATTACACTGTGTTACATTTTGTTCGCCAGTGTTATTATTTTGCATTGACTGAAATTAATATTTGTAACGACTTAAGATAAACATACAAAAACATAAATATTAGGTACCAAATTTAATTAATAATTATGAATCATTGTTTTATGTAATATTTAATCTAGGCAGTTATTTTGTTTTAATTTTGAATAGAGTTTTATAGAATTGTTTATACATGGCGTTTAAAAACTCCTGCAAAAATAAAAGAGTTTCTAAATGCCCTGATTTTGCTAAATCTTAAATAAAATTTGCCAAAAATATTGTTTAAAATTTGCTTGTTAGTTAAGGCAAAGTGCCATAAACTGCCTAAGCAACAATTTAAATTAACTATTTTAAAAAGTCAATCAATTAATAACTTGTACATAAAATACTAAATAAAGTGATATATGTATTATACTAAACTTATTATATTAATCAAAAAAACACATTATGAACAAATTTTGAAATATATATTTGGGTTTTTTGATATTTGGTTGTTAAATTTTATCATATCTTCTATATTAGCAAGATCGTATATTTTTGTGTAGCTATAGGAAGACTGTATTTTAAAATTAAATAAATGATACAAAATGTTTACAGTTTTATCAATTTTTGTTTCCAGCATTTTTCCTTTATGGTTATGGTTATGGTTAATGGTATGGGTGGGAATAAATAAATTACCTACAATTGTAACAATACAGAGTTTTAAAGTTCTGTAATTGGAATTAGTTTTAATTGAAAACAATTTAGGGGAGAAAAATAATGGGAGAAGTCAATTTTTGAGGGTGGAAAAAATTCAATTCAAATCATCATACAACTATAGTTTATTTAATTAAAAGTTTAAAGTAAATAAACTATAGTCAATTCCATTTAAGAATGGGTTTATTAAATAAACTTTATTTAAAATATAAATTATATACAAAATAGGTACAATGTTTGATTTTTTAAACAAATTCGGTAAATCTGTAAAAATAAATAAAAATAGTATATTATGTATCAAGTTTGATAAACGCCATTTTAGACACGGACTTAATTTAGGCACAAGCGAGCTTGCGAGCGAGTGTTTAAATTAATGAGTGTCTAGAAAAGTTTATAAACAAGGTGCATACTATACTTTTTCTATGACAAATACTTATTATTATCTTAAAATGATTTAAATCAAATATTTGTGTATAGAGCGCCATCTATAAAACTATAGGGGAATCTGTCTTACCGCCAAATGTCAAATTTTCATGTTCTGTGAATTTTCATGTGTTATACACCTTGTCTCTGTTATACACAGATTATTGAAATGATAGTTGAAAATTTCAACTTGAAATGGATTAACAGTTTTACACAGTGAAAGTAAAGAAAATGTTTTATGAGCACTTTACAGTGGAGTCCGAGCCCGAATTTAAGGTATAGTTTACTGTCGGCGTACCTAATTAAAAGGTCAGTTCATAAAAACTTTAACCTCACTTTTTCGCAATTTATAATAAAGCTAACGTCAGCCCGTGACTAAAACGTTATAAAGTCACAGCTCGTCAATGTAGGAATAGATAAAGAATTTTATCCACTTCCTCGTTGATAAACTGCGACTATGGCGTTTTAGTTACGGTCTGAAGGTAGCAACAGTGAGTTTTGGGACTTTAGTCACGGGCTGAAGTTGACTTTATTATAAATTGGGAAAAAGTGAGGTTAAATTCGTCAAAAAAAAGGATTCAAAGCCAATTTTGATTTTGACATTTGACAGATGTCAAATGTTTAACAAATAAAATTGGCTTTGAACTCTTTTTTTGTTCGTCGTAGATAAAGTATAGTATGCAACTCGTTTTAAAAACTTCTCTAGACACTCGTTTTTACTATACACTCGCTCGCAAGCTTCGCTCATGCCTAATATAAATCATAACTAAAATGACGTTTATAAAACTTAATAAATAATGTACAATCTCGTATACAATAATACATGTAGACAGTGCACTGTCTGAATTTTGCAACATTGTGATCATACAACAAATATTGTGATCTTTTAAATGCACTTTGGCGTTTATATGTATATTAAATTTAATTCTTAGGGCCAGTTTTTCAATCGTTGGTTAACGATTGAAAAACCGGCCCTTAGAAGATTTAATTTTTATAGGTTATAAATTTAATACATAAAACAATAAAGCCTGATTTATAGATTGCCTTCCTTCCTCCCGTAGAAGATGAACATTACAATACCGTAAGGGAATCTATAAACGGCACTACAGATTTCAAATTGTTTATCTTTTACGGAAGGAAGGGAGGAAGGAAGACAATCTATAAATCAGGCTTGATAATTATTTTTTTGTGATGTATTTAATTTTTTAAATTATTTAAATGTCAATGCATATTTCAACTGATGCATCACAACGTTTTTACAATGTTATTTTTAATAAAACGCATAGAAAAAGGATATAACGTATATTTAAACTTTACATGGACCGACTATAGCATGACTACGTCTCAAATTTATACGCATGGAGCCATGTTTATACGTTTCAAAAATATACGTTTTATTAAATATGACACACCTTTTTTCAGGTCTGCTCTAAATTTACTAATTAAACCCATAAAATCCGTAAAAATAGAAAATAGCTTTGCCAACAGTCCCATTTAAATTTATTAAATGAATTTACGCGGGAAATGGGAATTTCGGATATGAATTCCTCCATTTTTAGTTTTACGCAATGACGACATACGTTTTACTTGCTCTCTTTGTTATTTGCATTAAAGTGCGAGGGAGAGGGATACACGAAGTGTGTCTGTGATTGGTGCATTATTTCTTACACGCGGGTAATAAGATGGTTCAGATGTTGTTGAAAAGATTGATTAAATATTGTTTTTTTAAATATGTAGTTTGATTTTCATGGAGAAGTGTGTATAGGAATGTAAGTTTATTAATTTTACGTACTTATTTTGTCTGTGAAAAGTGAAACTCTTGTATTTAGTAAGTAATTTGATTATTTTTAATCTATTGTCTAACATGGCAGTCCATTTTAAGATTTTAAGCAAATTTAAATTTCGTCTTGTTAGAAAAACCTTGTATGAAACACGTTGTTTTTTGTTTTTAGGTTATGTAGAATACATGTTTAACGAGAATCTAGTGTAGTTAATTAAATTAAATTAAAAAATATGGGGGATTGCAATTTGACCTTAAACTACAACTGCCAAAAAAATTGCAAATACTCCTATTCACCCTGGTGCCCTACATGCGAAATAAACTCCCCCAGAAGAAGAACAAGAAGTGAAACCAGCCAAGTTGAATGCCGAAAAAAAGGCAGGGATATGAAATCCCTAACTCCAAAAAAATACAGTCGATGTCAGGAATACGAAAATATGGAGTTGGAATACAACGTGAAAGATGGCTGGTGTCAGACAAAAGAGAGCTGGTTTGAAACAAAAGAATGCTGCAGAGTGAGAACTAACCTATGTGAACTGCCAACTTCCTATATTTCCAATAACTGCCAAACGGTTGACACTAGTGATTATGTTGTCAAATCAAAGCAAATATTTTCTGATTCCAATCATTTAGGGAGCATGCCAAAGCTAATCACGGAAAACAAAAAATTAGATGTTATAAGGCCACATTACAGAACGGAGCCAAAAGTGATATTAAAAAATTCCAGTCCCAATACCAAATCTAGTTCTAGAGACAATCAATTATGTGATGATTATAGAAATTGTAGAGATTATTGTACATTGCTCGACTTAAAAATGCATAACATACAGGATCGAAGCTTGTGTTATGATACCACCACTTATTTTAATAGAAGAGAAAAGGACAGTTTGAATTTACAGGAGAAATATAACAATGAAGTTGAATTTTTACGAGAACGATTATTAAGCCTCAAAAACTCTTCTTACAGCATTGAACAGCCAAATCATGGTAAAGTGTTTATAAATATGATGAAAGAAAAATACGGGGAAGAACCTGTAATTATATCAAAGCCTTTGCAAATTGTTGCAAAAAAGAGTCAAAGAAAAATTGTATCTCCACCAAATGACAGGGTCAGGTCGAAAGTTACATTAAAAACAAGAAATAGTGTTGGAAGAATTGCTGCAGCCAAAGTTAAAAAAATTAGGCCCAAAACACCCAGTCCAGTCATAGAGAGGTAAGTTTTTTTGTTATTATCAATAGAAACATAAACCTGGGTGAATGAAAATACTTTTCAACCTTTGTAATTAAAATAATATTTACTCCATCAATAACAAAAATATGGCAAGATTTATAAAAAAGATTGGCAGTTCTCAAATTATTATATAATTCTTTTACATTTGGATAGCGTTTATTGAATCATTGGATGAACTTCACTCAACGGTTTTATAATAATAGAACCAAGAAGACTAAAAAAAGGAGTTATCCAATGTTGACTGGGTGATTTAAAATACAATACATAAACTCAGACATGAGTATTTTGCGCATACATACACAAAGATAATATTGATGCTTCGTAGGGTGCCTTTATATATTGTATTTACTGCTGTATTTTAAATAAAACAAGTATGGATATAAGATTTATTTATTGTATTAACAATATAATATAACATAAAATACATATATCTATATACATATATCTATATACATAATCTGTATACATAAATATGTTTTTGTTTGTGGAGTGCAAACCTAAAAAATATTAATCTTAATTATTCAATAATAAGAGAATATTGCAAAATTTGGTAATGTAGCTCCTTATACGAGTTTAAACTAGGGATGCACCGGAGTTACTGCTCACCTACTGCCTCCGGCCGATCCGGCCTATGCGGCAGCATATCCGGCTCCGGCCAAATTTTTAAACTGATCCGGCAACAACGGCCGGATTGTGGCCGGATTTTTTAAATTAAAAATAAAATATTTTTTCAAATGTTTATTATAAAAAAAATATATACTCTTTTACAAGTAACAAACAATTTTTTTAGAAATAATTTAAAAATAGATTAAGGATTAAACTTCATGATTTAAGCGAACATAAGATAACGAAGTCCTTAAGTTATAGTGCAAAAATTCGAGTTGTTCACCTTTCTCGGGAAGAAATCGGCTATGCGCAGGTGATCGTATCTATGCGCACTAAGTAACAGACGCCGTACGTATGCGCAGTGGTTTACAGATGGTTGTATTATACCTATAATAATTATTTTACCTCTGTTTTTTAATTGTTATAACATTTAGATTAGGTATAATAATAAATATTATTTATTTATTTTTATGTTACCAATTTATTATTTTTTTAAACGTTTTATAAAGATATACTTTTTAAAATATTATTGGTTTTAAAAACTTTTATTTATTGATAAATATATATGTTTTTGTTTTTTCCCCTAAAATAGCTATTTAACGAACTCATTTGAGTCCGTAAAACAATTCTTTTTTTGTACTAGTACGAAAAAGTTGCTATGGAAACTTTTGCAAAATGGTTCTTGAACCATTGCAATACAACAATTAAAAATAAAATTCGATAACTGTCACTGACAGTGACTCAGTGTCACTGTCAATAACCTTAATTTCGAGAAATAGGTACCTATTACTCTATTTAAAAATTTGAATATATGGCTTTGTTATCTATGATATGGACCTAGAACAAAAAAATGTTGTTTGCAATATGTACCTAAAAATCATGTGTTTTAGGACGAATCGTAGCTGTTTGCGGTCGAGGCGAAGCCAAAACCAGAACAGCCGATGTTACAAAAATAGCTATAATAATACGTATATAATACGTATATATATATATATATATATGTATAATTATATTACTTTTTAACTAATATAATATGTATATACATATATATTAGAGTGTGCCAAAAAAACTCGATATTTTTTTTTTCTTGCTCTCCGCCCAAAATATCGTAGAATATGTCCAAACAAATATTCTGTTAAAAGCGGAGCTCATAATTTCAATTTTAAGAGGTCCCTCATCGAATCTGAAGTTTTGCCGCTTAAATAACACGTGTTTCTGTACAGAAAACTGACTGTTTTACCTTATTTATTCTTGCAACCTAGGAAGAAATTTTTTTTTCATAAAATCCATGACTAATTCTTACAAAGCATTAAATTTGGACAAAAAAATCTTATTAAGCCGAATTTCTATTTTCATTATTTGATTTTTTACAGAGCTTTAAATTTAAAGTTAATAATACAAAAATGATGAATTTATACGCCTGTAACTTTTAGAATATTGACGATACAAAAAATTCGTGGTCCATCAGACAAGCTAAAAAATTGCCATTTGACTTTTTCGTCTAACTTCAATAGTTTAGCTGAAAAAGGCAAAAAACGTAAAATTTTAAATTTAAAGCTCTGTAAAATATCAAATAATGAAAATAGAAATTCGGCTCAATAAGATTTTTTCGTCCAAATTTAATGCTTTGTAAGATTTGGTCATGGATTTTATGAAAAAAAAATTTCCTTCTAGGTTGCAAGAATAAATAAGGTAAAACAGTCAGTTTTCTGTACAGAAACACGTGTTATTTAAGCGGCAAAACTTCAGATTGGATGAGGGACCTCTTAAAATTGAAATTATGAGCTCCGCTTTTAACAGAATATTTGTTCGGACATATTCTACAATATTTTGGGTGGAGAGCAAGAAAAAAGAAATATCGAGTTTTTTTGGCACACCCTAATATATATACATATTATATCAGTTTCAACGCGCCAAAATAACAAGTAGGTACATGACAAAAACCTGGTGTAAAAATAAAAAAGACAATGCGCCACCTAATAATGATTACTTATAAGGTGGGCAGGTACCTAAAATATAAACACTTTTATTTACTTTTAATACGACTAGAATGCATGCGTAAAATGCAAGGTCTGTTAATTTTTCTCCTTGTTTTAAAAGACAAATGTTAATTTACTTTACATGTATTGTTGGTTGCCTGTTCGGGAACAGGATCCCCACATACCACATCAACACGTAATTGGTAACTAAGTGCAAGATTTGCATAATACTGAAACAGAAACTGCAACTGCCTGTGTAAAAACACTGTAAGATCCGGCCGACTCCGGCGAAATCCGCCAAAATCCGGCCGGAGTTAATCCGGCCGATGAAGCCGGATTACTGCATCCGGTAATCCGGCCAAAATCAAATCCGGTGCATCCCTAGTTTAAACTTAACATATAGGAATTTGTACAAGGCTTTTGAGTGTGGACTTTTGGTTCTAACCAACCGTGAAAAATCTATCTTGCCAACTATTGGTTTTGAAACAACCATAAGTAGCCTGGGCTTGGCCTGGACTAAATTACCATTAAAAAAGCAATCCTAAATAATTCATAATTAACAAAAAGTATTTTTACGCTAGAGCGATACTGCCGTGCTAAGCCAAAAAGACGCAACTCCACATTTTTACTTTATAAATTATAGCGCTTTATTTATTTATTGTTTTTTTCCAAGATACGATCAATTTAATAAGAAATTTTTAGGAGCTATACTACTTAAAATGTATTCTAAGAGAATAATTTAATAATAACGAGATGAGTCTTTTTGGCTTAGGACGGCATGATAGTCAATACTTACAAATTGGTTACATTTCCGCGCCCAACAACAATACATTTCACAATCATTAACACGTTTTATCACTTTTAAGGCGCAAACATGTATTTAATAATTCAAAAATTATGATCGACATCAATAATTATGATTGACATTGACATTTGCAAATAGCGTTTGTACAGATGTCTGCAATTTAAAAATAGATATAGTTCAGGTATTGTAGAACTAGAGGGCAGTGGTGGGAGAGTTTCCAATCTATGGGGTGTATTATCTTTGTACATACATACGTTTTTTGGCTTGACCTAGCAACTTTAGTACTCCTCTATTTAGTCTTCTTGAATAGAACGTATTATGAAGGTATATTAGGGACAATTATTTTCAATCTTTTTACTTGAATTTTGACAATTTTTTGAGTTGTAAGAAAACTTCATATTCACACAGTTTAACAAATAGTAAAATAGGTAAAAATAGCTTCCAAAATTAAATTAAAATAATTAATTTTTTTTTAAACAAATTCTGCATATTTTTTTTCTATAAAACCTATAGGTATTGTAATAATATATTATGTATCAAGTTTTATAAACGCCAATTTAGTTACGAGTTTTATTAGCCACGAGCTTGCGAGCTAGTGTTTAATAAAAAAGAGTGACTAGAGAAGTTTATGAAAGGAGTTGCATACTATACTTTTTCTTCGACGAACATAATACGAATTTAAAGCCAATTGTAATTTATAAATATTTGACATCTGGCGAATTTAACCTATCTTTTTTGCCATTTATAATAAAGCTAACTGTTGTTAACTTCAGCTTGTGACTAAAACGCCATAAAGTCGCGGCTCGTCAATGCAGTACTTTTTGTGTATTTTAATTGACTCATATTTTCATTAGACCCATATCAATTGGCCCCCCACCCCCCGCCAAAGTAGACCTCCTCCCCGCAAAAACGGACCAATCAGATTATAATTACGTCAGAGATCTCATAAAAAAATGCATACTAGATCCAAAAGACGAGCTTAATAAGGAAAACACGAGTAAAACCACGTTAAGAAGTGACGTTTTAAAAAAAGCCTTGGTTAAGTTGACGGAATCAAGATTACAAAATAAAAATGAAAACAATTTTAAGGCTCATAAGTCTGGTGGAAGCAGTGTGTGCGATAATGAGGCTGAGCATAATTTAAAGTAAGGAGCTTACTATTGCAATTGTTTATTTTCCATTAACCCTGAACAGGGCTTAATTTTTCTTTTTAACAAGATTAGATTATTAATGTTTGTTTTACTTAATCAAGTAGTCAAATGAGCAAATATTTAAGTAGAACAAATATTATAAACTGGTTAAATGGACTATTGACATAAATTTAAATTGAAAAAAATAAGATAATTGACAATTATTTGGGTGCGTTCCACAAAATAATACAAGAACACTTTACACGTTAATATTAGAAGAAATTATTGCAAGAATTATGAGAGAGAGGTTAGATATTGCAAGAAAAAAAATCTAGGTATTAAGCCTGATTTATAGATTGCCTTCCTTTCTTCCTCCCGCAAAAGATAACCAATACAAAAATCGTTGGCAATTCGATTTTCGTATTGTTTATCTTTTACGGGAGGTAGAAAGGAAGGAAGGAAGGCAATCTATAAATCAGGCTTTATTGTTTCACTTTATTTTGCCGTCTTTGTTTTTTAGGGTAAAAAACGTATGCACGGACATAACCAATTTCGTTGACAATTCAAACCTTTTTACTTTTAATTTTGTACTTTTATTGGATAATACCTAAGAAAATAGTAATTTATTTTAATTAAAAAATATTTTGCAGCAATATTATCCAGATAAAAGGGTATTTATAAACTGTAACTAAAAATTGAACCTACACCTCGCCAAAGTTTTTTGTTTTGAATGCGTTCCACCAACTTCAAATACCGACAGACAGCTGTTTCGACCTTTATTGGGTCTCATCAGTGTCGGGCAACTTGGTGTAGTGGAACACAATCAAAACAAATTACTCCCTGAGCCTATATGCTCAGTTATTAAGTCAACAGAGGCGAGATGTAAGAACATCAGGTGATCCACACCGTCAAACGACGTGGCCTTTGCCGCAATCGGTACATACTATGCAACCGGGACTGCACACAGCAATTGTATCACAGATACTAATATGGCCTAAAGGAATCTAGAATTAACCCAACCGGGCTAAACTTTAAGGTAAACATTCAATTTTCTTAGTTTCTTTAAGAAACTTTTGACCCATCACTGGAAATATTCATAAGAAAAAATTGAACCTACACCTCGCCAAAGTTTTTTGTTTTGAATGCGTTCCACCAACAGCTGTCTGTCGGTATTTGAAGTTGGTGGAACGCATTCAAAACAAAAAACTTTGGCGAGGTGTAGGTTCAATTTTTCTTATGAATATTTCCAGTGATGGGTCAAAAGTTTCTTAAAGAAACTAAGAAATAAGAAAATTGAATGTTTACCTTAAACTGTAACTGTATATTTTTTGTAAAACAAGATGAAGCCTAGAAAAAAATAGCTAGGGATATATACAAAACAAAAAAGTTTTAAATATTCGTTTAATTAAAATTCCTATCACATGAATGAGGCATTATTCATCAACTAAAAAAATATAAGTAACATTTACGTATAATTAGGAAACCTAAATTCGTATTTTTTGTACATCTCTTCAATGTAATCATCAGCCCTTTTGGTGAGTTTTTCGTCGAAAAACTCTTCCTTGGCGGAATCGACTTTTCCTTTTCGAACAAATTCCATTTCTATGGCTTCTTTGGGCATGTAGTCCTTATAGTCCTTGTTGACTGCATCGTTCTTTTTGAAGTTGTCGAATTTTAGATGGTCGATAAGTTTGTCGATTTGCGAGTCGGTCAACGGTTTTTCTAGGAATTGTGCTGTTTTCAATATGGCCTCTTTCTGAAACTGCTCAGAACAATATTGCCAAGTTTGTTTTTAATAAAAATGTATTGAAACTTACCTTAACAATATCTTCATAGTACATGAACAGCACGTTTTTGTTGTTTCTTAGTTCCCAGCCTTCCTGTATGTGGTCCCAATAGGGTGGGTCTAAAAACAGTGTAATTATTGGTTAATAATATTCGCCTCGCGTAAAGGGGCGGGGCTTGTGTGAAAATAAATCCGCTAAAATTTGCCATACCAAGTTGCAAGGATAGGTTTAGTGAAATAGTATATTACACTACAAGGGCAGAAAGTGTGAGATTCCTGGCCCTCACACTTTCTGCCCGTGTAGTGTATACTATTTTTCTTACTACCTCGGCCGAAAATACAACCCGGCCGAAAATACGGGAAAAAATTAAATGTGTATTTATGTACCTATCTCCATTTGAAGAGCTTGATAAATAAATAACAGTAGGCCGTGAATTCAGCGGTGCCAATACAGTAAAAATAAAACGTTGTATTTTAATTATATTAACAAATTACTACTTTATAACAAATAAAAGTACCATTAAACACTTAAAAAGTAAAAAAGTAAAAACATAAATTGTTTATTTGTTGTTATAATTGCAAAATTATGGTTTAAAACTGTCATATTTTTGTGTTTCTCATGTTGGCAGTACGAAATTTGAATGTTAAGCACACGACTAAAAAATTTTTACTCCCGCTATTAGAGTGTGCGTTTCTGCCGTGGAATCGGGGACGAAACAACGTAGGTATTTTGAGTCGAGGTAGTAAGAAAAATATATTTCTTACATAAATTTTTCTCCATTAATTCCCAGAGCTCCTCAAAATTAGTTTTGCCATCTTTAAATTGTTTTCTGTTGAAATAATATCTGGACACCATCATATCTTTAAGACTTCTGGCAACGTATATTATCTAAAATAATAATAGTTACAACTTAAATCGTTAATAAAACATTATTTTTTACCTTACATCCTGAGGTCAGAAGTTCACGGGGCAATAAAGATATCGGTAGATGAGTTTTTATGAATCTTTGTTTGTCTTGAGGCCAATTTCTATCCCATGCCTTTGTTAATATTTCCTGAACGTCCTGAATTTTTTTCGGGTTGTCCTTGTTAAATTCTACGATTTTTTTTAATCTCTCCTCATCAAAATAGATTGGATATCTAAGAAGAATGTCAATTTAGGTTAGAATACTTTTTTACCTTACTTAAATATGTTTACCATGCAGTTTTACCAATTTTACAAAAAAATGTATTAATACAAAATTTAAAATTTACAAAATTAACTACTTACTCAAAATATGTATAGCGTTTGACTAATAACTCTCTGCCAGCTCCATCTATATCCAAATTATTGCATATTTGCCATACCATTTCCTGAGTTAGCGTGGTACCTAAAATGTTTTTGTTTTTAAAAATTTAAAATTATTTTTAAATAATGTAGAAGGTCATCCAATAAGGATGTCTTATTTTGAGCTGCACATAGTGCCAAGTAGTTTGCAATAATTATATTTTGCATGTCTAGTTTTTGAGAGCGTTTAAAAAAAGTTCTATATTCCTCTACTAGAAGGTTACTTAAAACTATGAAAAAAACTTAATTAAAATCAGAACCTGAATTTTGCATTTCTGCTCCTCAATTATTTATGAAATTAAACCGGCTTTTTTTAATACTTTTGTGGAAAACTGGATATCGAATTTTCTCCACCCAAGGAAGCTGGGTAGGGATTTTATACATTGTATAAAATCTTAGAAATACAACAATATTATTTATTTAAGTGGATGAACCTTTACCTGATCTGGGTAATGTTACTATCCATATATCGCTATTTCTTACAGGAAAGTTGTATATTTCGTCTTTGTTGTTTAGGTAATACGACCTTAGGGCGAATTTTTTCTCCCCAAATTTATACATCTTGGCATCTAAGAAACCTACAATAATAAAATATTTTTTATAAATATTAAATGCATACATACTTTATAAAGTTTTACCTGGTATAACTTTTCTTACTAGAGCATATTCTTCAGAAGAAATTTCTTCATGTGTTATTGGATTTTTAACGCTCATGGTTATTGTGGTGTAATGTAATTTAAAATGTGTTTTACACTGACCCTAAAATAAATTAAAACGAGGTTTTTATAACTTTTTAAATTTTATTTTATTTGTTTTGTACTCATTATTTTATTTGGTTTTTAGAAAATACTATGTACACTTTATTTTTTAAGATAAACATTATTGTAATACGTTTCGTAGATATACACGTGTTTCTTAAGCCGGGTCTACAATTGTCGCAGGGGTCCGATCGCAAAACATAAGCTTGCGCGACGTGGCGATGGAGCAAGGTTCTTTTGTCAGCTGGGTGCTTTGCGCAAGTTTATGTTCTGCGATTGTAGACCCGGCTTTAAGTAGGTCAGTAACTTCAATTATTCCTTACGATAATTTCAGAAAAAAGTTCATATAATATATATACAGTATGTCCCCGGATAGGGTTGCCAAGATGAGAAACATCTTTATTTTTCATTTTACGAGAAAAATGTATTCTTCATAATAGTTTTTGCTTGTTTCAAAATGAATGAATCAGTTTGCACCGTTTCAAATTTCCTTTCCGTTAAAGAGAAACATGAAAAAATATGTCCTTTTAGTTGAATATTTGTTTAAGTCCCAAAAATTTTCGTTTTCATGGCAACAGTTAACTATTGTTTATTAAGTTTTTATTGCAAAAATTCAACAAAAATCAAGTCGTTTCATTGTCAGTCCTAAAAGAACATTTATTAAGTTTTTATTACAATTCAACAAAGTAATTAAACTACTAATAAATTTCACTCGATCCATTCACCACCTTCATGAACGTAATTAGTCTAATTGCAATAGCAGCGACTAATAATTATTGTCAATAGCAATTTGTATCCCGGATATTTAGCAGTCAACTCCTATGTAAAATTGTCCGCTGAATGCGAAAATGTCGTCAAAAGTTATAAAAGTAGAACGTTTTTGAGATTTTCTATATAGGTAATATGGTATTGACTATATCTTAAAAACTGCATTACTTTTATAATTTTTGACGGTATTTTCGGATTCAGGGGACAATTTTACATAATAACAAGCTGTTAAATGCCCGGGATACAAATTGCTGTGGACTAAAGTTATTAGTAACTGCGTTTTTACTTTGAAAACTAGTCATTTTTAGAGAATACGTCACTATTGTTTTTTTTGTTTTCTTTAGAGTATTTTTATCACTGATTATTTCCCTCATTATAATATTAACCAATCAAAAGCCTTGAATTTTTGAATAAATTTCGTTTAAATAAGCGATTAAATCACTAGAACTTTTTAACAGCGATTAAATTTTAGCCTCCATATTGGATTTTTGTTTACGATTTTATGGTGTTATTTACAAGTTTTAACAAACATTTTTTTAAAAACAATAAAAAATAAGTTATCTAGTTTACGAAATATCAATTATTACTTATTACATACCTTAAACTAATGAAATTTTCTTAAAAAAAAATATTTATAAATTTTGACACATACGTCAGATTTTATGAATTGTCAAATAGTTTCCTTTAATTCGAGAAATAATCTAGACGTATATCACTCAACCTATAAATTTAATCTGTCAAACTATGCTCAGTAAGTTTTTTATTTGATTTTTCTTTTTGGAAAATAGTTTCATGCAAAATAATTAAAAATAAAACCCCTCGACCGCTACGCGGTCTCGTGATTTTATTAAATTATTTTGCATTCAACATTTTCCAACAAAAACCAAACAAAAAACTATTGAGCCTAGTTTAACCGATTAAATTCATAGTTCTCGTGATATAATATATGACTATTTCCCTTGTCTTAATTTCCACCAATCACAAACGCGCAATTTTGAACTACAAATGGTTTCTAGGTGGAAAAACTGTATGACAGCACCTGTTTACCCGCGGCAAAACTTGACAGCTGTTGTCACCAAAAATTGAAATAGTCTTGTCAAATACCATTCGGGCATCTAACTTTTCCTGTGAAAAAAATCGTTATAACACAATGCTAAGTAATATTTTTTTAACAAAATGCATTCGTGTAGGTGCAAAAATCCTCGTCTTCGACTCGGATTTTTGTTGCCACCAGTACTCATGCTTCTTGTTAAAATAGCAACGTGTTTTTTCGATTTTTTTCGAAAAAATAAATGCCCAAGGGCAATTGGTAATTTAATAAATATTTTTTATACTTAATTTAAGCGGTTTTTTACATTTTCAATTACATATTGCCAGTTTGTGGCAAAATATATATTTTTTAAATTTTACTGCTTAAAATTCAAATATTTAATGTATTATATTTAAATATAAAAGGGGCGCACCAAGGAATGCTGCACGCAGGCGCCAGACACCCTAGGAACGGGCCTGAGAATAGTAGTTTATTTTAAAAATATTTTGCAGCAATATTATCCATATAAAAGAGTGTCATATGTATAAACTGTAACTGTATATTTTTTGTTAAACAAGATAAAGCCTAGAAAAAATGGCTAGGGATATACATAGAAAACAAAAAAGTTTTAAAAATTCGTTTAATTAAAATTCCTATCACATAAATGAGGCATTTTTCATCACATAAAAAAATAAAAGTAACATTTACGTATAATTAGGAAATCTAAATTCGTATTTTTTGTACATCTCTTCAATGTAATCATCAGCCCTTTTGGTCAGTTTTTCGTCGAAAAACTCTTCCTTGGCAGAATCGACTTTTCCTTTTCGAACAAATTCCACTTCTATAGCAGATTTGGGCATGAAATCCTGGTAGTCCTTGTTGACTGCATCGTTCTTTTTGAAGTTGTCGACTTTTAGATGGTCGACAAGTTTGTCGACTTGCGAGTCGGTCAACGGTTTTTCTAAGAATTGTGCTGTTTTCAATATGGTCTCTTTCGGAAACTGCTCAGAACAATATTGTTAAGTTTGTTTTAAATAATAATATATTAAAACTTACCTTAACAATATCTTCATAATACATGAAGAGCACGTTTTTGTTGTTTCTTAATTCCCAGGCTTCCTGTATGTGGTCCCAATAGGGAAAAGATATGCCTGAAAACAGTGAAATTATTGGCTAATATTATTCGCCTCGCCTAAAGGGGCGGAGCTTGCTGCCTAGAGACTAGCAGCGCGTGAAGCATCGAAATTTTGAACTTTTTGTCAAAGTGACGATTAACATGTGTTTCGTGATAAAATAAAAAGTGTTTATACGGGAATAGTATCAAATACTGTTCCAGCTTTATACAACTTTTTTATATTTTAGTGAAAAAAAAGTTAGAATTTGCCCTTTGACATGTTTGTATATCATTTTTGCTGCAGATGTACAGAAAAGTTGTGATTACATGGATAGGTTTAGTGAGAATAGTATATTCTGTAACAAGTTTGGAATACAGCATATTCCGCTCGAGTGAAGAGTTTGTCACACGAGCCGAAGGCGAGTTTGACGGTTTCACGAGAGCGAAATATGCAATTCCAAACGTGTTTCAGACTATACTTTTTCTACGTTTCCAAAAAATACCATAGAAAAATTATTTAATTGGAAGAAAGTGAGGTTGGATCTGTCTAAAATTTGTTAGATATTAAAAACAGAGATGTCGCCACGAGTGTTCATTCTGTCATCCGATGATAGAATATTTAATTCTGTAACACTTTACGGAATATATGTCATTCCATAGATAAAAGTGATATTAGAACTGTCAAATTCCGTAATAGGAGTAGAAAAATATATTTCTTACATAAATTTTTCTCCATTAATTCCCAGAGCTCCTCAAAATTGGTTTTGCCATCTTTAAATTGTTTTCTGTTTAAATAATATCTGGACACCATCATATCTTTAAGGCTTCTGGCAACGTATATTATCTAAAATAATAAGAGTTACAACTTAACTCGTTAATAAAACATTATTTTTTACCTTGCATCCTGAGGTCAGAAGGTCACGGGGCAATAAAGATATCGGTAGATGAGTTTTTATGAATCTTTGTTTGTCTTGAGGCCAATTTCTATCCCATGGCTTTGTAAATATTTCCTGAACGTCCTGAAATTTTTTTGGGTTGTCCTTGTTAAATTCTAAGAGTTTTTTTAATTGGTCCTCATCAAAACGGGCTGCATATCTAGGAAGAATGTCAATTTAGGTTAGAACACTTTTTTACCTTAAGGCCGTATTACAGCCGGCAATTCTTCTTGCAGCAATTTTTCTTGCCATCAAGTTTTCAAGGCCGTATTGCATTTTGTTTTACAAGGCAAGACAACTTGCGGTTTATTACCGTGCTACCAACCGAAGAAAAATATACGATTTTGTAAACACCAAGTTTATTTGTTATTTAGTAGAGATATTTAAAAATTAATGAGTGAAATGGATACTAGAACTTTGAACACAATGCCAATTATAAAACAAATAACCTTAAACTGTTTAAGTCAAACAGCGTCTCTCTAGGGAATTTGTAGTAGGGTTGGTAACTTAAGGCTGTATTACAGCCGGCAATTCTTACGGCAATTGCAATGAAAATTGCCGAAAATCGGTCCGGATGGATTTTTATTGCCGTTTTACGGCAATTCTGGGGTGAAATCTGGTAACTTTTATGTTACCAACCCTATTACAAATTCCCTAGAGACGCTGTTTGACTTAAACAGTTTAAGGTTATTTGTTTTATGATTGGCATTGTGTTCAAAGTACTAGTATCCATTTCACTCATTAATTTTTAAATATCTCTACTAAATAACAAATAAACTTAGTGTTTACAAAATCGTATATTTTTCTTCTGTTGGTAGCACGGTAATAAACAGCAAGTTGTCTTGCCATTGCTGACTGTAAAACAACATGCAATACGGCCTTGAAAACTTGATAGCAAGAAAAATTGCTGCAAGAAGAATTGCCGGCTGTAATACGGCTTTTAAATATGTTTACCATGCAATTTTATCAATTTTACAAAAAATGTATTTATAAAACGATGTGGCTCCCGTCCCGAGGCGGGACTTAAGTTCAGTCCCGATTGACGTCACACACTGTAAATCCGTTTTTATTCCCCGAGATTTTATAATTTGTGTCAAGCTCGATGGCTTAGATGGTAGGGCGGTCGCTTGGCATGCGAGAGGTACCGGGTTCGATCCCGCTAGAAGTTGTCAAACTTTTTTTATTTTTTTTATTTTATAAATTTGTTGTTTCTTTGTTGAAAAGTGTTTTATTTTTATCGTAACATAAATTTGCCCATTTTAGTTGGGTTTTTTGCTCAATGGGGAGGGGGGGCCCAATGGGGCGGGGTCGGTTGGGTTGTGTTGTTGAGTTTGGGTTGGTTTGGTTTTATGACGTAACTAAAGTGCCCTTAACATGTAGACAGGTACAATTTATTATTATTATTATTTTATTATAACATATCAAATCTTAAAATTATGACGTCAATCGGGACTGAACTTAAGTCCCGCCTCGGGACGGGAGCCACAGCGTTTATAAAATATTTATATTTACAAAATTAACTACTTACTCGAAAAATGTATAGCGTTTGACTAAATACTCTCTGCCAGCTCCATCTATATCCAAATTATTGCATATTTGCCATACCATTTCCTGAGTTAGCGTGGTACCTAAATTGTTTTTGTTTTTAAAAATTTACAATTATTTTAAAATAATGTAGTAGTTTTTAATAATTGCATTATTCTGATATTACATTTTGCATGTCCAGTTTTTAACTACAGGAGAGCGTTAAAAAAAGTTTTATATTCCTCTACTAGAAGGTTACTTAAAACTAGAAAGAATTCTTAATTAAAACCAGAACCTGAATTTTGCACATCTGCTCCTGAATTATTGATGAAATTAAACCGGCTTTTTTTAATACTGTTGCGAAAAACTGGATATCGCATTTTCTCCACCCAAGGAAGCTGGGTAGGGGGGTCCCTACCGTAGGTATTTTATACTTTGTATAAAATCTTAGAAATACAACAATATAATTTATTTAAGTGGATGAACCTTTACCTGATCTGGGTAATGTTACTATCCATATATCGCTATTTCTTATAGGAAAGTTGTATATTTCGTCTTTGTAGTTTAGGTAATGAGACCTTAGGGCGAATTTTTTCCCCCCAAATTTATACAGCTTGGTATCTGAGAAACCTACAATAATAAAATATTTTTTATAAATATTAAATGCATACATACTTTATAAAGTTTTACCTGGTATAACTTTTTTTATTGTAGCATATTCTTCAGAAGAAAATTCTTCATGTTTTATTGGATTTTTAACGCTCATGGTTATTGTGGTGTATTGTAATTTAAAATGTGTTTTACACTGACCCTAAAATAAATTAAAACGAGGTTTTTATAACTTGGGTTTATTTTATTTGTTTTGTACTTATTATATTATTTGGTTTTTAGAAAATACTATGTACACTTTATTTTTTAAGATAAACATTATTGTAATACGTTTCGTATACACGTGTTTCTTAAGTCGGGTCTACAATTGTCGCAGGGGTCCGATCGCAGAACATAAGCTTGCGCAAAGCACCCAGCGACGCGTCGCTGGGTGCTTTGCGCGACGTGGCGATGGAGCAAGGTTCTTTACGACTGCTAAAATTTGGTACGTTGATGTAGATTTATATTTTATAAAAACAAACCCCCCTCCCCCAGCAAAGAATCTGTAAAAGTTACACCCCGAGTGATAATTAAAATATAACACCACGGCAAATGTTATATTAAATTACGACAAATAAATAAAATAAATACTTACGGTAATAAAGCTCATATATTTAGTAACCCAAGGTACTTTTGAGGAGTTGTATTCATGGGGAAAGTATTACAAGTTTATTTTTATATAATTATCTCTCATAAAACCTTCCAAAATGAGGGATTATGGAAGTGAGATTAACTTATAAAACACTTAAAATTTATAACGAACAATAATGATATTTATTTGGATAAAGCAACAACAATAACCGTAACCCAAACGACATTAACTTGTTGTTTGAGAGGGAACTCTGAAAGAAAGGGACATCCTACAAACCCTTAAAACCACACAATATCTCCTTACTGCGACCACAACCCACATATAATAAAAATAAATAAATATAATAATCGGACATAAACAATTTCGTAGACAATTCAAACCTTTTTACTTTTAATTTTATACTTTATAAGGATAATATTTATGAGGATAGTAGTTTATTCTAAAAATATTTTGCAGCAATAATATCCAGATAAAAAAATGTCATATGTATAAACTGTAACTGTATATTTTTTGTTAAAAAAGATGGAGCATAGAAAAAATGGCTAGGGATTTACATAGAAAACAAAAAAGTTTTAAAAATTCGTTTAATTAAAATTCCTATCACATAAATGAGGCATTTTTCATCACATAAAAAAATAAAAGTAACATTTACGTATAATTAGGAAATCTAAATTCGTATTTTTTGTACATCTCTTCAATGTAATCATCAGCCCTTTTGGTGAGTTTTTCGTCGAAGAACTCTTCCTTGGCGGAATCGACTTTTCCTTTTCGAACAAATTCTATTTCTAGGGCATGTTTGGGCATGAAGTCCTTGTAGTCCTTGTTGACTGCATCGTTCTTTTTGAAGTTGTCGACTTTTAGATGGTGGACAAGTTTGTCTACTTGCGAGTCGGTCAACGGTTTTTCTAGGAATTGTGCAGTTTTCAATATGGCCTCTTTCGGAAACTGCTCAGAACAGTATTGTCAAGTTTGTTTTAAATAAAAATGTATTGAAACATACCTTAACAATATCTTCATAGTACATGAACAGCACGTTTTTGGTGTTTCTTAGTTCCCAGGCTTCCTGTATGTGGTCCCAATAGGGGAAAGGTAGGTCTAAAAACAGTGTAATTATTGGAAAATAATAGCACGTGAAGCATCAAAATTTGAACTTTTTGTCAAAGTGACGGTTAACATGTGTTTCGTAATAAAATAAAATAAAAAGTGTTTATACGGGAAAAGTATCAAAGACTGTTGCAGCTTAGTGCTACTTTTGGATGGTTTAGTGTGAAAAAGTTTGAATGAAAATAAATCCGCTAAAATTTGCCATTTGACAAAAGTTGTGATTGCAAGGATGGTTTAGTGAAAAATATATTTCTTACATAAATTTTTCTCCATTAATTCCCAGAGCCCCTCAAAATTAGTTATGCCATCTTTAAAGAGTTTTCTGCTAAAATAATATCTGGACACCATCATATCTTTCGGGCTTCTGGCAACGTATATTATCTAAAATAATAATAGTTACAACTTAACTCGTTAATAAAACATTATTTTTTACCTTACATCCTGAGGTCAGAAGGTCACGGGGCAATAAAGATATCGGTAGATGAGTTTTTATGAATCTTTGTTTGTCTTGAGGCCAATTTCTATCCCATGCCCTTGTAAATATTTCCTAAACGTCCTGAAATTTTTTCGGGTTGTCCTTGTTAAATTCTACGAGTTTTTTTAATTCCTTCTCATCAAAATGGGCTGCATATCTAAGAAATATAATTTACTATGTAATAAAAAAATAGTTATTTATGTCATTAGGTTAAGAAGTAAGGCTTTTTGTGCTAAGCTCAATTGAGCGAAGCACAAAAAGGCACTTCTTGGCCGAATGGCATACAACATTTTATCTTCAAAGCACTTTATATAGGTCAATTTACTTCAACATCAAAGCGGCCTAACCTCACTTTTTAGAATCTCATTTATTTATTGGCTAAAAATTACATTAAATGTACAATAATTATTATTGCTTTTAGAAGCAGTAATAGTTTGACAATACCTAGCAACATGATTTAACTAGAAATGGATTTTTGCTATTACATTGAATTCAATTAATTGTTTAATAAATAGGTAGGTATCTAATTTCAATTTGTTTGGATTTTTATTTAAAAAAATAGGTAGTTTGGAATGTTTAATTTCACTGAAAACTTAAAGCATATTAAAACTTAAAGATAATTTAAATCGTAGAAAAATAATCGTGCGTTTTCCTGGTTGCCTAACCTCACTTTTTGTTTATTATAGACCGCGTGGAGATAAATGTATTTATACAAGATTTATTATTTACAAAACACAAAACTACTTACTCGAAAAATGTATAACGTTTGACTAAATACTCTCTGCCAGCTCCATCTATATCCAAATTATTGCATATTTGCCATACCATTTCCTGAGTTAACGTGGTACCTAAATTGTTTTTGTTTTTAAAAATTTACAATTATTTTAAGGTCATCCAATAAGGATGTCTTATTTTGAGCTGCACATGGTGCCAAGTGGTTTGCAATAATAGCATTATTCTGATATTATATTTTGCATGTCTAGTTTTTAAGAGGAGAGCGTTTAAAAAAAGTTCTATATTCCTCTACTAGAAGGTTACTTAAAACTATGAAAAAGACTTAATTAAAATCAGAACCTGAATTTTGCATTTCTGCTCCTCAATTATTTATGAAATTAAACCGGCTTTTTTTAATACTTTTGTGGAAAACTGGATATCGAATTTTCTCCACCCAAGGAAGCTGGGTAGGGATTTTATACATTGTATAAAATCTTAGAAATACAACAATATTATTTATTTAAGTGGATGAACCTTTACCTGATCTGGGTAATGTTACTATCCATATATCGCTATTTCTTACAGGAAAGTTGTATATTTCGTCTTTGTTGTTTAGGTAATACGACCTTAGGGCGAATTTTTTCTCCCCAAATTTATACATCTTGGCATCTAAGAAACCTACAATAATAAAATATTTTTTATAAATATTAAATGCATACATACTTTATAAAGTTTTACCTGGTATAACTTTTCTTACTAGAGCATATTCTTCAGAAGAAATTTCTTCATGTGTTATTGGATTTTTAACGCTCATGGTTATTGTGGTGTAATGTAATTTAAAATGTGTTTTACACTGACCCTAAAATAAATTAAAACGAGGTTTTTATAACTTTTTAAATTTTATTTTATTTGTTTTGTACTCATTATTTTATTTGGTTTTTAGAAAATACTATGTACACTTTATTTTTTAAGATAAACATAATTGTAATACGTTTCGTAGATATACACGTGTTTCTTAAGCCGGGTCTACAATTGTCGCAGGGGTCCGATCGCAGAACATAAGCTTGCGCAAAGCACCCAGCGACGTGGCGATGGAGCAAGGTTCTTTTGTCAGCTGGGTGCTTTGCGCAAGCTTATGTTCTGCGATCTGCGACCTGCGAAAATTGTAGACCCGGCTTTAAGTAGGTCAGTAACTTCAATTATTCCTTACGTTAATTTCAAAAAAAAATTCATATAATATAATATGAATGTCCTAAATTGCTTCCTTAGTTTAACATACAGGGTGTCAATTTTGTATTTTATTTTATACATATATGTATAAAGTTGCTACTAAAGATTGCTAAAATTTGGTACGTTGATGTAGATTTATATTTTTTCTACTCCTATTAAATAATATTGACATTATTTGTGTTTTCTTCCGTATATAATATTTAAAAATAACTGACATCCGTTTCAGCGTTATCCGGTGCGTTTGCTTTAAAAAACCAAAATGTTTAGAAGAGATGGGGCTACAGTAAAATTTTAATTGACATCCGCTGTTGTTGCTGATCATCCCATAAGGTGACACAAATTTCGGGGAGCGGGCACTATTTTAATAAACCCTCTTGACTCATGACTAAAATGCCGTTTTTCATTCGCTTAGTGTTACTTTTTACCATTTAAATAGTAGATAACAAAACTTATTTAACTTAAAAATATTATTAGCAATTTGTAAGCGTACAAACCCCCCCCCCCCTCCCCCAGCAAAGAATCTGTAAAAGTTACACGGCAAATGTTATATTAAATTTCGACAAATAAATAAAATAAATACGGTAATAAAGCTAGCTCATTTATTTAGTAACCCAAGGTACTTTTGAGGTGTTGCATTCATGGGGAAAGTATTAAAAGTTTATTTTTATATAATTATCTCTTCCAAAATGTAAAATTGTCCGCTGAATCCGAAAATGTCGTCAAAAGTTATAAAAGTAGAACGTTTTTGAGATTTTCTATATAGGTAATATGGTATTGACTATATCTTAAAAACTGCATTACTTTTATAATTTTTGACGGTATTTTCGGATTCAGGGGACAATTTTACATAATAATAACCTGTTAAATGCCCGGGATACAAATTGCTGTGGACTAAAGTTATTAGTTATTAGTTATTAGTAACTGCTTTTTTACTTTGAAAACTACTTAGTCATTTTTAGAGAATACGTCAGTAAAAACCAGTTGTAGTTATTATATTGTTTAGATTGTTTTTTTTTGTTTTCTTTAGAGTATTTTTATCACTGACTATTTCCCTCGTCTTAATTTCCACCAATCACAAACGCGCAATTTTGAACTACAAATGGTTTCTAGGTGGAAAAACTGTATGACAGCACCTGTTTACCCGCGGCAAAACTTGACAGCTGTTGTCACCAAAAATTGCAATTTATATTTTAATTGTTAACTGTTACTCATGAAATATTCTTGTCAAATACCATTCGGGCATCTAATTTTTCCTGTAAAAAAATCGTTAAAACACAATGCTAAGTAATATTTTTTAACAAAATGCATTCGTGCAGGTGCAAAAATCCTAAAAAAAATAAATGCCCTTATGATATTACTTGTTTGTTTGGTAATTTAATATATATTTTTTATACTTAATTTAAGCGGTTTTTTTACATTTTCAATTACATATTGCCAGTTTGTGGCAAAATATATATTTTTTAAATTTTACTGCTTAAAATTCAAATATTTAATGTATTATATTTAAATATAAAAGGGGCGCACCAACGAATGCTGCACGCAGGCGCCAGACACCCTAGGAACGGGCCTGAGAATAGTAGTTTATTTTAAAAATATTTTGCAGCAATATTATCCATATAAAAGAGTGTCATATGTATAAACTGTAACTGTATATTTTTTGTTAAACAAGATAAAGCCTAGAAAAAATGGCTAGGGATATAGAAAACAAAAAAGTTTTAATAATTCGTTTAATTAAAATTCCTATCACATAAATGAGGCATTTTTCATCAACTAAAAAAAATGAAAGTAACATTTACGTATAATTAGGAAATCTAAATTCGTATTTTTTGTACATCTTTTCAATGTAATCATCAGCCCTTTTGGTGAGTTTTTCGTCGAAAAACTCTTCCTTGGCGGAATCGACTTTTCCTTTTCGAACAAATTCTATTTCTATGTCATGTTTGGGCATGAAGTCCTTGTAGTCCTTGTTGACAGCATCGTTCTTTTTGAAGTTGTCGACTTTTAGATGGTCGACAAGTTTGTCTACTTGCGAGTCGGTCAAAGGTTTTTCTAGGAACTGTGCTGTTTTCAATATGGCCTCTTTTTGAAACTGCTCAGAACAATATTGTCAAGTTTGTTTTTAATAAAAATGTATTTGAAACATACCTTAACAATATCTTCATAATACATGAACAGCACGTTTTTGTTGTTTCTTAGTTCCCAGGCTTCCTGTATGTGGTCCCAATAGGGGAAAGGTATGCCTGAAAACAGTAAAATTATTGGCTAATATTATTCGCCTCGCGTAAAGGGGCGGAGCTTGCTGCCTAGAGACTAGCAGCGCGTGAAGCATCGAAATTTTGAACTTTTTGTCAGTGACGATTAACATGTGTTACGTGATAAAATAAAAAGAGTTTATACGGGAATATTATCAAATACTGTTCCAGCTTTATACAACTTTTTTATATTTTAGTGTAAAAAAGTTAGAATTTGCCCTTTGACATGTTTGTATATCATTTTTGCTGCAGATGTACAGAAAAGTTGTGATTACATGGATAGGTTTAGTGAGAATAGTATATTCTGTAACAAGTTTGGAATACAGCATATTCCGCTCGAGTGAAGAGTTTGTCACACGAGCCGAAGGCGAGTTTGACGGTTTCACGAGAGCGAAATATGCAATTCCAAACGTGTTTCAGACTATACTTTTTCTACGTTTCCAAAAAATACCATAGAAAAATAATTTAATTGGAAGAAAGTGAGGTTGGATCTGTCTAAAATTTGTTAGATATTAAAAACAGAGATGTCGCCACGAGTGTTCATTCTGTCATCCGATGATAGAATATTTAATTCTGTAACACTTTACGGAATATATGTCATTCCATAGATAAAAGTGATATTAGAACTGTCAAATTCCGTAATAGGAGTAGAAAAATATATTTCTTACATAAATTTTTCTCCATTAATTCCCAGAGCTCCTCAAAATTGGTTTTGCCATCTTTAAATTGTTTTCTGTTTAAATAATATCTGGACACCATCATATCTTTAAGGCTTCTGGCAACGTATATTATCTAAAATAATAATAGTTACAACTTAACTCGTTAATAAAACATTATTTTTTACCTTGCATCCTGAGGTCAGAAGGTCACGGGGCAATAAAGATATCGGTAGATGAGTTTTTATGAATCTTTGTTTGTCTTGAGGCCAATTTCTATCCCATGGCTTTGTAAATATTTCCTGAGCGTCCTGAAATTTTTTTGGGTCGTCCTTGTTAAATTCTAAGAGTTTTTTTAATTCGTCCTCATCAAAACGGGCTGCATATCTAAGAAGAATGTCAATTTAGGTTAGAACACTTTTTTACCTTAAGGCCGTATTACAGCAATTTTTCTTGCCATCAAGTTTTCAAGGCCGTATTGCATTTTGTTTTACAGTCAGCAATGGCAAGACAACTTGCGGTTTATTACCGTGCTACCAACCGAAGAAAAATATACGATTTTGTAAACACCAAGTTTATTTGTTATTTAGTAGAGATATTTAAGAATTAATGAGTGAAATGGATACTAGAACTTTGAACACAATGCCAATTATAAAACAAATAACCTTAAACTGTTTAAGTCAAACAGCGTCTCTCTAGGGAATTTGTAGTAGGGTTGGTAACATAAAAGTTACCAGATTTCACCCCAGAATTGCCGTAAAACGGCAATAAAAATCCATCCGGACCGATTTTCGGCAATTGCAAGAGATTCGTCGAAACGTATCTACCGCGCATGCCTACGGCAATTTTCATTGCAATTGCCGAAAGAATTGCCGGCTGTAATACGGCCTTTACTTAAATATGTTTACCATGCAATTTTATCAATTTTACAAAAAATGTATTTATACAAGATTTATATTTACAAAATTAACTACTTACTCGAAAAATGTATAGCGTTTGACTAAATACTCTCTGCCAGCTCCATCTATATCCAAATTATTGCATATTTGCCATACCATTTCCTGAGTTAGCGTGGTACCTAAATTGTTTTTGTTTTTAAAAATTTACAATTATTTTAAAATAATGTAGAAGGTCATCCAATAAGGATGTCCTATTTTGAGCTGCACATGGTGCCAAGTAGTTTTTAATAATTGCATTATTCTGATATTACATTTTGCATGTCCAGTTTTTAACTACCGGAGAGCGTTAAAAAAAGTTTTATATTCCTCTACTAGAAGGTTACTTCAAACTAGAAAGAATTCTTAATTAAAACCAGAACCTGAATTTTGCACATCTGCTCCTGAATTATTGATGAAATTAAACCGGCTTTTTTTAATACTGTTGCGAAAAACTGGATATCGCATTTTCTCCACCCAAGGAAGCTACTTTGTATAAAATCTTAGAAATACAACAATATAATTTATTTAAGTGGATGAGCCTTTACCTGATCTGGGTAATGTTACTATCCATATATCGCTATTTCTTATAGGAAAGTTGTATATTTCGTCTTTGTAGTTTAGGTAATGAGACCTTAGGGCGAATTTTTTCCCCCCAAATTTATACAGCTTGGTATCTAAGAAACCTACAATAATAATAGTATATTAAAGTACAAGTGGCAGAAGGCCACATATTCTCGCACGAATTCGAAATTTGGCCTCGAGCGACGAAGGAGCGAGTGGACGAACGAATGAGTGCGAGAATAGCCTTCTGCAACGTGTGATTTATACTATTTTCTCGATTTTAACTTTTATTTAGGTTTTTTTAATTGTTTTGTGGTCGTTGTTAGTTGGGGGATTTTTCTCGCAAAATGTCAGTTGGCAACACAAAATGACAATATTTGTTATCTTGGACACTTTTTCTCATTAAACTTAAAATTTTGCATTAAAATGCATTGTTGGAGCAAACTTAATATTACAAAACAATAATAAAGGCTTCATTTCAATAAAAGTGTAGTTCAGGTTGCACTAGTGCAGGATAACAAGCAAAGCTATTATAAATAATCCTAAAAGTAATGAATTTGAGGTTATTAAACAGTTTGACATTTTGGGGGTACCAATACTTAAAAACAAAATGTTACCAAAAATCGTTTAAGAATGAGCTTCATTCTTCAACGATTTTGCGTGCTAGAATATGACATTCTTACATAAAAATCGAGAAAAATATTTTTTATAAATATTAAATGCATACATACTTTATAAAGTTTTACCTGGTATAACTTTTTTTATTGTAGCATATTCTTCAGAAGAAAATTCTTCATGTTTTATTGGATTTTTAACGCTCATGGTTATTGTGGTGTATTGTAATTTAAAATGTGTTTTACACTGACCCTAAAATAAATTAAAACGAGGTTTTTATAACTTGGGTTTATTTTATTTGTTTTGTACTTATTATATTATTTGGGTTTTAGAAAATACTATGTACACTTTATTTTTTAAGATAAACATTATTGTAATACGTTTCGTATACACGTGTTTCTTAAGTCGGGTCTACAATTGTCGCAGGGGTCCGATCGCAGAACATAAGCTTGCGCAAAGCACCCAGCGACGTGGCGATGGAGCAAGGTTCTTTTACGACTGCTAAAATTTGGTACGTTGATGTAGATTTATATTTTATAAAAACAAACCCCCCTCCCCCAGCAAAGAATCTGTAAAAGTTACACCCCGAGTGATAATTAAAATATAGCACCACGGCAAATGTTATATTAAATTACGACAAATAAATAAAATAAATACTTACGGTAATAAAGCTCATTTATTTAGTAACCCAAGGTACTTTTGAGGTGTTGTATTCATGGGGAAAGTATTACAAGTTTATTTTTATATAATTATCTCTCATAAACCCTTCCAAAATGAGAGATTATGGAAGTGAGATTATCTTATGAAACACTTAAAATTTATAACAAACAATAATGATATTTATCTCCACGCGGTATATAATTTAAACTTTATTGTTGTCAACATTCGATAAAGAAATAACTTGTTATGGCCTAGGCCGATAAAAATTTTTATGAGGCAAGTAATTAGTTCGATTTTTTCTCGCTAGGGGTATTGTTTTGACAAATTAATCCTTTTCTAAGAAATTAACGTACTAAACTGGTTTGATTTATTTATAATAAGCACTAATTTGTTGGTTTTACTGTTAATGTTTATTATTTTTCATTAAATAATTGTAAAATTAAATATAAATAATAATACAAAAAGTGAGGTTAGGACATTGCAATTTGACGTTTCTGTGGATTTCAGTTGTGTTTTCTTTTTCTACGATTTAAATTATCTTTAAGTTTTAATTTGCTTTAAGTTTTCAGTGAAATTAAATGTTAAACACAGCGTAAGCATTCCAAACTACCTATTTTTTTTAATAAAAATGCAAACAAATTGAAATTAGATACCTATTTATTAAACAATTAATTGAATTCAATGTAATAGCAAGAGGGTAAGTAAACCATTTTCTTACAAAAATCCATTTCTACTTAAATCATGTAGCTAGGTATTGTCAAACTATTACTGCTTCTAAAAGGAATAATAATTATTGTACATTTAATGTAATCTTTAGCTAATAAATAAATGAGAATCTAACAAAGTGAGGTTAGGCCGCTTTCATGTTGAATTAAATTGACCTATATAAAGTGCTTTGAAGATAAAATGTTGTATGCCATTCGGCCAAGAAGTGTCTTTTTGTGCTTCGCTCAATTGTAGGCCTCCGCTACGCGTCGGCCTTCAAACTTTGAGCTTAGCACAAAAAGCCTTACTTCTTAACCTAATGACATAAATAACTATTATTTGGATAAAGCAACAACAATAACCGTAACCCAAACGACATTAACTTATTGTTTGAGAGGGAACTCTGATAGAAAGGGACATCCTACAAACCCTTAAAACTACACAATATCTCCTTACTGCGACCACAACCCACATATAATAAAAATAAATAAATATAATAATCGGACATAAACAATTTCGTAGACAATTCAAACCTTTTTACTTTTAATTTTATTAAGGATACTATTTATGAGGATAGTAGTTTATTCTAAAAATATTTTGCAGCAATAATATCCAGATAAAAAAATGTCATATGTATAAACTGTAACTGTATATTTTTTGTTAAAAAAGATGGAGCATAGAAAAAATGGCTAGGGATATACATAGAAAACAAAAAAGTTTTAGAAATTCGTTTAATTAAAATTCCTATCACATAAATGAGGCATTTTTCATCACATAAAAAAATAAAAGTAACATTTACGTATAATTAGGAAATCTAAATTCGTATTTTTTGTACATCTCTTCAATGTAATCATCAGCCCTTTTGGTGAGTTTTTCGTCGAAAAACTCTTCCTTGGCCGAATCGACTTTTCCTTTTCGAACAAATTCTATTTCTAGGGCATGTTTGGGCATGAAGTCCTTGTAGTCCTTGTTGACTGCATCGTTCTTTTTGAAGTTGTCGACTTTTAGATGGTGGACAAGTTTGTCTACTTGCGAGTCGGTCAACGGTTTTTCTAGGAATTGTGCAGTTTTCAATATGGCCTCTTTCGGAAACTGCTCAGAACAGTATTGTCAAGTTTGTTTTAAATAAAAATGTATTGAAACATACCTTAACAATATCTTCATAGTACATGAACAGCACGTTTTTGGTGTTTCTTAGTTCCCAGGCTTCCTGTATGTGGTCCCAATAGGGGAAAGGTAGGTCTAAAAACAGTGTAATTATTGGAAAATAATAGCACGTGAAGCATCAAAATTTGAACTTTTTGTCAAAGTGACGGTTAACATGTGTTTCGTAATAAAATAAAATAAAAAGTGTTTATACGGGAAAAGTATCAAAGACTGTTGCAGCTTAGTGCTACTTTTGGATGGTTTAGTGTGAAAAAGTTTGAATGAAAATAAATCCGCTAAAATTTGCCATTTGACAAAAGTTGTGATTGCAAGGATGCATCCTTGCAACCATGGTTTAGTGAAAAATATATTTCTTACATAAATTTTTCTCCATTAATTCCCAGAGCCCCTCAAAATTAGTTATGCCATCTTTAAAGAGTTTTCTGCTAAAATAATATCTGGACACCATCATATCTTTCGGGCTTCTGGCAACGTATATTATCTAAAATAATAATACTTACAACTTAACTCGTTAATAAAATATTATTTTTTACCTTACATCCTGAGGTCAGAAGGTCACGGGGCAATAAAGATATCGGTAGATGAGTTTTTATGAATCTTTGTTTGTCTTGAGGCCAATTTCTATCCCATGCCCTTGTAAATATTTCCTGAACGTCCTGAAATTTTTTCGGGTTGTCCTTGTTAAATTCTACGAGTTTTTTTAATTCCTCCTCATCAAAATGGGCTGCATATCTAAGAAATATAATTTACTATGTAATACAAAAATAGTTATTTATGTCATTAGGTTAAGAAGTAAGGCTTTTTGTGCTAAGCTCAATTGAGAGAAGCACAAAAAGGCACTTCTTGGCCGAATGGCATACAACATTTTATCTTCAAAGCACTTTATATAGGTCAATTTAATTCAACATCAAAGCGGCCTAACCTTACTTTTTAGAATCTCATTTATTTATTAGCTAAAAATTACATTAAATGTACAATAATTATTATTGCTTTTAGAAGCAGTAATAGTTTGACAATACCTAGCAACATGATTTAACTAGAAATGGATTTTTGCTATTACATTGAATTCAATTAATTGTTTAATAAATTGGTAGGTATCTAATTTCAATTTGTTTGGATTTTTATTTAAAAAAATAGGTAGTTTGGAATGTTTAATTTCACTGAAAACTTAAAGCATATTAAAACTTAAAGATAATTTAAATCGTAGAAAAATAATCGTGCGTTTTCCTGGTTGCCTAACCTCACTTTTTGTTTATTATAGACCGCGTGGAGATACATGTATTTATACAAGATTTATTATTTACTAAACACAAAACTACTTACTCGAAAAATGTATAACGTTTGACTAATAACTCTCTGCCACCTCCATCTATATCCAAATTATTGCATATTTGCCATACCATTTCCTGAGTTAACGTGGTACCTAAATTGTTTTTGTTTTTAAAAATTTACAATTATTTTAAGGTCATCCAATAAGGATGTCTTATTTTGAGCTGCACATGGTGCCAAGTAGTTTGCAATAATAGCATTATTCTGATATTATATTTTGCATGTCTAGTTTTTAACAACAGGAGAGCGTTTAATAAAAGTTCCATATTCCTCTACTAGAAGGTTACTTAAAACTAGAAAAAATTCTTAATTAAAACCAGAACCTGAATTTTGCATATCTGCTCCTCAATTATTGATGAAATTAAACTGGCGTATTTAAACGTATTAAAACTGTTGTGGAAAACTGGATATCGAATTTTCCCCACCCAAGGAAGCTGGGTAGGGATTTTATACTTTGTATAAAATCTTAGAAATACTACAATATAATTTATTTACGTGGATGAACCTTTACCTGATCTGGGTAATGTTACTATCCATATATTGCTATTTTTTATAGGAAAGTTGTATATTTCGTCTTTGTAGGTTAGGTAATACGACCTTTGGGTAAATTTTTTCGCCCCAAATTTATACAGCTTGGAATCCAAACCTACAATAATAAAATATTTTTTATAAATATAAAATGCTTACGTTATACAGTTTAACCTGGCATAACTTTTTTTATTGTAGCATATTCTTCTGGAGAAAATTCTTCATGTTTTATTGGATTTTTAACGCTCATGGTTATTTTGGTGAAATGTTATTTAAAATGTGTTTTACACTGACCCTAAATAAATTAAAACGAGGTTCTTATCAGTTTGGTTTATTTTAATTGTTATCATCATTATATTATTTCGTTTTTAGAAAATACTATGTACACTTTATATATCAAGATAAACATTATTGTAATACTTTTCGTAGATAAACACGTGTTTCTTAAGTAGTCAGTAACTTCAGTTATTCCTTTCAGAAAAAAGTCAAACAATAATGATATCCATTTGGATAAAGCAACAACAATAACCGTAACCCAAACGACATTAACTTATTGTTTGAAAGAGAACTCTGAAAGACAGGGACATTCTACAAACCCTTAAAACCACACAATATCTCCTTACTGCGACCACAACCCACATATAATAAAAATAGAATAGTAGTTTATTTTAATTAAAAAATATTTTGCAATATTATCCAGATAAAAGAGTGTCATATGTATAAACGGTAACTGTATATTTTTTGTAAAACAAGATGAAGCCTAGAAAAAATGGCTAGGAATATATATAGAAAACAAAAAAGTTTTAAAAATTCTTTTAATTAAAATTCCTATCACATAAATGAGGCATTTTTCATCAACTAAAAAAAAAAAAAGTAACATTTACGTATAATTAGGAAATCTAAATTCGTATTTTTTGTACATCTCTTCAATGTAATCATCAGCCCTTTTGGTGAGTTTTTCGTCAAAAAACTCTTCCTTGGCCGAATCGACTTTTCCTTTTCGAACAAATTCTATTTCTATGGCTTGTTTGGGCATGAAGTCCTTGTAGTCCTTGTTGACTGCATCGTTCTTTTTGAAGTTGTCGACTTTTAGATGGTCGACAAGTTTGTCTACTTGCGAGTCGGTCAAAGGTTTTTCTAGGAACTGTGCAGTTTTCAATATTGCCTCTTTCGGAAACTGCTCAGAACAATATTGTTAAGTTTGTTTTAAATAAAAATGTATTCAAACTTACCTTAACAATATCTTCATAATACATGAAGAGTATGTTTTTATTGTTTCTTAGTTCCCAGCCTTCCTGTATGTGGTCCCAATAGGGGAAAGGTGGGTCTAAAAACAGTGTAATTATTGGTTAATAATATTCGCCTCGCGTAAAGCTTGCTGCCTTGCGAGTGAAACATCGAAATTTTTGAACTTTTTGTCAAAGTGACGGTTAACATGTGTTTCGTAATAAAATAAAATAAAAAGTGTTTATACGGGAAAAGTATCAAAGACTGTTGCAGCTTAGTGCAAATTTTGTATGGTTTAGTATAAAAGTTTGAATGAAAATAATAAATTAAAATAAATCCGCTAAAATTTGCCATTTGACATGCTGTTTCTTCAGAAAAGTTGTGATTGCAAGGATAGGTTTAGTGAGAAATATATTTATACATAAATTTTTCTCCATTAATTCCCAGAGCTCCTCAAAATTAGTTTTGCCATCTTTAACCCTTATGTGCATAGAGAATAAATATACTGATACCGCACACATAGGTACAATTGTACCTTATACTAGAAAACATGTTTTTATTTTGCGAAAGCAAGTTTTTGGAATTGTTTAATGTTTTGTGTTTTGGTTAGTATATCTCTCTAAAGAATTGAAAGCTTTGAAAAATTGTTTTGTTCTGCGTAGGCCGTTTTGTGGAATTGTTTATTTTGGTTTAAATTCAACGCATTGAAATATTTTAGTATTGATTCGGTTTTATAAAGTGTTTGAAGACCAAAGGGCCAAAGGGAATTATGTCGTCATCACATAGCCGAAGAACTTTTTTATCAAGATTTAGGATGCAGCCTTGCTATGGGTAATATTGAAAAACGCTCGCAAATACCAAATGTTGTAAACATATTTTCTAGCAAAAATTTGCTACAGAAAATAAACCTCAAGAATCTAAAGGCCCTAAACCAGTAGTGGGATCATGCTATATTTGCTGAAACAAAAATAAAAAGCAAAGAAAAACCAGAAAATGTTGCAGCGTTTGCAAAATCGCAATATGTGATGAACATGCTCAAACCATCACAAAATGTTTCACTTCTGAACTGTATATAAATATATAATATATATTTATATACATATAGATATATATTTGTGAATTTATTGTTGTTTGTATTTCCCTCCCCTATTAATTTTCAACTTAAACACATATAGGTACGAATGTACCTATCCGTGCTGAAATGGGATAATAAGTTTGGGATTAAAATAAAAAATTTCTACGTAAGGTAAATGTTATAATTTTTACATAAAAGGCATTATCTTTCCTTATTTTAAGATGTCATAAAATATGTACCATTTTTAAATTAAATTCAATAAGTTACTGCATAACAAAAATTAAAAAGGTACACCTGTACCTTTCCGTGCACATAAGGGTTAAAGAATTTTCTGTTGAAATAATATCTGGACACCATCATATCTTTAGGGCTTCTGGCAACGTATATTATCTAAAATAATAACAGTTACTTACTTACTAAACTCGTTAATAAAACATTATTTTTTACCTTACATCCTGAGGTCAGAAGGTCACGGGGCAATAAAGATATCGGTAGATGAGTTTTTATGAATCTTTGTTTGTCTTGAGGCCAATTTATATCCCATGCATTTGTAAATATTTCCTCAACGTCCTGAAATCTTTTCGGGTTGTCCTTGTTAAATTCTACGAGTTTTTTAAATTCCTCCTCATTAAAATAGGCTGCATATCTAAGAAGAATGTCAATTTAGGTTAGAATACTTTTTTACCTTACTTAAATATGTTTACTATGCAATTTTATCAATTTTACAAAAAATGTATTTATACAAGATTTATTATTTACAAAATTAACAACTTACTCGAAAAATGTATAGCGTTTGACTAATAACTCTCTGCCAGCTCCATCTATATCCAAATTATTGCATATTTGCCATACCATTTCCTGAGTTAACGTGGTACCTAAATTGTTTTTGTTTTTAAAAATTTACAATTATTTTAAAATAATGTAGAAGGTCATCCAATAAGGATGTCTTATTTTGAGCTGCACATGGTGCCAAGTATACTTGCAAACTATAGTTTGCAATAATTGCATTATTCTGATATTATATTTTGCATGTCTAGTTTTTAACAACAGGAGAGCGTTTAAAAAAAATTCCATATTCCTCTACTAGAAGGTTACTTAAAATTAGAAAAAAATTCTTAATTAAAACCAGAACCTCAATTTTGCATATCTGCTCCTCAATTATTGATGAAATTAAACCGGATTTTTTTAATACTGTTGTGGAAAACTGGATATCGAATTTTCTCCACCCAAGGAAGCTAGGTAGGGTCCCTACCGTAGGGATTTTATACTTTGTATACAAACTTAGAAATACAACAATATTATTTATTTAAGTAGATGAATCTTTACCTGATCTGGGTAATGTTACTATCCATATATCGCTATTTCTTATAGGAAAGTTGTATATTTCGTCTTTGTAGGTTAGGTAATACGGCCTTTGGGTAAATTTTTTCGCCCCAAATTTATACAGCTTGGAATCTAAACCTACAATAATAAAATATTTTTTATAAATATAAAATGCTTACATTATACAGTTTAACCTGGCATAACTTTTTTTATTGTAGCATATTCTTCAGAAGAAAATTCTTCATGTTTTATTGGATTTTTAACGCTCATGGTTATTGTGTAATGTTATTTAAAATGTGTTTTACACTGACCCTAAAATAAATTAAAACGAGGTTCTTATCAGTTTGGTTTATTTTAATTGTTATGATTCCATGTACACTTTATTTATCAAGATAAACATTGTTGTAATACTTAATTACGAAAATGTTCGTAGATATACACGTGTTTCTTAAGTTATTTATTTTTGACTTATTCAAACTTGATCGTAATATACCTACTATTAAACTTCAGCCCTTGTATTAAATTTGATCGTAACTATATATTCTTTGTAACTAGATGAGATTTTAAAAATAGAAAAGATGCAAAAATTCTTTTAATACATGTCATACACAACATAATTAAAGCATTTTTAACAAAATAAAATTAAAGTAACATTTACGTATTATTAGGAAATCTAAATTCGTATTTTTTGTACATCTCCCTAATGTAATCATCAGCCCTTTTATTCAGTTTTTCGTCGAAAAACTCTTCTTTGGCGGAACCCACTTTTCCTTTTCGAACAAATTCCACTTCTATAGCAGATTTGGGCATGAAATCCTGGTAGTCCTTGTTCACAGCATCGTTCTTTTTGAAGTTGTCGACTTTTAGATGGTCGACAAGTTTGTCGACTTGCGAGGCGGTCAACGGTTTTTCTAGAAATTGTGCTGTTTTCAATATAGCCTCTTTCGGAAACTGCTCAGAACAATATTGTCAAGTTTGTTTTTAATAAAAATGTATTGAAACTTACCCTAACAATATCTTCATAGTACATGAACAGCACGTTTTTGTTGTTTCTTAGTTCCCAGCCTTCCTGTATGTGGTCCCAATAGGGGAAAGGTATGTCTGAAAACAATGTAATTATTGGCTAATATTATTTGTCAAAGTGACGTTTAACATGTTTATACGCTAAATAAGTATAGGGTTTTCGCAACGCGCGCGCCATCTGGTGGACTTAAGGAATTGTCAACAATACATTTAAAGCACAGATTATACCTCATTTTTAAATAAATAGGTAGTTTTTTACAAAAGAGAGGAAGGCAGAAGTCTTACTCGAAAAATTTTGTTCAATTGCACAGCTAAATCGCGCACGTTTTTTGTGTTTTACGTTGCAAGGAAAAAATTAAAAAACTTTTTTAGTACTCGATTTCGATTGGTTATTCCTTATATCATTGATTAAGAAACTCAACGCTTAAATGCTTATATAGTTACGTTAGTGTGTGTATTTTATCAAAGGGATCATGGTGAATTATTGTGTTTTTAATTGTAAATAAAATTCAAGAACTAAATCGTTGCATTTTCATGTTTTGCCAAAGGATCCAATTCGGTAACTACATTTGTTGGTGCAGAATAAACTGATGATAACTTTACCTAATATAATTTATATTTAAGTTTGGACATTTTTAAGAAATTAGTAAAAAATATTTTTTGCACAAACATAACCTTAAAATCAACCATTTTTATATTTGAGTTCTCTAAAAAACGCCGACAACTGCATTTTAAACAACAAAATATACCTACGAATTAATGGCAACATAATATTATATATAATACATAATATAATGGTATTTTACCGTTGAGTGGAGACTTTCTTAATCAACGCTTTTAATAATGCGATTTTTACTGAATTGAAATAATTACACTTTTCACGTTAATCATTACTAAAATGTGTATTTATTGTATCTAATAGGTACAATTTATATTTTCAGGGACTGTATGCAATTTATTTCTTCATTCAGATTAACACTGTTTATTGGAAAACCGGTAAAAACTCAACCCAGGATTTCCTCTCGAAATACACCCAACAACACAACAAATCGATTCACAGTTTTTTTTTCGATATTTTTTAACATTTTATTCTCAAAAACACTCGTTTGTAACATTTGACAGCTGATTATTAAAAGTTATACTTTTGTTACCATGATAACAGCGATACTTCTTTAGCCTATAGGGAAAAAGTATAAAATACTTTTGCAGCTCACTAAGCTATGCACTACATTTTTTTATAGTTTAGTGTGAAAGAGTTTGAATGAAAATAATAAATTAAAATTAATCTGCGAGAATTTGCCATTTGACATGTTCTTATATCATTTTTGCTGTCGATGTACAAAAAAGTATGTTTAGTGAAATTTATTTCTTACACAAATTTTGCTCCAACAATTCCCAGAGCGACTCAAAATTAGTTTGGCCATCTTTAAAAAGCCATCTGCTATGGTAATATCTCGACACCATCATATCTTTAGGGCTTCTGGCAACGTATATTATCTAAAATAATAATACTTACAATTTGTTAATAAAACCTTATTTTTTACCTTGCATCCTGAGGTCAGAAGGTCACGGGGCAATAAAGATATCGGTAGATGAGTTTTTATGAATCTTTGTTTGTCTTGAGGCCAATTTCTATCCCATGTCTTTGTAAATATTTCCTGGGCGTCATTAAATCTTTTCGGGTTTCCCTTGTTAAATTCCACGATTTTTTTAACTTCCTCTTCAGCATATCTGGCTGCGTATCTAAGGTTAATTTGTTTACTGTGCCATTTTATTAATCAAAAAAATAAATTAACAAAATTGACTACTTACTCGAAAAATGGAAAGCGTTTGACTAAATACTCTCTGCCAGCTCCATCTATGTCCAAATTATTGCATATTTGCCATACCATTTCCTGAGTTAACGTGGTACCTAAATTGTTTTCAAGAAAAGATTTACAATTACAGTAAAATAATATAAAAAGGTCATCCAATATGGATGTCCAATTTAAAGCTGGATATGGTGGCCAATTTTTTTGTAATAATTATTTATTCTGCATGAAGGCATATCTAGTTTTCAACCAATTTTTAGGAGGCTAATTTAAAGAAAGTGTTTTTTTTTCAAAAGGGTTAACCTGGGTTGTTCTATCCCACGAACTTAAGTTTTTATGGTTTCGTAATTAAGCGTTTCGGGCGATGTTGGCTAGCCACCAAGATCCTGCGATTTAACGCTATATAAAATAATCAATATCGTTTTTTATGAACCTTTACCTGATCTGGGTAATGTTACTACCCATATATCGCTATTTCTTATAGGAAAGTTGTATATTTCGTCTTTGTAGGTTAGGTAATTTAACCTTTCGACAAATTGTTTCGGTCCAAATTTAAATAGTTTGTCTTTTAAACCTACAATAATAAAATATTCTTTATCAATACGTACATACATACTTTTTTAATTTTAACCTGGTATAACTTTTCTTATTGTAGCATATTCTTCAGAAGAAAATTCTTCATGTTTTATTGGATTTTTAACACTCATTATTGTGATGTATTTTAATATGTTGTTGATTAACACTGATACTGGAATAAACTAAAATAAGTTCAATATTTGTTTTGTACTCTGGATTATTTTGTTTTAATAAAATAATAATTACACTTTACTTAGTGTGCGGATATTTAATTGACCTTGGACAAATAATTATTATATTATAATATATTAATTATTTGTCCAAGGTCAACTAAATTCTATAGTATGTTGATAGTTCGTTTAATTGACACATAATTAAGGCAAATACACAAACTTTTTTTGCAGTTAACATTCTGTTAAATTTTGAAGAATTTTTTGTCAGTCCCTCCAGACAAAAAAATGCAATTTTTTTCGCAAAAAATGGGAAAATTTCATAATTAAGATGGTATTTCCTGCAATTTGGATACTTTTTTATAATTTCGAATTTTATATTTGAATTAATATTTATAATTAATTTAATCAAATTCTTTAGCATAAGTACCATTTTTAAATACTAAAAATACTAAGTCAAACTGGCATAAGCCACCAACCTAACAAAAAAACCCGAGTCCAGATAAAAAAAATGAACTGGATATCTGAAGTCAAATAGTTTAATTGCGACGTAATTTATAACCTTAAAATATTCGTACATTAATGCTAAGAAGCTAACATTAAGAATAAACACGGAAGAGTTTCAATACTCGATAAAATGTTCAAATTTTAGAAAATAAAGTATACAATATTTGTGCATTTAAAATACGTGCTTGTTTAAGGTTACTATTCAAGTTTTACACAAAAAATTATTACTATATGCTTTCATCCAAAATTTTACAGTATCAACTTTAGAAGCCAACTTGGTCGCATTTGCCGATTTTCTAAGGTCGCGCCCGTTACGCTATTCATGGCGTTATAAAAGGTTTTCTATAAAAGTTTTTATTGACATTTTGATTGAGTTAAATACCTAATTTTTTATACTATTTTTTTTATATTAACGTAAATTGATATATATCAACAAACACTTTATTATTATAAAAAACGCAGTTTTATTGTCGCACCCGTTACAATGGAAATACCCAAAATCAAATTTTCATAGCCTACAACATAATATCAATGGTAGAAAATTGACATTTCAGTTTAAAAAATCGTAAATTTAGCACTAAAAAAACTACATTTGTAAAAACATTTGTATAATTTTAGGCATATATTTAAAAAGTACATTGTGTTATGGTTAAAGTGATTGATTATTGTCAAAGCTGGAAAAATACTTTAGACCAATCAGGTAACGTTGTGTACCTCCCAGGCTGTAAAAACTCCTTTAGACCAACCAAAAAATCGATAACTGTCAGATCTATCTAACCTAACTTTTTACTTTTAATAATTATTATTATACTTGTATAATAAAATTGTTAAACGATAAAATTGCTTCTCAGCCTAATGACATAAATTAGCTATTAAAACCAAATACTAGATATCAAAACATTCGTGGTATTTCACGAAGGGTGTAATTAAAGTTACACTTAATTAGTTACACGAAATTTGAACAGGAATTCCGGAAGTTTTAATTTATAGTCTAAAATCAATTCGTGAACTTCCCAAGTAGTGTAACGATACACGCTGGTACGATTATTCCCATTATTTTATCGTTTCAAATCTACAAATGTATGTTTAGTTTATACTCACGTCTAAATGCATTCCTTACATGTTCCCTACATGTCAGTTCCAGCATTTGTTTGATAATCTCATATGGTACAAAACATTTCCAAAAATTGACCTTTTTTGCGAATCACCCTGTATACCATATGATACTGAAAATGCATGACAAAAATGATTTATGTTTAGCTACATAGTTAATGAATGAATAATCAGCGCAGTCAAAATAAATTGTTGTGAATTTTTGGCAGAAACTCTAGTAATTTATATCGCCTTTCCAATAACACAATGTTGCAAATAAATCACGCTATCCTGAAAGCTAAACACCTATAATTGTATCAATTTAACTTTGTTTTGCATTTTTAAAATATTTTTTCATCGTTAGAGCATTCAATTTTTAACGCTTTGATTTAAATTTAGATTTTATGGTAAACAAGTTGAAGTGTGTCCCAATACAATATTTTTTTATTAAAACTAGTATTTTTTTCATTTCATTATGAAAAATTTACAAAACAACATAATTATTATCTTCGACTGTGGTGACAATTTTAGTTTGACAACTAGACTTTGATGTAGGCAACCAGCCTAACACATCATGTGACATTTGATTACCTAAATACTAAGGCTGGGAATTTGTTAGTTTTTGGAATTCGAATACTCGTTTAAAAATTATTTGAAATACTCGAATTATTCGAATATTCGAATTATTCGAATATTCGAGTATTCGAATTATTCGAATATTCGTGTATTCGAATTATTCGAATATTCGAGTATTCGAATTATTCGAATATTCGTGTTCTCGTAAATTCGAATAATTCGAATATTCATGTCTTTATAATCTGTGATTCATGTCCTCGTACATTCGAATAATTCGAATATAGAGTACATTTTTAAATATTCAAATAATCGAATTTTTAAATACTCGAATATTAAAATATTTCAATTAATCAACAATCGTAAATTAAAATAAATCGGCAGTAAAGTTCTACTTTACTGCCGATTCCGGATAAAATAATTTTTCGTCAATCTTAAGTCTATTTTTAGTTAATCAAGCACTAACATTAGTTGTTTCAACAGCCATTTTGTTAAAATATTCATCAATGTTAGGATATTGCAGTTGAAGACCGGTAACTTACGTGACATTTGCAACATAAAGCCTGCATTTTAGGAAAAAATTAATAGATTAGGGTTGTCATAATTTAAGTTCCCATTACCTTAAAATGCTACATGCTCATTACACTAAAAAAAACCTTGAGCGAGAATTAGTTTTCACAAAAATAAGTGGATACAGCATCGAAACAAGTTATATGAGAATTTACCAATTAAACATATAGTAATTACTGATTACTTTTTGCTACTGTCCAAAACGAAGCGACTACATATATCGCTTTTTTCGAATTTGATTATTTTTGGAATTTTCAAAATTCAAAAGCCGACTAATTTTTGAAGAGAGCTGTTAATTTTTTTTAATAAAAATGACAAATTAACATATTCGAAAAAAGTTTTTTTGCACCACCCTTATATATACTAATTTAAAGTGTTTTAATATTCGAGTATTCAAATATGCGAGTATTCAAATATTCGAGTATTCGAATATTCGAGTATTCAAATATTCGAGTATTCGAATGTTTGAATATTCGAGTATTCGAATATTCGAATAATTTATAATCGATTTCCACCCCTATTCGAATACTCGAATATTCGAATATTCGAATTATTCGTAATCGATTCCCAGCCTTACTAAATACATAAAACATACATACACAGATGCTCCCGTATAATAGTATAGAGTTCATTTTTTTTATCTGGACTTTTTGTTAGGTTGGTGCCTTATGCCAGTTTGACTTGGTATTTAAAAATGGTACTTCTGCTAAAGAATTTAATTAAATACTTTTACACTGTCAAATTGACAATAATATTTATTATTGATAATTTACTTGTCAATTATAAATAAAAAGATAATTATGCCAAAAATAATAGCAACGAATACGAATGTAAAAGCCCTTTTGATGGCAAAACTTCATTTTGATGAAATTATGCCAAATGCCACAATGGAAGAAAAAGTACATCGCCTTATGGACATTTTTGGAGTAAAAAAGTAACGAATTTGGTTTTATAAATATTACATCACACATTATTTTCACATTATTCATCATTGGACAACATTTAGGTTCACAAAAAATTTTAATTTCTTTTATATAAATTCTTTTCAAAGCGAAGATTATTATCCGCTAGGAATACTTTCTCTTCTGGGCCGTAAAACAACCTATATTTAACTCCTTTTTTATATGATTTTACTCATCCAAGCACCACCAAAGCCAAATTAATTGCATTTTTAACTACGAATTTCGACAACTCAACTTGACAACTGCACAATGTAACCTGCAATAATTTATACATAACCACAATTAGATTTATAACTAGCTTAGTTTGTTTTAATCAATGCGACCACCTTGACAACTGTATTTACCAACCAAAACCCTAAATTTGCAACGTTGCCGCAGTCCAGATAAAAAAAATTAACTTTATGTATCAAGTTTAATAAACGCCATTTTAGTCACGAATTTAATTTAGGTACGGAGTAGAAAAAATATTTTTAATTTTATATTTTTTTAATTTTATTATGCCAAATTTAGATTTTGAATTCTATATATTGTTTTTTTTTCATATATGTCCCCGTATAAAATCTAAAACGCATTTAAAATTTAAAATCGCGTAGGCTGAGCGCCGACTTGTGAAATCGTTTTACCTTAGAAACGGGTGTCAAAAGTTTGGGTCGCGTGAGCCTAGGAATCCACACTTACTCTGTTAAGTGTAGCGCGGGAATCTACGAGATCTATTTTCCTAGCATTCTTATTAATTTGACTATTTTTATTTTCGGCGTTTTTCTTAGTCAGCCTCTCCAACATTCCTGCTAGTGTGGCACGCTGAAAAACACACGTGGTCCGTTTTAACATTTTTTTAGTTAATTGTTTGTCGACATGAAGCTCGAAATTATTCCAAAGTATGATTTCTGCATGTAATTTTTTTTTAATTTATATATTTTTTTTCTTTTAGTGAGTGCAGTTCTGATAGTGAACCTGAAGTAGATGAAGGAGAACAGGATGGAACTAGTGAACAGTCTAACACAGACAGTGAAGAAAAACAAATTGATAAAAAATGCTTAAATGAAACTGGTGAGTAAATTGATTTTTTTTAATATCTTCTAAAGTATAAAAGATAAATTGTTCAAATTTGGAAACACGCTATTAAATTTGGCAATAAAATTGGATTATTTAGTCTGTTTACTGCATTTTTGACAAAAAGAACCGACAACATTTTTTTGTCTGTTATATTTTTTCAAAATCTTGCTTCGTTTAAAAATTATTAAGGAAATAATTAGACAAATTTTAAACCAGAAATGAGATTGTATTTTTTAAACAAAATGACAGACGGTTCTTATGTAAATTTACATATATTTCTTAATAACTTGTATGGAAAATACTGTAGAGACAAAAATATTGTAAATAGACCTAGGAATCTAATTTAATTATTAGGTTTGGCAACGAAAAAATAGTACCCCAGTATAAAATTAAAAACAAAAAACTTTAAATAATAATAAATAATAAAATTTCATTTAGATATAAAGGGATCCCAAATTTTTTAACATACAAAACAAGTTGTTATACTATTAGTTATTTTTTTGTCTTTTGACATCAGCCATCTGCCCATTTCTCTATGTTATTAATTATTATTAATATTATTATTAGTAGTAATAATAATTATTATTTTTGCATTTTTGCAAGTAATAATTCCTGTATAACTATATATACTTGACTGTGCTTTATAGTCGCGAACAAATCTGCATGGGTGGACGTCATCATCGGCATATGACGTCAGCGTTAAGGTCTATTCATACGTTATAATATCATTGTTATAATGTTCTACACTAACTAATTAGGAGTTTGTTACGGGAAAATTAAATGTAAATATTTAGACATTAAATTGTAAAATTGCGACCATATTTTTGCGATTTTGGTATTGCGCATGTCTCGATAGTAACAAACCCAATAACGACAACAAATTTTTAGGCAATATAATACAATTTAAAATGAAATTAATTATGCCACAACATTGAATAGCACAATTTTCTAATGAGTTTTAAAAATAAAATTTGTAATCACTCGAAAACTACACGTCAAACAAATGTGTTGGTGCTCCATTTTCGGAAAACCCCGCATATTAAACATAAAGTTCTTTTTTTTTATCTGGACTGCGGCAACGTTGCAAATTTAGGGTTTTGGTTGGTAAATACAGTTGTCAAGTTGCATTGATTAAAACAAACTAAGCTAGTTATAAATCTAATTGTGGTTATGTATAAATTATTGTAGGTTACATTGTGCAGTTGTCAAGTTGAGTTGTCGAAATTCGTAGTTAAAAATGCAATTAATTTGGGTTTGGTGGTGCTTGGATGAGTAAAATCATATAAAAAAGTAGTTAAATATAGGTTGCTTTACGGCCCAGAAGAGAAAGTATTCCTAGCGGATAATAATCTTCGCTTTGAAAAGAATTTATACGAGCCCTAACCACATAATGTTCGGACACTTCATAATTTATACAGAATTTTTTTTCGTGAATACTATCTCAAAATTATTAGAAGTTATGAAAAATTCAGCTTATTTTGGCATATACCCCTCGAAGCGATTTTTATTTTTAAAAAGTTTACCTTTTATTTTTAGCTTTTAAAAAAAGGCTAACTTTTTAACTTTTTTTTGTATGAGTAAAAAAAGTTATAAATGGACCCATTAAAAAGAGCATAAAATATTATACAAACCCTGAAAATTTGGTAAAAAATAAATAAGTTATAAAAAAGTATAAGTAATTTAAAAATGCTATTTTTAAAGAGTTTTTGCAATTTTCTTAGGAAACGGGAGATTTTGCAGATATATATATCGCTATAACTTTCTTATTATTTATACAATTTTTACCAAATTTTCAGGGTTTGTATAATATTTTATGTTCTTTTTAATGGGCCCATTTATAACTTTTTTTACTCATGCAAAAAAAAGTTAAAAAGTTAGCCTTTTTTTAAAAGCTAAAAATAAAAGGTAAACTTTTTAAAAATAAAAATCGCTTCGAGGGGTATATGCCAAAATAAGCTGAATTTTTCATAACTTCTAATAATTTTGAGATAGTATTCACGAAAAAAATTTCTGTATAAATTATGAAGTGTCCGAACATTATGTGGTTAGGGCTCGTATAAAAGAAATTAAAAATTTTTGTGAACGTAAATGTTGTCCAATGGTGAATAATGTGAAAATAATGTGTGATGTAATATTTATAAAACCAAATTCGTTACTTTTTTACTCTAAAAATGTCCGTAAGGCGATGTACTTTTTCTTCCATTGTGGCATAATTTCATCAAAATGAAGTTTTGCCCTCAAAAGGGCTTTTACATTCGAATTCGTTGCTATTATTTTTGGCATAATTATCTTTTTATTTATAATTGACAAGTAAATTATCTAAAATAAATATTATTGTCAATTTGACAGTATCAAAGTATTTAATTAAATTCTTTAGCAGAAGTATATACCAACTGGCATAAGCCACCAACCTAACAAAAAAACACGAGTCCAGATAAAAAAAATTAACTATACTGTTTTTAATAAAGCAAGGTTGACGAATAAAGAAAATAAATGTCACCAAATAAAGTGTCCCAAGTTTTTCACAGAATAACATGAAAAATATTTGTTTTTAATGTTGTTCTATTAACATGGTGTTCTTAAAATATAAAAATAAAAATATACATAACTGATTGCCTTAGACAATATGTTAAGGTATTTTCATCACTCTTGACCTCATTTAATAATCTAAATATTTTTTCCTTAATGCTTTTAAAAAAATCTTGATGGATTTTATTTAAAAATATCAAAAAGGTTTTTTTAATAATAATAGTTATACAGGGTGTTTTTGATGGTATTTAATTTCTAATGTTATGTTATTAAGAAAAAACTGATACAATTAATATAATATGCATCCACTAGACATTATAAAATATTTTTTACTGCAAAATAAAATGTCTTTCTTTAAATTATTGCAAATGAAGTTCCTTTTAAGGAGGGTGGTTATTTTTAAACGTTTCATAAACTTCTTTTTCTTTCTATTGCCCCTCTTAAAATTACCATTTTTCATGCCAAGCCGACGTTATACCTGCACACTTAAGTGGCTAAGCATCTTCGAAAAATCCGCAATTTTATTTTCGGTATCGCTTACTGAATTAGACGGGGACACGTACGTATAGGTAAACATTTCGAATATGAAATAACGTTAAATTATACGTTTTATTATAGTTAGTTGAATGGGATCCAGCCAGCAGTCAAATTTAATGAGGTGTATATTTAGGATCATTTACTTCGTTTATTAATTTTACTTGTAAATAAAGTTTTTTATAGTTTTTTTTTTAATTTTTTTATAGCTTTTGTAATCTAGGTTATTGTTTTAAAACTCCCAATTGACAAGAAAAAAACTGAACCTCAAAAACCAAAACACTTATCTGTCAAATTTGTATTACAAAAGTATTAATTCTTGTTTAATTTTTATTTATTACATATTCTTAAAAAAATTTAATAACAAAAACTATTTGTCAGATTTTTTTTTATACTTTAGGGACACCCTGTATAAAAGCTGTTATTCTGAACTGGAAAGTAGAAAACCTTCATTGCCTCAACTATTCTTATATTTTCTTTATTATTGTTACTATTTTTAGAATATATTTTTAATGATGTCTTTTACATCTTTTATAGTATGTTATTTTAGGTTCCGGAGATGCAAATCTGATTTGGCCACTTAGGCACAGCCTCTTCCCACACATTCCGCCATACATTTGCTTTAGTTCGCACGATTCCCCCATACCGATGAAATTTCCCATGGGTGGGAAATTCTTCAAATGGAAGTTAACCACGATAACTCCGATTTTGGTCAGACAAACTCTGAGTAATTCTGGGTTCTCGTTGGTCAGAAGTGAGTTTACTAGAGGTGTGCCATCCCGTTTTATCCCTATCCTGTTTGTCCGTTTTTTCCTTCAAAACCCATATCTAATGCACATAGGATGATTTATATTTGTGGCCCATCCATTGTGCATTAAAAATCAAAAATATGTTTTAATAATTGTGGATTTTTTTAGAATCAAATCAGTGGCTGGGCACATGGGGCAAACACATGAAATCGCCCATGTTTAAAACTTTAAAGGAAACGCAAAAAATCAATCATTTTCCAGGCACTTTTCAGCTGGGCAGAAAAGATAGATTGTGGAGAAATTTACAAAGACTGATCAATAAATTTGGACACAAAGAGTAAGATTTTTTTTAGAGATGGGAATCGGAAAGTTTCCAATTGGGAATTTATTTTCATTTTGAAAGTTTCTTTTAAGTTACCGGAAACATTCCTTGGAAAAATTCCTTGGAAACTGTCCTTGTTTTTTCATTTAAATTTTGTTTAACCGCTGATTTTCGTTAAGGCCATGATACAAGGCCAAGAAACTTTGAATAAGAATTTAATGTGTGTTAATTTAAAGCAGAAGAAGTATAAATAATGTAAGTTATGTTACATAACCTCAATAAATAAAAAAGGAAAACAAAATAAAAACAATAAACAAAGTTAAATTCATTCTTACATTTATGATGTTTATTTATAGGCATAGCACAATGGCAAGAAAAAAATCTAGTGTTTGGAATTATTTTTTACTTTACTTTTTACTTTTCAATATTCCTATATATTAGTTACTTTGTTAATTTTTTTTACGTAATATCTAGGATTTACTAGCAGTGAAACATTTTATTTTTATTTTGTAGGTTTCAGTTTACAATAGGAATATTCCAAAGTAAAAGATACTAAAAATAGTATTGCAGTTACATTCTTATAAACATTTTTTTTATTTTTTTCTTAATAAAATTTGACAAAAAGTTAATGTGTTATATATTTTTGCAAATCCCTGGCATAAAAAAAAATATTTTCGCAATAAAAACTTTCGGAAAATTTCGGGAATTTTCGATGGAAAGTTTCCGGGAATTTTCGTCAAATGGGAATTTTCCCATCTCTAATTTTTTTAAAGCGTTAAATTTTATTTATTTTTTTATTTTATAGGTTTGGATTTATTCCTCATACATATATTCTACCTCAGGAATTAAAATTGCTCAAGCAGAATTGGGAGTTCAAAAATGGCAGTGGTGGGGAAATGTGGATTATTAAACCTGTAAGAAATATTGATTTTACATTTTATTATTATTAAATACAACATATTTTAATGCTGTTAAATGGGGTATTTAATTTTGTATTTATTAGGCTAGTATAATAATAATAATAATTTTATTTCTTATAAATATATACATAAGAATATACACATATTTACAGAAATATAGTCAGGATATACAGATTAACAAATTAGTAGAAATAAATATATACCATTCTGGAGGTGAATTAGACCAGTGCAGAAGCCTTTAAAAATGGTAAAAAGAGAAAAAAAATAACAGTAGGATGAAACCCATTGGAAAAGGAGGGGAATATAATAAAAATTAAAGGAAAAATAAATTACGGGCGATCTGAGTTCGGGAAGTGGGAGGGGGGGGTTTAAGGGTAAAAAATGGTTTATCTCGATTTCCGGCAAAACTGCAAGTCCTATGGAAAAAAGTTAAATGTCAAAGTTGTAGGTAATAAAAAGATCTACAACTTTTGTATTTACAATTTTTTCACATAACCTCAAAATTTATGTGAAAAATTTAAAAAACCAAGTTTTTGGTTTTTTATTTTTATCTTTTTCAAAAAAAAAATTTTTCCACGAAATTTGGTGAAAACTTACCTTTTTATGTCCCAAATACACTAATTTATTTGATTTGAAATATTTATTATTTCGCCTTATTTTGACTTAATATCAAAAAAGCACCCTAATTTTCAATCGAAAATTCTCGCGTCAAAATATCAGCTTTTTTCAAAAAGTCGGTGTGCTTTTTGTTCGATGAACTCTCTACTTTCTGATGGTGTAAAAAAAATATACATTACTATGGTAAATGTTCTCAGAAAATACAAAAAATATTATAATGAATAACGGACTTGTAGTTTTGCCGGAAATCGAGATAAACCATTTTTTACCCTTAAAACCCCCCCCCTCCCACTTCCCGAACTCAGATCGCCCGTAATTTATTTTTCCTTTCATTTTTATTATATTCTTCTCCTTTTCCAATGGGTTTCATACTACTCTTATTTTTTTTGGTTTCAAAAATTATCGACCCTGGTCTAAATAAAAACAATTTAGAAGAAAAAATATCGGGAGAAATCATTTTTTTACGGCGGAAAATTATAAAATATTAGGGTGAAAACGTTTATTTAAAATATGATACATATTATGTTTATAATGTTAAATTAAACAAACTATGCTTAACGCATACACAACTGTTTTTAATTAAAAAAAACAATTTGTCATAATCACCTAAAACTTAGATTTAAAAATTTCAACACAATTTTGACCGTAAAAAAATACCTTTAAATTGTTTAAAACACCTTTAAGAATGTTAAAACCAAATTTTAAAATGTTGAAATTTTCTTACAGCCTGCTTCAGCGCGAGGGGTGGGCATAAAGGTGATAAACAAGTGGTCTCAACTTCCGAAAAAAATGTCCCTAGTGGTGCAAAAGTACATTCCCAATCCGTACCTAATTAACGGCAGCAAATTCGACTTGAGACTGTACGTTTTGGTGACCAGTTTTCACCCTTTGAGAATTTATTTGTATCCTGATGGTTTGGCCAGATTTGCTAGCGGTAAGTTATACATTTTAATGCTGTTTTTTTTTAATTAGTGGTGGTGTTTTTTGTTTGTAGCGAAATACAGCGATGATTCCAAAGATCTTAAAGATCGTTACAGGCATTTAACAAATTATAGTATTAATAAGTTGTCTGATCAGTACACTGCCAATGAAGATGCCAATGCTTGTCAAGGACATAAATGGTAAGTTCTTGTAATTTCAATATAAATGATTGAGGTTTTATATCTGTCAGTTTAACAATTTTATCTTATTTTCTGATAAGACAAAATTAGCGTTAACTTGACAGATAGATAACCTAAATTAGATTTTGATGTGGGGCATAGTATCTTGAAATATATGAACAAACACGTTATTATCATGAAAAACCGCAGTTTTAGTGTCGCACCCGTTACAATGGAAATACCCTTTGATAAACGCCATTTTAGTCACGAATTTAATTAAAGGAGTGCCTAGAAAAGTTTATAAACGAGCTGCATAATACACTTTTTCTTCGACAAATACTTAATATTATCTAAAAAAATATTTAAATTAAATATTTTTATAAAGCGACATCTATACGAAAATAAACATTTTTGACGTAATTTTCAGTATTAACATTGCCCGTTTAAATAAAATTATTGATACTTTGAAATTGAAATTGAAAATTATTAATACTTTAAAATATTAAAACTTTAAAATATGATTGTGTTAAGAAAATATTTTATCCTTTGATTTTTTTATTACCATATCTGCAAAATATTATCACAAAGTATTAAACATTGTTACACTGGAAATGTTAAAGGTACAAAAAGTGACATTTGTATTTATTGAAATTCTCAAAATCTCAAATTTTTCTGTGTAAATCAAAATGTTTCCCTTGAAAATAGACTAACAATCGATATAGAAGCAGTTTTTCAAAGTAAAAGAGAAGAGAATGTTTTATGGGCACTGTACGCAAAATTTTTAACGCTTTATCAGTTAAATCTAGTTAACTGAACTACTACGGCGAAATTAAAAGGCACTACAAACGTTCATATATTTTTCAAATATTGGCGTCAAGAAACTATTTAATATTTTTGTATTGAGATAATGAAATAATTTTTCACATTTAGTATTATTTTACAAGAAAGGCACTTCACTTTAACGATTGTATGACATTTGACAACTTCAACTAACTTAAAACTAACTTCCGTGACTAAAAACATGTTGCTAACTTTAGCCCGTGACTAAAGCGTTAGATAGCGCAACTAGTGGTTTTTAACATCTAACATGTTTTCTTCGCTTCAATGTTCCTTATTTTCTTAGGACCCTCTCGAAACTCATGGAGTACTTGGAGGGGAAAGGGGTAAACTCCAGAAGCCTCTGGAAAAACCTCCAGCAACTGGTGATAAAAACGATGATTTCCGCCGAAGGCCCCATAACGCAACTGTGCGAAGAAAACATGAACAGCATTTACAATTGTTACGAACTTTTTGGCGTCGACGTGCTATTGGACGTAGAGTTAAAACCGTGGCTTTTAGAGGTAAGTTTGAAATGAACTTGGATTAAAGAGAGGAACGTATTTTACGTTGACTACTAGTGTTTGGTATGTCAGGTATTTTTATTAAGGATTTGTGTTACGTTTTTGGCGCGCTTCCAGTAGGTATTAACCTTTCAACAAAACGTTTAATAGTTTGCAATATAAATTTGTCAGATGAAGATAAAATTATTGTATCTACCTTGTTTTCAAAAGGAATTTTTTTGAGAAATGTACTATTTTTGAATTATTTTGTAATCATTGCCCACATTTAATATTAAGGCAAATGATGCGACAATTTTCTTTTTATGTTTTTATAAAATTTTATTTAGGTTGGTAAATTAAGTTTGACAAAATATTTAAAAAACTTAAGAGCCACTTAGAATGTCAAAACATATTAAACAAGTATTTTTTGTCAAAAGCACATTTTAGAATGTTAAAATGTATGTTTGTCAAACTCATTTACAACATTAAAGGATCTTTATTAATTTTATTAATACACTCACGTGCAAAATAATCGATCCACACAAATTTTCGATGAATTTCAATCGCAAATAACTTTTTTATTTGATGTCGGATTTAAACGAATATTAAAGAATATTGTAGATAAATTAATGGACAATCGCTCACATTTTAAAAAAATACTAAAAAATAGACGTACGTTTATAATATACAGGTTTAAACAAAAAGATGTTTTTTACCATAAGTTTAAGACACTCTGTAGAGTGGCAAGACCGTATATTGTTCTAAATTAAGTTTTATTTATCAAGTCACATCTATTCTTAACAGTTTTGTTTTTGGTTCACCTCAATATATTTATTTTTGTGGAAAATATGGATTTTTTTAAAAAACATTGCAATTTCCAATATTTTTCCTGTATGAAGAACTAAGGTTGCTATGGTCCATCCATAGCCTATGCCCTTTGTACTTTACTTCTTATGACGTTTAAAACACTTGCCACGTAATACTGTGACCGTCCATCCTGGATTAAATTAATAGCTCTGGCAACATCAGTCGGAGACATATCCATTTTATAAAGTAAGAAAACACCTCAAAATTTAAACATTAATTTGCAAAAAACAATTTGATAGCTTTTGAAAGCCGTGTATGACATGTCCAAGTATGGGATGATTCAACAAAACTGTCACTGTCATTCTCCATAGCCTATGGATGGACCATAGCAATCTTAGTTCTTCATACAGAAAAATATTGGAAATTGCAATGTTTTTTAAAAAAATCCATATTTTCCACAAAAATAAATATATCGAGGTGAACCAAAAACAAAACTGTTAAGAATAGATGTGACTTGATAAATAAAACTTAATTTAGAACAATATACGGTTTTGCCACTCTACAGAGTGTCTTAAACTTATGGTAAAAAACATCTTTTTGTTTAAACCTGTATATTATAAACGTACGTCTATTTTTTGGTATTTTTTTAAAATGTGAGCGATTGTCCATTAATTTATCTACAATATTCTTTAATATTCGTTTAAATCCGACATCAAATAAAAAAGTTATTTGCGATTGAAATTCATCGAAAATTTGTGTGGATCGATTATTTTGCACGTGAGTGTATTATCTAACAATATTAAAAACTAATTTTCTAATGTAAAAATGACTTAAAAATGTTCAAAAAACATTTTAAAATTTTGAAAGAAAATTTATAAATGTCAATTTTTTTGAAATTTCACAGAATATTACTATACTATACTATTTAATGTCGCTTCCTCTCCTTATATATTTGTTGGCCTTGGTAGGGAAGCAACCATAGCAGCCAGTGGTGGAGGATTCTTTTGTAATTTATTTATTTGTTTTCCTTTTTTTCCCAACTGCCGCTCAAAGATAATACCAAGACATCTGTCAGACGGTTCTAACCTTACTTTTTCACAATTTATTGCTCTTATTATACAGTGTGGCCCATTTGTTTGCGACTCACCCCTGTAAAATCTTTATTTATTGTGCGATTTTAACCGAATTTGTTTGTATTTCTTGATAAACTGTTTTTTTGGGAGCAAAACGCCATATTTTTACAAAATACAAGGCCTACTATGTCAGTTTTTGAGAGTAAATTTCAAAGAACTCATATTGGCGATTTTTAAGAAAAAATTATGCATGACACTGAATTCACGACCCCTCAAAACAATAATTTACAAAAATTTCGTTTTTTATTTGTTAAAACTTAGCATAAAAATATGCATACCATATTACTATTAGTTACATTTTATTACAATGTTTTTTTCATGGTGCATTTTTAATTTAGAATTTAGTATAGGGTTGTTGCGAGTCCAGTGCCGGGCATAGATTTTTTTAAATCCTTAATATGAAATTCTTAAAAATTTACTCTCAAAAACTGACTTAGTGGGCCTTGTATTTTGTAAAAAAAAATGGTGTGTTTTGCTCCAAAAATACATTTTATCAAGATCTACACTTTAACAAATCCAGTTAAAATCGCACAATAAATAAAGATTGTACAGGGGTGAGTCGCAAACAAATGAGTCACACTGTATATGACGTTTAAAAAAAGTAATTTTAACGGAGAAAAGTGTCTTTTGATGTTGCTAGATTTATTTTAAATAATTTTTTTTTTATATTTTTTTAGGTAAACATTTCTCCAAGCCTTCACAGTGCCTCGCCTTTAGACGCCCATGTCAAAGGACCAATGGTACAGACTTTATTTGACATGGCGCAATTCCATATACCGTCCAAGGTAGGTTTTTTGTTTTTGTTTAGTTTTCCGAAAATGTCGCATTTTTTTAAAATTTTATTATTGTATCAGCTTATCAAACAATGTGGTTAAGTTTTTTTTTAAATAACTCCCCCTATCGCGAATAATTTTTTATTTTACTTTTTGATATTGAGCCCTGATTTTTTGCCGCTTGTTTTTTTAATAAACATTGTGGTTATACGCTCAGGGTAAATGATTTGAGACTATTTGAATCTTTTGTTGGTTTTGTTAAAATTATTACAGCCAGCAATACAACATGTAGTCACAACAGTTTTTAATTTTCATTTATCTATTTCGCGTTCATAATGACTTCATTATAACTAAGGTGACCAACTCTCCTGAAAGAAAAACCAGAACTCATAAAATATCTGTATTTTTTATAAAATGTTTACATGTATTTCTATTAACATAATATTATTACAAATTAAGATTTTTTAAAACTATATTTTTCTTGGGAGTGAATTTTTTTTAGTACTTCATTTTTTTAAGCATGTTTGATAGAAATTAGTTTTAACAATTAATAATGGTTTTAGTGTTTCAGTATGCAATTGTGATTTGTCTTTTGTTCAAAAGTTGTTCATATTGGAAAAAACTTTCTCTACAGGACTATTTGTCCAAGATAAACACAACAATATGGGTAATTCTTTTGCATTTCTGCATTAAAGATGCATTTTCCTCTTTGAAGAGGCATATCATTTAGAGTTTGAAATATACAAAACAATAGATATTACAATATTTAACCACAATAAAACTCACAGACGTCAGGGACATGCGCAATACAAAAATAGTTCGTTTGGGGAGAGCCAAGTGTGAACGCCAACGCTAATGTATTTAGTAGGTGTAGGGCGAACAGGGTTGCACGATTGGGCGCAAAATCTAGTGAAGTGGAAAATATAATTTTATGTTTATGGCTTAATTAGTATTGTAGGTATATGTAGGTATGAAAACAGAAAAAAACAGAAAAGCTTTTGAAAAACAGAACTTTTACTTTACTTAATTTACAACCAGAACATGGTTCTCAAAAACAGTATAGTTCTGGTTAAATCAGAACGGTTGGTCACCTTATTATAACACAGCTTTTGGTTCTTTAATGAGGTACTTTATTCCACCCAAAATTTTGATTTTATAGGTTGGCTACTACTAAAATAAAAGATTGAATACCTATTATAGGTTATAATATTTTTATGATTTGTTTTCTAGTACTTACGAGACTTTTCGTGCAATAAATTTTGTTTAGCAACAAAGAAAATCCTTTTTCTTACTACCTCGACTCAAAATACGTTGTTTCGTCCCCGATTCCACGGCAGAAAGTTTACGTTTCTTGCATTGGTCAAGCTATACGCGCACACTCTAATAGCGGGAGTAAAAATTTTTTGGTCGTGTGCTTAACATTCAAATTTCGTACTGCCAACATGAGAAACACAAAAATATGACAGTTTTAAACCATAATTTTGCAATTATAACAACAAATAAACAATTTATGTTTTTACTTTTTTACTTTTTATGTTGTTTTAAGTGTTTAATGGTACTTTTATTTGTTATAAAGTAGTAATTTCTTAATTAAAATACAACGTTTTATTTTTACTGTATTGGCACCGCTGAATTCACGGCCTACTGTTATTTATTTATCAAGCTCTTCAAATGGAGATAGGTACATAAATACACATTTAATTTTTTCCCGTATTTTCGGCCGGGTTGTATTTTCGGCCGAGGTAGTAAGAAAAATAGTATACACTACACGGGCAGAAACTGTGAGAGTCCTGAACTTCGCGCCATGATGCCCTCGGCTTCGCCTCGGGCATCATGGCGCGCAGTGCAGGAATCTCACACTTTCTGCCCTTGTAGTGTAATATACTATTTCTTACTACCTCGACTCAAAATACGTTGTTTCGTCCCCGATTTCACGGCAGAAAGTTTACGTTTCTTGCATTGGTCAAGCTATACGCGCACACTCTAATAGCGGGAGTAAAAAATTTTTAGTCGTGTGCTTAAAATTCAAATTTCGTACTGCCAACATGAGAAACACAAAAATATGACAGTTTTAAACCATAATTTTGCAATTATAACAACAAATAAACAATTTATGTTTTTACTTTTTTACTTTTTATGTTGTTTTAAGTGTTTAATGGTCCTTTTATTTGTTATAAAGTAGTAATTTGTTAATTAAAATACAACCTTTTATTTTTACTGTATTGGCACCGCTGAATTACCATGACAACGCTACAGTTTGATTGATTTTGAATGTAAACGTCAGAATTAAATTAAACGTCAGATTTTAATTTTGACACAAGTTTTTTTATATACATTTAATTTTTTCCCGTATTTTCTGCGGGGTAGCAAGAAAAATAGTATACACTACACGGGCAGAAAGTGTGAGAGCCCTGAACTGCGCGCCATGATGCCCTCGGCTTCGCCTCGGGCATCATGGCGCGCAGTGCAGGAATCTCACTTTCTGCCCTTGTAGTGTAATATACTATTTTCTTCTTTAACAGCCGCTTATTGTAAATACTTATTGTAAATTAACGACGCCATAGCGAAAGAATGTGATAATGTTTGAAAGGTTAATGACGTTTCAAACTTCAAACTGAGATACCAACTATGTAAAGTAAAATTCGACCAAATTAAATATAAGGTATAAAATTAATTTGTTTTATGAAATGTTTGCAAAATAGATAAAATAGCATAAAGAACTCATGTCATAAGACCTTTTGTCGCATTTGTCCATATTAAGTGTTAAATTTTTGTATAATTTGGTACATAACAAAATAGACGCCCCTTTATTATTAAATCAAATAAATTTTTTAACACCACGTAACACTCGAACCAACCTCACATTTTATTGCCCAAACGCTAAATCAAATGTTATGCTTAAGTCACCGATTTATTTTATGTGCAATAATTTTAATAAATATTGCAATAATTGTGATATAAACTTTCAAAGTATTGGAGTTATAATAAATCACTTAAGTACACATTTTTTTACGTGATTTTATTATATTTTTTGTATAATATTATTTTATAGATATTAGGAATTTTTATTATTATTCTTTTTTTTATGTAATTGTTCTGTAATTGGATGTTATATCTGTTGAACAATAAACGTTATTATTATTATTATTATTATAAAACTCGCTCCTTCGTCGCTCGTTTTATAAATTGTCCGCGTGCGACAAAATGACGTCTTATTACATTAGTTCTTTAATATACTATTATATAACGGTTTTTTATGATTTACTATATTAGATTTATGTTTTTTATAAACCTGACAAATACACTGCGCGTCTAAATTAACGCATAAGTAAAAAAAAATTGAATTTTGACCTGATACAGGTAAACCAAGCAGGATTTGTAATCTACGACTAAAAATTAAGTTTACGTGTCCGAGCGTTTAGCTGTGATATTTTCACCTCCCTACAGCGTACCTAATTAAAAAAAAACAAACGATCTCTCGAAACTAGTCGGTTTTGAAAATACAATTTAAAAAATCTACAAGCAGGGAAGTGCCTTATTAATTTAAAAGAACATTTTAAAATGTTAAATACAATGAAAAACACGTTTAAAACGCCAAAAATAAAATTCGACATCGTTTTTTCGAACCCGCGTATAGGCAACCGCAAGCAACTCCACGCCCTCCAGCTTCAACCCGAAGCTCTACACCATGTCGCTGACGAAAAACGAACGCCTGAAACACGCCAACTACGAAGAGTACGTCGACAGAAACGATTACCTGCACGAGATCGTGGAGCAGCTCAACGGCGACGACGTGCGTCAACTGGCGCGCGCGGAAGACGAGTACGCGGCCAAGGGCAGGTTCGAGCGGATTTTCCCCACCGCGCACACGCACAAGTATCTCGAGTTCATGGAGCCCAGGTACTACAACAGGCTGTTCGATGCGTGGGAGGCCAAGTACGGATCTAGGAGGCAAGAAGGTAGGCACGAAATACTTAAAATATACTTTTCTTGATTGGACAATGTATTTACCATTCTTTATTGGTTTTCTTTTTAATTATCGGTTTTTTAGTTTTTATTTTGTGAAATAAAATATGGGTATTAGGGTGATTCAATAAAATCGAATATTTTTTTTACGTTCGACACTGAAAAATTCAGTTTTCCTTTTTTTCTTTATTCCCTTATAAAAAAGACCATATTTCATTATTAATCAATCGTTTAATCAAATCTTTATTTAAAAGATATTTAAAATCAATGTTTGAAGAATTTATTAAATAATTTTGTAACTCATTCAAAAATAATTATTGTCAAATGAGTATGACATATTTTTGTAGTAAATTTAACGCTCTACAAAAAAGTTCTGATGTGTTTAATTGATTACTCTAACCTTTGAGAAGATATTCGTATCAATTAAACACATCAGAACTTTTTTGTAGATTGTTAAATTTCCTACTAAAATCAATAATTTTTTTCAATGAGTTACAAAGTTATTAAAAAAAAATTAATAAATCCTTTAAACTTTGTTCTTAAATATCTTTTAAATGGTTAGAGTAATATGATATTTTAAACAAAATTTGTTTAAAATATCATATTACTCTAACCATTTAAAAGATATTCAAGATTCAAGGATTTAATCCTGTTTTTGCCCGCAATTGATTTTCCGACAATTTCTTATCTTTTACTTTTTGTTTTATTATTTTTAGGTATAAATTATTTAAAAACTCTGTGTTCTCAAAGGATACACCTAAAAACAGCCGCATCTTCGAAAATAAGAAAGGTAAGATTTTTTTTTTGTATACGATTTTTTTTTAAACTAACCAATAATGAACATTTAAAACTTGATTTCAAAAATGGTATTCAAAAAATCATTCAATAAACCATTTTGAAATCACATCACACACCCAAAACAACTCATTTTGCTGTACTCTGTATAAATCATATATTATGTTGTGTATCATCTTCATATGGTGTCTTTGTAAGGCGAGAAATTTCGTACTGGCAACGTTGCATTCAGTGTGTTCACAATGTCGCAGTAAGTCGGAAAAACAAAACAATAATAAATGTGTCCAAGGCCTTCGTTTTTATGTGTGCTGCTCTATGACTGAATTATTGTTATTATTTGATAATTTTTATTTGTTGCTGACATACTCAACAGATCGATGGCGTGTTATATAACTTTAAAGAAATAGTTGATGACCATAAAGGTGATCTAGAGCAACTAAATAACATAGTTTTTAGATTATAGATGGGGTTTTTAAGTTTAGTGAGTTTAAATTGTAACAAAATGTTTGCTTTAAGGTGCTTTTACCCTATGTGTTCAACCCTAACATAAAAATACATAGTGTGAATGCAGCCTTAGTCTATAAACATTGCGAATCAAAACATAGCGCACTTGGATTATAGAAAGGTATGGAACGCCGTTGTATTTTTAAGTCTACTATTTTAAATGTTAGTTTAAAATGTAATTCCACGTCATGATAACATCGAAATACCGAGTAAAAAATATTTCGGCGTTCCAGCTATGGAGCGCCGAAATATTTTTTACTTAGATTGATATTTTTAATTCCTTAAATTAAAAATGTTATCTAGTCTTGAAAATAAGGATTTATAAAGACCGGTTAATACGTTTTATTTAGTTAGAATTAAAATTATCATGGTAACATTTTAAATTTTATAAATAAAAACGTTTGTTTAATTTTTTCTTACTTTGATATTTGTAATTCAATTCATTTTAAACGTCATCTAATACCTCTAATTCGACATGAATTAAAAATATCATAACGACATTTTAATTGCATTAAATTAAAAATATGCTTTGAATTTTTTTGTCATTTAAACATTTTAATTCATTTTATTTTAGAGGTTAATGTGATTTTTATAATTCTACCCCAATTAAAAATATCACAGTAACATTTTAAATTCAATGAAATAAAAACGTTTGTTGAATTGTTCTGTCACTTTGATATTTTTAATTCTAATTTTTCTGTCTAGTTGATATTTTTAATTCGAATTTTTCTGTCTAGTTGATATTTTTAATTCGAATTTTAATGTCTAGTTAATATTTTTTTAATTCGAATTTTTCTGTCTAGTTGATATTTTTAATTCGAATTTTTCTGTCTAGCTAGACTAGTCAACTAGTTGATCATTTTAATTCGAATTTTTCTGTCTAGTAGATATATTTTTAATTGCAATTTTTCTGTCTAGTTAATATTTTGAATTCAAATTTTTCTGACTAGTTGATCATTTAAATTTGAATTTTTCCGTCCAGTCAATCATTTTAATTCGAATTTTTCTGTCTAGTTAATCATTTTAATTCAATTGCTTGGACACTCTGCACCTAGATGGCGATTGAGTAGAAATAGAGATGTGTCAGGCGAATGGTTCTATCGTTTGAAGTGCACTTTCGATACAAGGAGATGCAATCTCTTTGGTTTCGATATACATACATATTACATATATTATTATGTTATTATGAAATTAAAAATAGACGCATTAATTTTTAACACTTGTATTTTGTAGTTTAATGGGCAGGTTATTTCAATGCATTTGCAATGCATAGATAGTTCCATCTTAGCCTAAGATTCTTAGGTAGTTCTTTTGTATCACGCGTGTACTGTCATTTTTTTGTACAGTTAATACCTATATTCTTTTTCTATGGTAAATACAGTATTAGTAAGCATTTAACAGTTTATTTAATATTTATAAAATGGTATGGTTTATAGAAATGGATCAAAGGCTTGTTCCCATACTTCATCGTATTAGAACTGGTATTATGAACGCCTGTCGTAACTTTGAAATAGAAAATGCTATTCATTCCAATATTAAATTAGTATTTTTATGAAAATAGTCACATTCAATCGCGATATTATAATATAATCACCTAATAAATTACAACGAGAACTTATAGTTTTAACCTTGTCTCTGGTTTTAACGGTTTTCCCTCCCATTCAGTGTTGCCAACAAATTTAGATACAAATTTCCTGTGAAGTCCATAGATTAATACCCACTGGCAGATTTAAATCCAAGGGAATTTTTAAATTAGTTCAAAGTCTTATTAAAGAAAGCTAGGATAATCACACAGCAAACGTAAATTTCAAAATAAACCAATAAAAATAATCAAAAAAAAGTAGGTATAGTACGTAGGAGCGAAAGTAAAACCGGCAACGCCGACAGGAATAGTCACGTTGGTACTACCAACGTGACTATTCCTGTCCTTGGTAGCACTGTTTGGCAACTTGTTTTGTCTTTTTGCCGTGTCAAGTTCATCTATGCAGATAAATTTCCATATACCTTTAACTTATAGTATATGGTATATGGTTTTTATTAATTATGTTTTTTTGTTTGAGAAATTTTTACAGAATTAAAAACATCTACACCGGAATTTAATTTTTACAAATATGGCAATGTCGCATTATACTTAATATTTTGTTGGATCCCCTATTCCATTTGGCTTTCAGGATTTTGATTCATATATCCTTTTTCTATGCTTTTTTCAATGCCTTTCGACAAACACCCTGTATTAATAACGTACCTTAAAACGATATGTAAATTCGATACTTGAAATAATAGAATCATTTGCAATTGACTGACACATCTCTATTTCCACTGCGCCATCTAGCCGAAGTAAGTAGAGGTGTCCACACTTGGAATTAAAATGATTGACTAGACAGAATAATTCGAATTAAAATGATTGACTAGACAGAAAAATTCGAATTAAAAATATCAAATAGACAGGCAAATGCTAATTAAAAATATCAACTAGACAGAAAAATTCGAATTAAAAAATCAAATAGACAGAAAAATTCGGATTAAAAAATATCAACTGGACAGAAAAATTCGAATTAAAATGAATGACTGGACAGAAAAATTCGAATTAAAATGATTGACTAGACAGAAAAATTCGAATTAAAAATATCAACTAGACAGAAAAATTCGAATTAAAAAAATCAACTAGACAGAAAAATTTGAATTAAAAATATCAAAGTGACAGAAAAATTTAACAAACGTTTTTATTTCATTGAATTTAAAATGTTACTGTGATATTTTTAATTGGGGTAGAATTATAAAAATCACATTAACCTCTAAAATAAAATGAATTAAAATGTTTAAATGACAAAAAAATGCAAAGCATATTTTTAATTCAATGCAATTAAAATGTCGTTGTGATATTTTTAATTCATGTCGAATTACACGTATTAGATGACGTTTAAAATGAATTGAATTAAAATGACTACTTGACGAAAAAATATTTAGATTTTTTGAATTGGTTTGATTTAAAATGAGTACTTAATGCTTTTTATTTGATTTTATATGTCTTGCAGACATATAAATTTCGCGATTAAAAAATGCAACGGCGTTCCATAGAAAGGTGTTAAACAGAGGTATTGTCTAGTATATTCAGTAAATCTTTGTTAAACATATACTTTTTACGATTTAAACACCGTAAAATAATAGTTTCAAGCTCTATTAAAAAAATTAAAAATCTTGACTTAGCCTGTAGCAAGTTGGGTTAATATTTCAATAACATTTGTGAATATGTCTTTAAATATGTTAATAATATATTTTATATCCTAATTTGTTGCTGTTTTGCATCTTTATGTTTATAGTATAAACTTTAAACATACATATATTTGAATTTTATCATAAAAACAAATAAGTTGGCCAACTATGGGAATAAATTATTTTTTTAAAACGAAACAAATTAAATTACGAAAATTTTTTTTTATGGAATAAGAATGTCTTTAAATATTTTGTTTGTGTTTATTTTTTCTAAAAAAACCTTTAAAACCTTAAAAACAAAAACTTAAAAAAACAGAAAATGTTTAATGTTTTTTTTATTTTTAAAGTTACTTAAAAAAAAAATACCAACAAAATATTCAGTCATTTTATAACAAAATATTCAGAATAAAAACATCAACTTTTCAGTTTGTCATTTTTTATTTTTATTTATTTTGTTAAAAAACGTCTAATGCTGCAAATCCCATATTTAGTATCCTTTCATATTACTTATATGGGTAAAATATACACTGCCCGTCAAAATTAACGTATAATAAGTAAAAAAAATTCTAACTCTTAAGCGCCTTTACCAATCTTTATCAAATTTTGTATAAAAATACTTCAACTTAAATCTCAGTTTACGTGTTTGAGGGTTTTTTGAGAAAACAATTTTTAAAGCCCTTTTATTTAATAATAAAAAATGTTCAAAAAATAATTTTTAGGGATTTTTTTTAAACTAAATAAAAAATATGCTGTTAAAGACCGTATTTTTGTTAGTATACCCTGAAAATTTTGTACAAATTAAACGAACAGTAACGAAGATACATCGCTTCAAAGTCGGTAAAAATGACCCCTTTTTGATTATTTTGCTGAAAAGTGGTCATTTTTGACGACTTTGAAGCGCTGTATTTTTGTTATTGCTTGTTTGATTTGTACAGAATTTTCAGGGTATACTAACAAAAATACTGTCTTTCACAGCATATTTTTTATTTACTTAAATAAATTGCCTAATCTATTAAAATGGCATTTAAAAATTGAAAAAAAATCAGCGGTTCTCAAATAATTTAAAAATAATTTAAACCTGTCAAAACCAAAATTTTTTATAACTTTGTTATTTCTAGGAATTCTGTAAAAAAAGTTTTACATGACAACACACATTTTAATCTAATTTGCGATTTTCTTTCGCCTACTAGATTTTGAGTTTTTCCTATAGCCCGCCATATTGAAATTTTATTAGATAAATTTTTACAAAATTTACTTTTTTTTATTTCCCAGGAATAACAAAACTATAAAGTTTTGGTAGATATAACAGGTTTTTATATCAAACATTTCAAAATTTTCAAAAGAAAACCGCTATTTTTTTATTTCATTTTTGTAGGCTTGTCATTACTTAACTTTTCCCTAATATAACCAACCTTGTAGCTCTTCAAATAAAATGGTGCATCACGCAAATTTGATTCTATTAACCCTGTTTTTACAGTACCTACGTAATCATAAAAAGTATATGTTGAACAAATATTACCACCCCATTAGTTAAATAAGAAAATGTTTCTGTATTTAAAATATTTAAGGCACATTTTCTTATATCATAACGTTAAGTAAGTTTAGCTTTAGATTAAAAATACTTAGATAAATTAATAAAATAATGTGTAGAAATGTATAGAAAAATAGATTGTGATTTAGTAAAATATCAAGAAAAGATATCTCCTTAAGAATATTATTTAAAATGTGTTTAGTTTATTATGACTACAGTATGTCCACAGATAGCATTCAGAATGACTTTAATTTATAAATTTTGTTATCTTAATTCTGAATCCTAAACTGGGAGTTTGTTTGTATAACTAGTTATATTCCAAAATTTACAACAACAAAAAATTCACAGAACTCTCTGAGTATGACCCCTGGGGATCGGAAACTGCAGCCCTCCAAGGAGGGTCAGACACTTCCTCTGGAGGAGATACTGAGGAATACATCCATAGCAAGTGAAGTTTTAGTCTGCGCAAACTGACTCTAAAAAAATGCCGGTAAGAATCTATTTTATTAATAAAAAATAAACATTGTGGATCTGTAAATTTTCTACAAAAAGTCATATACTTTTTTTAATTGAAATATATAATTTAGGTAGTTTATGTAATAAAACGTTTCTTTTTTTTATAGAATTCATCATTCTATAAGAACCACCACCAGCATTTTTAAAACTGCCATAGATTTCATTAAATTTCAAAATAAATTTCACGTTAAATTTAATTTAAATTAATTTAAAATTTGTAATTTATAGGTATTCTTAAAAAAATAAATGTGTCATTTTATTGTATGTATTAATTCTTGAAAATTATTTATTAATTAGTTTCTAAATATTGTGTTTATGTTTAGTTGCATATATATTTTTAAACAATCAAATTAAAAATTACTTATTATCTAGTTTATTCTTTTACTCCCCCCATATGAATAAAAATTAAACAGTTTAAAATATAATATATAATTTATTATTAAAATAGGTAATAATTGTGCTTAAAACTAAAAGAGAGAATAAAAATATTACAACGAAATTAAATAAAAATACATTTTTTATTGTTTAAATACTACTATTTATATAATGAAAAATATACACATACAAAATAAAATCATTTCTAAAACATGCATCAGTCTAAAAATGATAAGCTATAATTTTCGATAAATACATCACAGCCTCAAATATATACAGGGTGTTTAATTTATAGCCAAACAAAAATCTTGAATGGCAAAATAATCTTTGTTTTCTTGGTTTAAATGTTTTTAAAACATTTTTGTCCAATGAGAATTTGAGTATCAAAACTCAAAGCTTTCTATAGGTTAAAAGTCTTTCTTGAGATTTGCGACCGAAAATGCAGGCTCCGATTGGTTAATTACTTTACATACAAAGTAAATTCTCATTGGAAAAAAATATTGTTATATAGTTATAAATTAAAACCTAATTTATTTGTACAACAATTTTTCCTTCACATTTTGGACACTCAATTGGCTCCTCAACAACTCTAACAACTTTATTTTTCGTAAACGTTTCCGAACATTTAATGCATTGGTATTTTAAAACCTTACTCTCTCTAGGTTCCTGATTTATAATTTTATCTTTGACAGCGTTTACGAGATTTCTAGCCTCATCTTCCTCTAGTTCGTAGATACGTTGTTTTCTATCTCTTCTGATTGTATTGAAAGTTATTTTAATTGCCGTTAGAGAGTCTTCTAAAAACTCGCATGTGAGTACGGTGTTGTTATGCCATCTGGCGGTTTCTTTGCTGGTTATCGAGTTTCTTTCAGATATGTGAGTTTCCGTGACGACCACAAACACCTCATCTGAATCTTGTATTTTCGCCAAATACATACTTTCTTCACCCCCCATGTATACATCTTCGCCGTCCGATATGTCCGATTCGGGTTCCTTTGTTTCTTCTTGTTTGATGGTGTTTTCGAACGACTGATCATTTGCCGTTTCAAAATTGAGATTTTCCGATTTTATTTCCGATATATTTTCCATCACATCCGTATTCTCCAACGCTGTTTCGTACGGTGTCGACGATAGCAATGCCATTTTATGTTCCAACCCCAAAACATCCTTCACCAGCAACCCCGACTGATTATTCAACCAAGATTCCCCAAACTCTTTCCGTAAATGTTCCACTTGTTTTTTGATCTCCAAATGTTGCGAGGAAGTCACGCTTGGGCTCGCAGCTATCGTTTTTTCCTCCTTAATGCCCTCCTCTTTTATTTCGACATTCCTAACCCGCCTCCCTCTTTCGGAAACCGAAGTAATGTTCATTTCCTCGGAAGAATTATGCGACGACGTTAAACTGGTCTGTTTTATCGGATAAAATGATCCGACCAAGGTTTTTTCCGACTTGCTCAGCAATATATTGTCCAAAACAAATTTAGTAGTCGCGGTATTTTTGTTTAGGTAGTTGCACGATAAGTTTCTGTGGTGGGGGTGGAACGTTAGGGGGTTCCCCAGTAAATTTAGCGTTTGTAGGGATATAAGGTGCGAAACTGCCAGTAGAGATTTGTGGTCTATAATACAATTTTGACTTAGGTCTATTTGTATTACATTGACAATACTAGCAAGGTTTAAAATGTCTTCTAGAAAGTTGTGGGATATGATTAAACTCTGAAAAAAAAGTTTTGTTGAATATTTGTAATGGTTTTAAGATACAGGATGCCTGTTAAATGTCCTAATAAAGCCTACCACATATTCCTTGGACCAACATTTATTTATTTATTTTTTACAAACACATAAAACGGTGGAACCGAAATGGCGCCAAAAAGGAAAGGTAAGAAAAAATGCTAAAATTTATTTATAGATAGATACATAAGAATATTAACTTGAATAAGTAATAAAATTATATAATAACTTTTTTCTAAAACTAAAATAGATGAGATAATAAAATATATAATATTATTTTAGTATAAATAAAAAGTTTTGTATTCGGAATTTGACGTCAAAAATTTGAGGGTTTAGTTGGCAAATTTATAGTTGGCTACATTGATTAACGCAAAATTATTTATTGGATTTATGCATCACACATTTATTGTTTCATAAAAATGCTGTTTTGTTTTTAAAATATCTTTTGGTTTAAATTTTCTGTTATTTTGGGCATTGTAAATTATAATTTAAATGGAAATGTCAAAGTAAATGTAAGGCATTGAACAGGTGTACCAATTTTAAATATTAAAATACCAAAGTATATAAATATCAGGATTCGTCTGATTTAAATCACGATTTAAATCAAGTAATTTTTTTATTTTAATCAATAATTTAAATCAGTCTAAAAAGAGGTTTAAAAAGTCTAAAAAACACTTAAGATATGAAACTAAAGCACAATAATATCTTAACACTATTTAAATAAATTCATATGCACAGAAAAACAGCTTATTTTGTTAAATAAAATAATAAAGGAATATACAAAAAAATATATGACAGTTGCGGACGGTGGTTTATTTGTTTATAAAGTAGTGCCAATATAATATTAATATAGTCAAGTTATTTTTAGTATTATTTTTAATAGTACACTTTATTAAAAAATTAAAAAAATAAAAAAAAATCATTTTTTGTTGATTTTTTAAATAAAAGTCATTGATTTTTGTTTTTTATTAAATCATGATTTTTTCGAACCCTGATTTATATACAGTACCAACATAATCAAATGTGTGAAATTTCGAATAAAAAAAACATAATTTTAAACATATTTTATTAAAATAAACATAATAAACAATACTTCCAATGGAAGGTTCAGTAAATAATTTACTGAACCTTCCATTGGAAGTATTGTTTATTATGTTTATTTTAATAAAATATGTTTAAAATTATGTTTTTTTTATTCGAAATTTCACACATTTGATTATGTTGTTAATTATTATATGCCCAAATAAATTGTTTAAAATTTTTTTATTTTAAACTTTTTTTAATAAATTTTACAAAACTATTATTTTATTAAGTAATTATTTAAATCCTCGCTAATGTTCTCCCAATTATATAAATATGTTTGGCAGTACCTTATGATATTTTTTAGTTCCTAACATACCATTTCCTAGATGTTTAATAAAAAAATAGGGGATTTTTTTTGTTTATAAAATGACGCATTTTTAATAAAAACATTCCTTAAAGCACCCAAAATGCCAATTTTATTTTTGTAGAACAAAAATTTTAATTTTTTGTAGTATTTTTTATTAATTAATAATAAGATAAAATATACTATTTGATACATATTAAAACAAACATTCCATTCAAGCACCAAAAAAAAAACATTGTAAAAAAATTAAATATTGTTTTTTACTGTTGGAATCTCTTGGGAAAATAAAAATTTATATGTGGCAATAACTTTATTTTAGAGAGTAATTTAGAGCATAATTTTACCAAAAAACAATTCACTATCAAACAAGCATAAAACTAATTCATCATAGTAAAATTTGGCAACCATGTTTTTACTGAATAGTCCATAAACTTTTAACATAAAATTAGAATTTATTAACATAAGTTAAATATCCTTATATAATTTTTAAGATAGCTTGTATAAATGTTGATTAATTTTATTTACATTAAAAAATCCCATTTTTTGGATACCCACAATGTTTATGTTTCTTAGTTATTATAACTTCCCTCTCCGTCACCGTAAAAAGCGTAATTATATTATTTATACTTCCGCATCCGCAAAAACTTATGATTGACATCTGTTTCTGCTTATGTTATGCACATTTATGTTGGTTAAAAGTTAAATGGAAAAACAAACAACAATAAATGGTGATTGAGTAATACAGTTTGTAACAAGTTAACTTAAATCAACTCTTTTTGATCTAAAGAATATGTAGATAGGTTTTTGTATAGAACTGCACAACAATCCTGAGTTCATAAAATGTATAGAATGTAAGTGTACCTTCTATGTACTAACCTGTAATCTGTTACAAATGGGTCCTCGAAATTGTGGAACATTAACCAATTTATTGTAGGACAAGTTTAAATGCTTTAAATTTGGTAAAATATTAAAACAATTAAAGTTAGTTAACTCATTGTGGCTTAAGTCCAATGTTTGAAGGCATGGGGTTGTATCAAAGTTAACATCCAATTCCTTGATTCTGTTGTTTGAAAAATTTGCTAACTTTAATTCATTCCACGTGAATTTGCTTGTATTGTCCCCAGCACATTTATCAAGTATATCGGCAATACTACAATGGCAATGTGTAAAAGTGATTTGCTTCAACTGAGATCGTAATTTTTGCAGCCCTATGAGAAAATTTGTGTTTATTTTCTGACATTCCAGGTTTTTAAGGCCACTAAACTTCCTAATATCTATGGAACCCTCATATTTCTCTATGTCAGGTACAATTTTTAAATTGACAGCTGTTTGTAAGAAATCCTCAAGAAATTGTATATCCCTTTGTTGCGTCACCTTAATGTTGCTTAAAACTTGAAACGACGAGCTCATATCACCTCCCAGGGAATTCTCATTAATCAAATTGTTGAATCTGTGTAAATAATTTACTGACACGCACAGTGTCTCCTTCCCGCTTGAAATACTTTTGCATGTTGGTCTCAGGATGTTTATTATTTGCGACAAGTCTGGCGAATCCATTTTAAAAGCACTAAAAGAATGTAGAATAAACAAAACCACCTTCAAAACATTTTTATGGCGACTTCTGACGTTACGATGACGTTAGGCGTAGAAGGAATGTGCTAGTAGTTCATTTGTACCGAGGTGCAGTGTCGGACTATAGGCGTGACATGAAAAGTACAGCATTGGACGTTATTAGTGTAATGGTATTAAAAGAGAATTTAATCGTAATACGTTTATTTATTGATCAATTTATAAGGGTAATTATACATTTTATAAAATAAATTAGGTATGGAATAGAACTTACATAATTATCACTTTTAACAACAGTCTCATTGGATTTAGATGCTTTTCAAATTTACACATATTCTTCGTTGTCGGATATTTCTTCTTCGGAAAAAGTGAACCAGGAATCTGCTAAAAGAATAATTAAAAATGGTAAATTTAAAAATAATTAATTTTACCGTCCGAGTCTTCTTCTTCAATATTGTTTCTTCTGCGCCGGTATGTGCGCACCACGGTAGTTTCCACGTTGAGGTCCAAACTCATTCTGATGTCCAAAACCACAAAACCTACTGTTATAAGTATGGGCAGACGGTATCTACTTGCCCAGGCCAATTTTAAAAGAAATAAAAATGGCTTCATTTTTTTCTACTTGTTTTGTTATTGGCGCGCCTGAAAAAATATTTTCGGGTTTATTTTTTGTCAATCAAAGAGTTTTTAACTTCTAAAAAGAAGTTTTTAATTTTTTTTACATTTGACCTACTTTTATTAAATATTGATTATTCAAGGTTTTGTATTAATTAATTATGTTATAACTTAACTACATCAAGGTCGGGATTTTATTAAATCAAAAAAGCTGTTTAAAAATTTATTATATAGATATAGGTATAAATTTAACAAAATAATCACAATTTTTGGAATATAAAAAAAAATATATAACTATAATAATAAAAAACATCCACCATTATATTAAGTGTGTGTAATAAAAGCTATTCAAGCTAAATTCCTTTGTTCCCATTCGGCATCGAAATAATCAATTGTTGCGCCACTTTTATAATCATCTTTCAACAAAATATCTAGCAACTTATTGACAGTTTGCCCGGCTGTCAAAATATTTTTTTTCCCATCAATAAACATCTGCCTGACCTCAGCCGTGGCCGCCTTATCGGCCACGTTATTGTACATATCGGTATCGACAGGCCCAGGCGAATAATTCAGAACCGCCAGACCAGGCGGAGGGTTCTCCAAGGCTAAAACTCTGAAATACTGATCGCGGGCGGCTTTCGTAACCCCGTACATCGCCATGTCCTTGAAAGGGGCGCGGCCACACAGTGACGTCATGTTCACCATGACGACGCGTTTTGTTTTGACGCGCGTCAAAAACGACGACGTTAGCAGGCATGTGGAAATGAAGTTTACGTCAAAGTTGGCGCGCCATTGGTGGATATCCGTCAGTTCTACTGAGGGTTGCAGTAGGCCTGTTGTACCGGCGTTGTGAAACAAGTAGGCGCTGTTCAAGGTGTCTAGATTTAGCGTGGGTGTAATTTCGTCCAACAGTTGGTTGTAGTAGTTTACGTCGGGGTTACTTAGATCGTTGCTTTTAACTATGATGTTTTCCTTGAGGATACCTGAATTAGTGTTTAGAATTTCGTTTTTCGTATCGTTCAACCCCTTGGAATCTCGCGCGAGCAAAACAAACTTAATATTAGTGGATCTTTTGGCAATTTCAAGCGCAATAGCTTTGCCAATGCCTCTTGATGCACCAGTGACAAAAACAAAAATAGGTTGTGACCAATCCAACTTAATGTCACCCATTTTAACTTATCTTTAACACAAAATCTACACAAAAAAGTACCTTAAGGTGATTTATCGTCTAAACTAAGACAATCTGCATTCTCGTTGTTGAGTTGATCGTACTTGACCAATTCCACAATTTCTCCTTGGTTTAGGGCTTGTTTTTGCGGTTGCAGGGTTCTTATGATGTGCGAATTCGGCACAGGGGTGTCCAATTCAATGTTTTCGTCTTCGTAGAATGGATCTGCAAGCATTAATTGTTGCATGCAAGATTCCCTTTTCTCGGCCAATTGACGTAGTACGTCTGGGTCTGACTTGATTTTTCTCAGTTTTTCTTCTGAAATAAACAATTAACAATATTAACAACATTAACATTAACAGTTACCTACATTTTTAATAATAATCATTATAGATGTCTATGAATGAATTTTATGTTGAAATTGTATAAATACAAGCAAAATTTGGGCATAATAGACCCAATTACAACAAAAAACTCATTATTTACGTTAGTGGTGGGCTAAACCGCTATTTTTAAGTAGCAGTTAAAACAGTTACCGCTTTTTTTAAGTAGCAGCTATCAAATAGCTGCTTAAAAGAAGCAGTTTATCCGAAACGGTGCTCGTGGGAATAGACCACAGCCGCTGACAGCGGCACGCGTGTTTCTTGCGCATGTTTCATTTTAAAACGGCTATTTGGGTTTGCTATAGCGCTATAGTAGCGAATCGCTTCTGCTTGGCTTACAAACGTCTAGGGAGAGTTCACAGAGATCTTTACTAGCAAATAATCGCGATCTTTTGCAATGATTGGAAATTATAATGTTGTTAATAATGATTTTCTATGCTAGGATTAGGTTTAAAAAATTAAAAATAGCTTAGATATGAATAAATTTTAGTATTAAAAATCCGAGTTTAAAAATTAAAATTTTTTTTACTCGGCTGCAAATTAAAACTCATTTTTATTTAAAGTGTATAACATATTAGTCTGTAACTTTACCTCCGTTAGTAAAATGATTTTACTAAAATCCCGACATCAAACAGCAGTGGCGCTGTCCAAGGCCGAGTAGCAGCTTTTTGATATAGCGGAATTCGAAACAATACGTTAAATGCGATCACAAACGGCGGAGTTAGGTTATGTTGTTGGTAGCAGCTTTTTTTAAAACCGGGTAACAGTGATAGCTGCTTCAGCAAAATAACTGTTAAAAAATAGCAGCTTACGCGATAGCAACCCACCTCTAATTTACGTATAAATACAAAACAGACAACCCACAGAGATACGTCGTATCTATAAGCAATAATTACAAACTTACCTAAAATGGCAAGATACTGTTCACTGTCTGGAAGTTTGTCGTTCTGACTTGGCGAAAAATTATCCTCGAAATTTAAAGTAATGGGAATTTCCGAAATGACCACGTCCGATTGACAAGTTATCCACGGATCCATATTGGTGATTTTCCTTCGTTAAATAGGTCGAGTAAATTTGAACTACTACCCAGAATCATGACCCAGTGTTGCCAGATTAGTATTAAGGAATTATCGAATTAACCTTTCAAATTTCAAAATTATCACTAGAATTATAATAATGCTCCACATCAAAGCCCCAACTTGACATTTGAAAACATTTATGTTAATTGTCAGTTTAACGCTAAATTACAAAAATTATATAATAAACATATTTTTTGTGTTTTACATTAATACACAAAAAAAACTTGTTATATTTTTAAAAAAATATAAGACAAATGGATCAAAAATTTAAATGGCAGCGCAATCTAACAAAATTTTAACTCCTTTAGTTCACTCTTCACCCAATAGATGGTGCTTTAAAAAAATTTTGAAGGTAGGCAACCAGGTTAACATACGTCTGTAATCTGTATAGACTAGGTAGTAGAAGCATATACTTAAGTATATGAGTAGAAGTTTTAAAAGCGCCATCCATGTAAAAAGGCCCGAAATAAATTCATCGCTATTAAACATTTTTTAATAAAAGTTCAGATCTACTTGGATAGATGGCGCAGCTCACAAAAGTAGGCAACCAAGATAAAACAACCAGGAAGTGATTGCCTACATACAAAATATCACATACTTCCACACAAGCATGTGCAAAATATCATATACTTGGTAAGTATATGCAAAATATTGTTATCAGCGTCATCTATCCAAGTAAGGTTGTACTAAAGTTGCCTTGGAATAAGTTCAGATTTTTTTTTACCATATATTTTTTAAAGTACCATTTTATAAAACGATTGGATATCATTTATTACATTTAACGTAAATCAAATGTACCACCTTTAGTCTATTCTGAAACATAGGTTTTTAAAAGTTTTTAAAGAAATTTTGGGATTTGAGAAGAAGTATTTTTAATATATTGCTTAAATAGAGTAAAATAAGACAGTAAAATGTTAGTTTAGAGACCATATTAACAAAATTACATCATTTTATTATTTCTTTGGTGTTTAAGCTCATATTGTTCTGGAGTTAGACTGGGATCCAATCCATGTAGTTTCATCTGCACCACAATATCAAAAAGATAGTCATAACATTCAGTCATTGTTTTAGCTTGCTGCCAAGAATCTCCCCAAACATAAACCTGTATAATATATAAAAAACAATATAATAAACACAATATGTATAAAACCATGTCATAAATACCCCATGTCTTCTAACAAGAACAGCACAAGTTTCAGGATACTCATTTATGGTCTGTTCAAGACGATCTTTCAAATCTTCCTCAAAAGGTGTATTTTCAATAATTGGCACAGTTAAAACTTCATCATATCGATAATTCCTTCCCAACTTCTGATTTTTAATGCCCTTGATCATTTCCAAATGAGTGCATTTGAATTCTTTCCCTGGGAACAACATTGTAGCCATTACCGCACTTTTTGAGTGTGTATGTATGACAGCTCCTGCATTTCGTTGCTTATACGCGCACATAAATAGAGGCGTGCATTGGCTTTTTCTCAGTTTTTTCTCTGGAGGTGGCAACTCTAAATCCTGTCCATCAATGTCTTGCACAAAGATTTCATCAGGCTGTATTCTTTCTTTTTGCACTGCTGAGGGGGCGATATATATGTCGTTTCCATGTTTAATGCTTATTCCACCGCCTGAATGCAAACATTAGCGTAAAATTTACCATTTATATAACCCCAAAATTTGAAAATGTCACATTTTGACGTATATTACGAGGAAGTAGTTCAAATAAACCAACCCAAAGAAATTAAAAATTATTACCTGTTCCGGTTACCCAGCCTAGATTGTAAAATTGTCTGCATAACTCAGGAATCAAATTTCTTGGGTGCTCTTCACTGTAATCCTTATTCCGGAACGACATTTTTACAAATAAATTAATTGCCAAGCCAAAGATCAAAGGTCAAAATTTTCAAGATAAACTTTTTTTGACCACAACGTTTGTTGTTTGCAGTAAGATTATTATTATATATATACATATACATTGTTTACATACATGTATATTTTTCAACAGTGATAAATATAATCTTACTGCAAACCACAACCCCCAAACAAAAAAGAAACGTACAAATAAGCAAAATTTTACATAAAAATGTAATTTGCTTGCGTATTTTTGAAAGTAGATTTACTTAAATTAAATATTATTTACATAGTAAAAAGCAAAATATTTTTGTTTATTATTAAGATTTAATTAACATCATGATTAACATTAAAAACGCTGTTAAAATATGCTGCTAGGCAACAGGATATTAATAAATTGTGATCGGGGTTGCCTATACATGCTTCGATATCGATAAACGTCAAACTGTCAAAAATGTATTCATAAAAATTAATAATAAACACGAAAAAACGTGTAACAAATAATGTGAAACAAGGAATTTTTGGACCACTTGTAAAAATATACCTTATCTTATCTATGCATAATGCAGTCTGTCTAATCAGCATTAAATTAATGCCATTATTGATTTAAAAAAGACGCTACCACGCGTATGCAGTTAAAAACTAGTTATGAATTTAGAGGAAGAAGCAATTGAAGAAAACAACACAGATAATGTTTCTAAAGAGGTAGAAGAGACAACAATTGAAGAAGACAACCCAAGTAATATAACTGAAGAGTTGGAAGAACCCAATAAGGATTGTGAGGTTTTTATTTGTCCTGTATGTTCAGAGGGGTTTCCCAGCAAAGAAGCAGCTGAAAATCACGTGAAAGACCACATTAAAGTGCTAAATACAACTCAAGTTAGCAACAGAAATGGAAAATTAGAAATTGAGGTTAAAGAAGAACCAAACGACAACTTTGAAGAGGTTGTCTTTCCATTTATTAATGATGATGATGATGAGTATAAGAATCCTTACTACAATTTGGAGAGCATAAGGCCTGAGAAAGTGAAGAAAAAAGAGCTTGAATGGAGCGAATATCACTGTAAACGCTGCAATAAATACTTTCATAACGAGTATCATTTGAATTTGCATGGTAAAAAGGTGCACAAATTCGATTTTAAATGCTCTAGATGCCACAAACCGTTTAATTTCGAGGAAAGGTTAAAGGAGCATGAAAAAAGCCACATGTTCCTTGAAATAGGTGAAGAACGTAAAACAAAAGAGGAAGATATAAAAAATGAAACAATGGAAAACGAAGAAGCCGCTGAAACCAGTGAACATAAAGTAAAAACGCACAAGTTATATGAGAATAAGGAGGTTAGGTGTGAATTATGCGATAAAACATACAAAAATGAGAGTTATTTGAGCAGACACAACACCATGGTGCACAAAAAGCGTTTTCAATGTACCACATGTGGTAAAGAATGCGAAAATCGTCAAAAACTAAGCTACCATGAGTTAACGCATAGCAATACCAAAATATTTATATGTTCGGTTTGCGGTAAAGGATTCAATTTCAAACAACACTTAAACTTGCATGAAAAATGTCACAGTGGGGAGCGTCCATTTTCATGTGATATATGTGAGGCTTCCTTTAAACTAAAACAACAACTACAAACGCATGTACAGTGTGTTCACAGTGAAGAGAGACAGTTTGAGTGCAATGTTTGTAATAAGAAGTTCAAGTTGAAACCCCAACTGCAAATCCATATGAACTCTCACAATGATATCAAGCCACACATCTGCAGTTTGTGCCAGAGAGGTTTTGGTTATAAAGCTGCACTGGAGACTCACTACAAGATGCATTTCGATATCAGGGAGTTCCCCTGTGAATTTTGCAATAAAGAGTTTAGAACCAAACAATCGCTCGAGGTTCATGCTAAGATTCATTTGGATCTAAAGGAGTTCTCATGTCGTCACTGTGGGAAGATGTTCAGAAGGAAACAAGCTTTGGATATACATGAAAAAATCCATTTGGATATAAAGGAATATCCCTGTGAAGTTTGCCATAAATTGTTCAGAACCAAGCAACAGTTGCAAGTACATGAAACTGTCCATGAAAAAAATGGTGAAAATGATGGTGATGATGATATGGAAATTGAATGTAATCTTGATGAAATTAAAGATGATCCTATAGAATTGCCAAAAGAAATACAAAATGGTGTGGAATCTACCCCAGCAATAATTAATTAATATTCAACGTTTTATTTAACTGACAGCATTGGAACTAGAAAACAAGATAAAATAATTCAAAACTTCTTTTTGAAATTTTCATATCCAAAACCCAGGCTGGTTTGGAATTTTTGGATTTTACGACGTATTGACTGTACTAACAGACTCTCCCAAAGGGACTGCGCTGATTTTAATGTTATATTTTTTGTCATGAGTGTAATTTTTACACTATTTTGAATTGTGCATTAGTGTTTAATTTAATTAATTATTTAGATCATACAAAATTATACTTTATTCATGTTTTACTTTTATAGCATAGTTTATTAATTCTTTATTTTCTAAAAATGCATGGAATTTAAATATAAAAATTAAACAAACACATATTTAGTTTTATTAAACTTTTATTTTGGTAAAATTATCACAGAAATAAAATACATAAAATAAATTAACAAAAAAAAACATTAATCTAGCTTTGCTTTAACATTCTCATATTTTTCTTCAATATTATTTTTACTTTCATTTTCTTCCTCAATTAATTCATTGGGAGCAAAAATTTGGTGTAAAAGTACAAGAACAATAACAAATGTTAAAAAATAATTCAGTCTGTAAATTGATATGGGTGCATATATTAAAACTAAACCTGTTATACCTAAAATTATTTCCGAAACTTCTTTATTCCAGCGCCTAAAAATATTATATTTATTTAACACCTATTCTATACAGGGTGTCTTGAAAATGAGGTACCACTACTGTTCATAACAAAGATAGATCTGTATTTTTTATTTGTAGACCTAAAAGGTCGGTTATAGAAAAAAAAGTTGCGTAATTACAAACCTATTAAAATAAAATTGTTAAAAACAGCTGTTTTCAATATACTTGAAAAAAACTAAAATAGTGTCCAAACCAAAAATGGTCTGTTAAACTTAAAAACATTTTCTTCCATATGTTGAGTTACCATCGCCATCTTTTGTTTTTATGATGGCCGCCTTGATTTTTTCTATCAACTATTTAAAATTCCAATATGGCGGCCATAGGAAAAACAAAAGATGGTGTTGGCAACTCAAATCTAGTGGGCAAAAAAAAAACACAAATTGGATAAAAATGTAGATAAATGTGTATGTTTACATGTGAAACCTTATTAATTTCCATTACACTAGGTGACCTTTTAAAAACACATTGAAAAGTTGCGGCTTTATGGCGCTTTAGTCACGGGCTGAAGTTGGCAACAGGTTTTTAGTCACGGGCTGAAGTTAGTTTTAAGTTAGTTGACAGTTGTCAAATGTCATACAATTGATAAAATAAAGTGCCTTTCTCGTAAAATAATACTAAATGTGAAAATGATTTTATTATCTCAATACAAAAGTATTAAATAATTTCTTGACGCCAATATTTGAAAAGAATATATGCTCGTTTGTAGCAGAGTTCGAAAAAATCATGATTTAAAAAAATAAATAAAAAATAAATGATATTTATTAAAAAAATCATAAAAATAAAATAAAAATGATTTTTTTAATTTTTTTTTAATTTTAATCTTTTTTGAAAAAGTTTACTATTAAAAAAAATAATAAAAATAACTTTTAAACCTGATTTAAATCATTGATAAAAAAATCAATTGATTTAAATCGTTGATTTAAAATGGCGTTTATCAAATTTTAAACATAATATACTATTAAATTCTCAGAAATAACAGAGTAACAACGATTTTTGCCGCAATTTTTTTTTCAATATTCAATTGACATTTTAAGAGACATTTAATTACGCAAATTCTCTTTAATTTAACCCACCTTTTATAAAAGCTATAGCTCTTCAAATAAAAAAAGATTCCCATACATAAAACTTGGTGCACCCAGTATGGTAATACTTTTAAATATTGCTAATAAAAATACAAAAAAACTTACTTTCTTTTCGGTAAGTCCATTTGCCACAAGGGAAATGCGCAAATACTAAGTACCATACCAGGCAAAAATGATGGGTCAGGAGTGAGGAAAATACTGTACCTAAAAAATAACGTTAAAACAAAAAAAAATAAAAATGCTTTTTAAAGAAATACTTAAAATTATGTGCCCAAGTTAAAACAATAGGAACATTCACTAATGTTAATAAAGTCCATATGAAAAATATGCTGGAATGAAAAAATATTGTATTGTGAGCAGTAAATTTTATTTGTCTATTGCTTCTTTCGGTTTCATTTTCAACCAAATTTTGCACCTCCTCTATTTGGTTTTCATCTCCAACTATTTGACTGTCATTTTCCTCAAGTTCCTCTATTTGTTCATCAGGGATTTCTTCAATTTCAGAGGGTTTTTGTTCTTTTATTTCATCTTCTTCAGTTTCTTTTATTTTTTCATCTAAATCTTCTATTTTACTGGTACTAGCAATGGGTTCCTTATCAGTATCTTCATTTTTATCAACAACTTCATTTTTCACCTCTTCCACAATATTTGTATCTTCATTTTTGATTACCACTGCATTTTCTATGGACAAATTCTTTCTTTCTTCATTCTTCTTCCTACTAAACCTCTTAGCGATAGCCTTCTTCAACATTCTGGCGTAATTCTTGATGAAAAACCAGAACACTTCCTCGATATAATCTTGACTCATTTGCGTTAACTTTAAGAAATAAAAAAGTGTCCCCAAACACAACGCCAGTCCACCACAGGCTCTTATAGAAACGAAGATTAAAATGCAAGCCACTACAAAAGGTAGTTTATGTAAAGCTGATAGTAAATATTCGGTCCAGGTGACCGGAAAACGTACGGTTTTGGCCAAGAACCTAAAAATAAACACATTTAGTAAAAGTGTGTGTATCTCAAAAAGTACAAAACCAAAACATTTCAAATTTTAACACGTTATAAAGCATAAAACTCTATATATTTTTAACAAATTTTAACTTTATAACTCAAAAAACACCAAAGATATGAGCCGTTTTCAGTTTGGGACATTTGAACTACTGGAATTATCGACCCTGAAAACACGTTTAAACTTACTTTAAGGCGGCTGTGTTCATGCTGGACTCCGTTACCACTACAGAAACGCTAAAAACTACGACCAAAATCCACACAATACCAACGCTTGTCATGTAAAGTAAGAGCGGTAAAAATAGGAACTCCATTCCGTCATCTTTAAGAATGTCCCAATCGGGGACTGGTAAGACGTTTACAATGAATGGATTACTAAAAAAACAAATAAATAACACTGATTTTATTTGTCATGTTGGTACCTTAAGAATTTTGACAGTAATTTGACAGCTGTCAAAGTGTAGTAGGGTTTCAAACCTTCCGCCATGGCGGTAAAAAACAACGGAAAACTGCCGTCCTGAAAATTTTTCAGCTGGGTCCTGAAAGTCAACAAAACCACTGCGGCAACGTTGGTTAATAGTAAGGTGTTGTAATGTCTTGAAAGTTGCCCCAAAATTCCCATAATATTGGCTTGTATACTAAAAATAACAAAATAATATTTACCTAGCAAAAAAAAACAAAAAATATTCAGGTACCTAATTTCATATTCACAACTCGGATCTAAAGTAAACTTAATTCTCGCCATTTTATTATTATTATTCGGCCTAGAACTGTGCAACCTTACATTGAACGCGCCACTTTTCTCGTTCCTACAAAAAACACCGTTAAATCCGACAACATCGCTCGAAACGTTGCCAAACGTACGTGTAATGCTGCTGCGTGTTCTGGTTGGCCCACGGCGCGCTCAACTGCGCAGTCGCGTGGTGATAATCCGTCAAGCATTTACGCGGTTCAACCAGTAAATTATAAGATTGGTAGACGTGTTGCAAATCGGGCACTGTTAGTTCCAAATCTAGGGAATTTTTCTTTGTTTTCGCCGTTACAACCTGTTTTTTAAGCGAGTATACCTTCGGCAAGTCTATTACTAGGGTGCGCTCCATTTTTTTGTAGATATCAAAGTGTAAAACGACCTGAAATTATTTATTAGGCGGTGTTTGTTTACTTGGGGACTTTTGTTTTACCGGTTCGTCGGTTGGCAACACTCTAACCATGACATGTGTCATTCCCTGATATGTGTTCAATAATTCTTGCATGTTTATTCTTATAGTACGCCTTTTGTACTTTGCAGAGGGCGCTATAAGCGATTTATGAGATAAATGTACACCGTTTGTACTAAAAAATAATAATTTTGACAATAAAATCAACAAAAACGTTATAATTCTACCATTTGCCATCTGAGTTGGCTTGGCATAAAAACACCCAATCAGTGACCTCCAAATTGACAGCCAATATACTCAAAATATTGTTTTCTTTCAAAGGGACCATATACCATTGCATTTGTTTGACTCCCTTCAACAAACTCACAGTGTATTGTTTATTTTGTATTGCCGTCCATAATCCTTGAGGATTTATATTATATTTGTCGCTGTATGATTTAATTTGCCTTATTTTGATACCACTATTCTGAAATCCAAAAAGAACTGTCAAAACACATTACAGAGATGGCTTTGACACTGACAACCAATCGCGGCACAGTGTGGGCGTGGCTTATGTGATAAGCCTACTTACATTAATTAAGTGATGTTTGAAAACAGCATCTCTGTAAAGAACATCTTCAGAAATTTGCTTAGTTTTAAGATCAACACTGTCAAAAAGAGCTCTATTTATAGCCAAAACAGTTTGTTTGCACCACAATATTTGCACATGGTTTGCTTCCACATTAGATAAAGGTATATTAGTTGTCTAAAACAATTTTTTAAGCCTTATTTCCACGTTTTCGTAACTTTACTTACCACAGCTTGTATGATACTTTGATTTTTTACGTTGGTTAAACTGGCTGGGATCAAAAAGTCACTAAATCCGCCTGCTAGACTTATAAATGTGGATTTATCGGGGATATTTGTACTAAGGCCTTCATAAAATTTGTTTAAGTGAGGGTCAAATAATACTGGTGGTCTTTTGAGAGGGGTAGCTAATGTTATAACTATTGGTATTAGGCTAGATTCACTATCTAATGTTGTTAATATTTTATAAGCTAATACTCCACCCTAAAATATAAATACTATGTTATAATTTTACGTTTTTTAAACCTAGGGTGAATAAATATTTATTTACATAATAATTAATTATTAATTGTTATTTAGCTTACCATAGAGTGTCCAACAAGTATCACAGATGTGGGGGCATTTTTGCCCTTGTATAAATCCAAAACCCTATAAATTGAATGGTTGACATAATTTAGTTGATCATTTAAAAGAACCCCGCTGATTCCACTGAATTCTTCATTCAAGTTCACGGTAAAATAGTCAAAATGATATGGCGCATTTTTTGTTAGAGCTTTCCTCAGAGCTATAGATGCTAGGGACCTCACTATAAATAATATTACAGTCTTAAATATATTTTTATGTGCATTTTTTTAAACCTTGTTTGTATGAGCCCCGATTTCCAGGTATAAAAAGTACAGGGATTCCTGTAAAATCCATTTTTCTCGCCCTTTCAGTAAGCCGACCTTCGCTGTACGCATACAATTCATATTTAGGGTATTTTTTGTCAATTTCATGAGATATCCGCTGAAATCATGTAATATTGCCAAATTCTATAAATAACTATTACAAATTCCACAAAAAACTATAAATAAGTTTACACACAACTTCCTTTCATTAAAAATATTAATATTTTAATAAAAATTCGCATAAATTAACCAATTTAATTATAATTAAAAAGTATAACCTATAACTTACCACAAATTGCGGATATTCGAACATATAAGTCATCTCGCATTGATCTATTTCATAGTCGGTTAGGAATTTTAATAACCCCACAATGTATCCACAGGTAATTATCAAGCAAAATACCAAAAAACCGCTTAATATTCTCATTTTATTAACAAAATAACAAGAAATTTTAAGATTCGCACCGCCTGTACTGACAGATGACAGATAAAAGCGCAGTTGCCACGTTGACTTAACTTCTCTTTAAATAGGGAAAGTCTAGTCATTAATTTTGTATTACAATCTCACCCTAAATCTACCAAAAAAAAACCTATTATATGTATAATAAAACAGATTATCTAAAAAATAAAACAAATAAAAACTAATGAATATTCTCTATTAGTTTTAGAGGATCATTCTATGATACATTCCAAATGAATATTCCTAGAATGAAGCGTATTATTCCAACAGTTCATTTTTTTTATCTGGACTGTGGCTTAAGCCACCAACCTAACAAAAAAACATGGCATAATTATGCCAGTTTTACTTAGTATTTTTAGTATTTAATTAAATACTTTGACACTGTCAAATTGACAATAATATTTATTATTGATAATTTACTTGTCAATTATAAATAAAAAGATAATTATGCAAAAAATAATAGCAACGAATTCGAATGTAAAAGCCCTTTTGAGGGCATAACTTCATTTTGATGAAATTATACCAAATGCAAGAAAAAGTACACTCAAAAAAATATTTAGTAAATTTACACATCTGATCGTTGGTTATTTTGATGCCACGTATTTAAATGTATATGTACAAACATACTGTAAAACTACATTTAATGTGTAAAAATGCAAAGGTCATGGAAATGTAAAATTTAGGAAAATAATAGTACAAGTACATTAAAAATTGTAAAAGCACATAAATTTAAGGATTTATTACATAATAATATGAAAAACTACATATTAATTTAAAAAAATACATAAATTGATGCTATTTTACTTATGTAAGTATGTGTGTACATGTTTTATATGGAACAACACATTTCTTAAGTAAAAAAACAGAAATAAATGTGTGTTTGGATGTGTAAAATTTCGTAAATTTTTTTCAGTGTACATCGCCTCATGGACATTTTTGGAGTAAAAAAGTAACGAATTTGGGTTTATAAATATTACATCACACAATATTTTCATATTATTCACCACTGGACAACATTTACGTTCACAAAAAATTTTAATTTCTTTTATATAAATTCTTTTCAAAGCGAAGATTATTATCCGCTGGGAATACTTTCTCTTCTGGGCCGTAAATTAACCTATATTTAACTAATTTTTTTTATATGATTTTACTCATCCACCAAAGTCAAATTAATTGCATTTTTAACTACGAATTTCGACAACTTAACTTGACAACTGCACAATGTAACCTACAATAATTTATACATAACCACAATTAGATTTATAACTAGCTTAGTTTGTTTTAATCAATGCGACCAACTTGACAACTGTATTTACCAACCAAAACCCTAAATTTGCAACGTTGCCGCAGTCCAGATAAAAAAAATGAACTTTAGGTGATAGGGCATATTCGTGGAATATTTTTGAACCTTCATTGCAGTCTGGGAATATTATTTTGGAGTTTTAAATTAAAACTGTATTTACTTGAGTATTTTTTTATTATAAAACGATATAACCGCGTACATCTCTTACATCTACTAAAATAACCTAATTATATAATACAACCGATTATCTACAAAATAATAACAAATAAAAAGTAAATTAAAGCTTTTTAATTAGTGTACGTTCTTGCCGTTCGTAACTATTCTATGATTTAATGTGGAAACAGATTCTTTCACTGAACCATTGGATTTTTGTGGAAAATCTTCGATTTTTGCTGAACCATTCGTTTTAGCGGCTGTTTGCTTGGGTGTGGGGTCTATAACGAGCCCCCTCATGCATAACGAGACTACTGACCATGGCACAATCCTAAAAAATTATTAAAAACATTATTTTTACAAGTTTTCAAAATTTGACGTGCGGCGCCATCTATCAGTCAATAGTGAAACCTATTACTGTCATTGGTGTCAAATTTGAATTGTCAAACTTACATTCTCAAAACAAGTGCAATGCTGAACCAATTGGGCATAAGTACAACCGTCTCATCTTTTTGCAAGGCCTCAATAATCCTGTCGGCAACATCGTTCGGTTTAAGGGTGGGTATGTACCTGGCATTCACGTCGTTAAACATTCCAGTGGACTGTATGAAGAACGGGCATATTGCCGTAGTTTTTACGCCAAAAATGCCTTGGGATTCCAATTCGACACGTAGGGCGTCATCGAAACCGACCGCAGCGTATTTTGTCGCGCAGTAAGTCACCAATTTGTTGCTACCCACAAAACCGGCCATAGAAGCAACTGTGACAATGTGACCGTGGTTTTTTTCGATCATTTTTGGCAGGAAGGACTTGACTGTCTAAAAAAGTGGATCAAGTAAGTCAATTTGATTGTTTTTTTTACTTTGAAGGTAAATATTGTGTTAGTAAAACACTTTTAAGCTGGCTATGACAATTTGACGTTTAAATGTCAGATAGGTATTCAAATGTTGATCAAGGTGAGTAAATTGATTGTTTTTTAAAATTTTAAAATAAATAGTTCAATGTAATGAATCAAAATAGCGTTTATTATACAGGATTAACATTAAAATTGATTCTGTTCTACTTATTTAAACTCTTTTTATCAAAGAAATCTAAAGATCGCGGTATATAATTCCATAAATAGAACAAAAAGTAGCGTTATACTTAAACAATTTTCTACGTTCATTAATAATTGCAAAAAATCGTAATTTAATCGATTTAGTCCAATGATCTTTAATGTTACCACACTAAACAAATAATTATTCAGTTTCATCACATAATAAGTGTCAAGCATACTCATATAATAAGATAATATTGCGAATTATTTACCCAAAAATGTGCGATTACGTTAACCTCGAAAGTTTTCTTAATTAGGTGATCAGGGGTGGCCAAAAGGGTGTCACCAGTCGCGATTCCTGCGTTATTTATGAGAATTTGTACCTAAAATTAAAAAAAAAAATGAATTTTACACTTTCTGTACAGGGTTTTGTAAACTTACGTCTCCCACTTCTTGGCGTGTAATTTCTGCGGCTTTATACACGTCATCTTTATCGGATATATCACATTTAAAGGCAAAAGCCTTTCCTCCTATGCTATTCACTAAATTTACGGTTTCTTCTAAACCTAAAAATAATAAAATTTTACATAGGTAAGAAGTATGGGTTTTCGCAACGTGCGCGCCATCTGGTGGACTTCGAAAGCATTGCGTGAATTTAAGAATTGTCAACAATACATTTAAAACACAGATTATACATCATTTTTAAATAAATAGGTCGTTTTTTCACAAAAGAGGAAGGCAGAAGTCTTACTCGACAAATTTTGTTTAATTGCACAGCTAAATCGCGCACGTTATTTGTGTTTTACGTTGCAAGGAAAAAATGAAAAAACGATTTCGATTGATTATTCCTTATATCATTGATTAAGAAACTCAACGCTTAAATACTTATATAGTTACGTTAGTGTGTTTATTTTATCAAAGGGGTCATGGTGAATTATTGTGTTTTTAATTGTAAATAAAGTTCAATAACTAAATCGTTGCATTTTCATGTTTTGCCAAAGGATCCAATTCGGTAAGTACATTTGTTGGTGCAGAATATACTAACGATAACTAAACCTAATATAAATTATATTTAAGTATAATAATTGTTGCACAAACATAACCTTAAAATCAACCATTTTTATATTTGAGTTCTCTAAAAAAACGCCGACAACTCCATTTTAAACAATAAAATATACTTACGAATTCATGGCAACATAATATTATATAAAATACATAATACAGGGTGTTTCTTTTAACTTGAGACAGCTCAATATCTCGAGAAATACCCCTCCTTAAGGGTGAAACGGGGGGTAACTTTAGAAAGTCAAATGGAATGACCCGATTTTTTTACATATTTTGAAAAAAATTAATAACTTTTATTTGAAACTTTTTTCAATTTATTAACAGATGGCGCTGTAATTCAAAATTTAAGAAAATTGGGTTTCCTTGTAAAATGTATTATTTGAAACGTTTGAAAAACAAAAATTAACATTAAATCAACAATAGTCGGCTCTGAAAACAATTTATAACAAATGTTCGAAATGTCGTCCTTCCATTCCGTTCTCGAGATATTGAGCTGTCTCAAGTTAAAAGAAACACCCAGTATAATGGTATTTTACCGTTGAGTGGAGACTTTCTTAATCAACGCTTTTAATAATGCTAAATGCTGTTTAAATTGAGACGACTTATTTGTTTGACGATTTTTACTGAATTGATTTTTTTTTAATTTTAAAGCTTACATTTATCAAAAAAAACTAAGATCCTTTTTTGTAGATAAGTTAATTTCCAACAAAATATATACCACTCATTTCAAAATCCTAACCACTCTGGGAGCAATACAATTTTGAAAAAAAAAATTTCAAAACTTTTTAAATTTGGAGAAGAGATTGAAAGGTTTATAAAAATATATGTAAAAACAAAAGAAGGTCGATAATTTTAAAACGAAAAAAAATTGAAAATTGGTATTTTTTAAATGTGACCTTTTGGCAGCAGGTACGAGGCCATTTCTTTTTTTTAATCTATACATGTCAAAAAGTGTTAGGTTAGGTTTAAAATACTGGAATTGCAAATTTTTCAAATAAAATTGTTAAATTTTAAAAATCGTACCTACTCATAAAATGCGATTATTTTGGTTCTAATTTCAAAGACCTTTTCATTGAAAAAATGTGACCTTTTGACAAAAAGTAGTATTTAATATCTTTTTTACCAAACTAAATTTATATTTTTTTAATTTGTTTAAGTTATTATAAAAAGAAATTTGAAACAATGAAAACCATCTTCACAACTCAATTTAACTTGTTTTGTGGGTCAATTAAAATGTCATTTGTTACTTAAAACTAAACAATCGACATAAAAAAATTAATGCAATGAATTGTTTTCTTATTTATAAATAAAAAATAAAGATTTTTAATAATTTTTAATAAGGCTACTTTCTCATTAATTTAGTACTTTCTTGGGATAATTTAACTGTCAATTTAAATTTTACTATTACCCTATTCCAAACAGCGTTTAACTTTCAATTTCAAGACTGAAATTAGTTATAAATATAAATAAAAAGTAAAATTTTATAACTTGATGTTTTGCATTTTTTTATTGTTATTTTATAATTTATAATTTTATTATATTAATATTAAAATAATTAACACTGCCATAAATGCTTCACCGTATCAATACCGGCAATAAAAAATTAATTATTACTTATTATTCAACCAACTACCTAACTAGCAATGTTTGTCTTCACTTATATAATTCTTAATTTGCGTGTCATTATTTTACCATTGTACATACACATGCAATTTTTAATAACCGTTTTTTTTGACAAAATCATAGGAGAAAGTACAATTGACATAATAATAAGGAACATTACTATATAAAAGAAAGTACCTATTTTACTTTTTTACATTGTATTATTTTATGACATTTTGTATGGGCTATTTAACGTATAATGCCGGGTTTCTAAAGACACAAATATGAAGAAACGCCATAAAGTCACATATTGTCAATGTAGTAGTATATAATAGTATATCATGTATTAAGTTTGATAAACGCCATAGAAAAGTTTATAAACGAGGTGCATACTATACTTTTTCTACGAAAAATACTCTTAAAATGATTTAAATCAAAAATTTGTATAGAAGCGCCATCTATGAAACAATAGGGGAATCTGTGTGTCACCGTCAAATGAAAATTTTTTATTTTATAAATACAATTATAAAGGTTATAAATCGAAATGTATTTCTGGAAAATTTTCACAGTGAAAGTATAGAAAATGTTTTATGAGCACTTTACAGTGGAGTCCGTGCCCGAATTTAAGTTATAGTTTACTGCCGGCGAAATTAAAAGGTCAGTACAATGTTCATATAAACTTTTCAAATATTGGCGTTGAGAAACTATTGAATACTTTTGTATTTTTGTATTGAGATAATAAAATAATTTTCACATTTAGTATTATTTTACACAAAATGCACTTTATTTTAACGATTGTATGACATTTAACAACTGTCAACTAACTTAAAACTAACTTCAGCCCGTGACTAAAAACCTGTTGCTAACTTCAGCCCGTGACTAAAGCGCCATAAAGCCACAACTTGTCAATGTGTATTTAAAAGGTAGTAGAAAAAATAATTTAAATGTTTGATGGTTTGTTCTGTGGGTTGGATTATTTTTCTATGAGTGTGATGTTTTACATAAAAAAGAATATGTTTGAATAGGAAAAGAATAGGTTTAAAAATAGGTTTGTAAATAGACCAAGGAATTTAATTTTCAAATAAATTTTAAAATACTGATATATTAATGTTATATTATAATAATATTAAAATAAAAATAAAATATTTCCCTGTATCACAGTACTTACCCGTTTAATTATTTTCATTATCCTCTTACAAATAATCAAATTTAAATCTAAAAAACGTAAAATTATAGATTTTGTTAAATTTTAAAATAAAACAAATAATTTCCAATGATTATTTCCCTCATTATAGTATGATCCAATCAAAAGCCTTACATTTTCGAATACTTAAATTTCGTTTAAATAAGCGATTAAATCACTAGAACTATTTAACAGCGATTAAATTTTAGCCTCCATATTGGATTTTTGTTTACGATTTTATGGTGTTATTTACAAGTTCTAACAAACATTTTTTAAAAAACAATAAAAAATAAGTTACCTATCTAGTTTACGAAATATCAATTATTACTTATTACATACCTTAAATTAATGGAATTTTCTTTAAAAAAATATTTCTAAATTTTGACACATACGTCAGATTTTATGAATTGTCAAATAGTTTCCTTTAATTCGAGAAATAATCTAGACGTATATCACTCAACCTAAAAATTTAATCTGTCAAACTATGCTCAGTAAGTCTTATTTGATTTTTCTTTTTGGAAAATAGTTTCATGCAAAATAATTAAAAATAAAACCCCTCGACCGCTACGCGGTCTCGTGATTTTATTAAATTATTTTGCATTCAACATTTTCCAACAAAAACCAAACAAAAACTACTGAGCCTAGTTTAACCGATTAAATTCATAGTTCTCGTGATATAATATATGATTAAAAAATTAATGGCATATTAATATAATCAAGTGTGTAAGTTTTACAAACGAAATTTTAAGCTTACTATAATTTATTTTAAGTTGTTTCCAAATAGGTATTCCATTTTGGATGGCCGTGATCTTGAAATTGTCTTACATAACCACTTTACTACCAGTAAATGTATAATTAAAGTCCGAAACATAATTTATTATTTTTACGTGTCCAAATATAATTTATTACCCAATATAATAATGAATTCGCATACAAAACACTTTAGATTGGATATAATAAATTGCTAATAAAAAAAATTATCAGACATTATAGGTAGGTACATACCTAAGTGTTTACGACAAATAAATTAATAAATAATTGTGAATGAAAAAAACTTTTATTCAGATATTATACATTTTTATATTCAATTAGCAAATAGATTTTTATATTTATTTTATTTTTAATATAATCCATCTGCATTTTTTATAAATATAAATTAAAGTGCTAAAAGCAACCATTTTACTTCTCTTTTGTAAAAAATAAACCTTATTCTACAGGGCTGTCATCAAACTGTCAAATGTCAATTTTAGGGTTAATTTGTGGGTTATGGTAAATTAACCTTAAAATTGACATTTGACAGTTTGATCACAGTTGGGCATTTTTTAATTTGTTTTAAAACAAAAAAAATACGTGAATAAACACATTTAATTATAATTTTAATAATACCCAATGCTTTCCAGGCAACAATTCTTATTTAACCATCTCCTCACGCACATTACATTTTATTACCTAATTAAGCAAAGTATGCCATGGAAAACAAAAAATTTAATATGATCAACTGTTACACATTGTCAATATCTCTTATTAACTTGCTTATCAAAAGTAATATGGCTTATTCTTAAAAAAAATGTCCCAACTGGAACTCCCTGTATACCAGTACTAACGAATTTCGACCCCAAAAAGAGATCCCAGTAGGCCATAAGTTTAGTCGTTAAAACAAGTGACATCCCTGTTGTAAATGACCGATTAATTCCTGTAAAAACCAATTGAAGTATT